TGAAGGAGCTGCAAAGCTCCACAGCGGAGATTGGAGTATCTGTCCATAGGACCACTTTAAACCATACACTCCAGAGAGCTGGGCTTTACGGAAGAGTGGCCAGAAAAAAAGCCATTGCTTAAAGAAAAAAAGAAGCAAACACGTGTTCGCCAAAAGGCATGTGGGAGACTCCCCAAACATATGGAAGAAGGTACTCTGGTCAGATGAGACTCAAATTGAGCTTTTTGGCCATCAAGGAAAACGCTATGTCTGGCGCAAACCCAACACCTCTCATCACCCCGAGAACACCATCCCCACAGTGAAGCATCGTGATTAGATTCTTACGAACACCATTGTGTTCTCCACGAGTGTCACGGGACTAGTCTGAAGGTAAACCGGTACCGGCTTAAACAATGAATGGTCTAGAGGTAGTTTTGTGCCAACAAAAAAAAGGGCTTAAATCAAATCAAATTGTATTTGTCACATGCGCCGAATACAACCTTACCATGAAATGCTTACTTACAAGCCCTTCACCAACAATGCAATTCAAGAAATAGAGTTAAGAAAATATTTACTAAATAAAGTAAAAAATGTAACACAATAAAATAACAATAACGAGGCTATATACAGGGGGTACCTGTACCGAGTCAATGTACGTTACAGGTTAGTCGAGGTAATTTGTACATGTAGGTAGGGGTAAAGTGACTATGCATAGATAATGAACAGCGAGTAGCAGCAGTGTAAAAACAAAGGGGGGGGGGTCAATGTAAATAGTCCGGGTGGCCATTTTATTAATTGTTCAGTATTCTTATGGCTTGGGGGTTGAAGCTGTTAAGGAGCCTTTTGGACCTAGACTTGGCGCTCTGGTAGCGCTTGCCGTGCGGTAGCAGAGAGAACAGTCTATGACTTGGGTGACTTGAGTCTTTGACAATTTTTTAACCTTCCTATATACAGTGCCTTTGGAAAGTGTTCAGACCCCTTGACTTTTTCCACATTTTGTTAGGTTACAGCCTTATTCTAAAATTGATTAAATAAAAACATTTCCTCAGCAATCTACTCATAATACCCCATAATGACAAAGCCAAAAATATATAAAAAACTGAAATACCTTATTTACATAAGTATTCAGACCCTTTGCTATGAGACTCGAAATTGAGCTCAGGTGCATCCTGTTTCCTTGATCATCCTTGAGATGTTTCTACAACTTGATTGGAGTCCACCTGTGGTAAATTCAATTGATTGGACATGATTTGGAAAGGCACACACCTGTCTATATAAGGTCCCACAGTTGACAGTGCATGTCAGAGCAAAAACCAAGCCATGAGGTCGAAGGAATTGTCCGTAGAGCTCCGAGACAGGATTGTGTCGAGGCACAGATCTGGGGAAGGGTACCAAAAGATGTCTGCAGCATTGAAGGTCCCCAAGAACCTTCACAGTGGCCTCCATCATTCTTAAATGGAAGAAGTTTGGAACCACCAAGGCTCTTCCTAGAGCTGGCCGCCCGGCCAAATTGAGCAATTGGGGGAGAAGGGCCTTGGTTAGGGAGGTGACCAAGAACCCGATGGTCACTCTGGCAGTGCTCTGGAGTTTCTCTGTGAAGATGGGAGAACCTTCCAGAAGGACAACCATCTCTGCAGCACTCCACCAATCAGGCCTTTTATAGTAGAGTGGCCAGACGGAAGCCACTCCTCAGTAAAAGGCACAATGACAGCCCGCTTTGGAGTATGCCAAAAGGCACCTAAAGACTCTCAGACCATGAGAAACAAGATTCTCTGGTCTGATGAAACAAAGATTGAACTCTTTGGCCTGAATGCCAAGCGTCACATCTGGAGGAAACCTGGCACCATCCCTACGGTGAAGCATGGTGGTGGCAGCATCATGATGTGGGGATGTTTTTCAGCGGCAGGGACTGGGAAATTAGTCAGGATCGAGGCAAAGTTAATGTTGAGGGAGCCTGAGCACACACAGAAGTACCTGGCCTGCTGGGCGGAATGTAGGGAAGTCAACACAGTCAGTTCTTTTAGTATCCATTGCGAATGATAATATAGCCTATTAAAACTATAGTTCCTCACAGTAGGTTATTTGAAAAATCTTTCCTACAATCTCCCCCTCGATAATCAACAAGCCTCGGTGTGAAAGAGCAAAATATAATGATCTGATGATCCTATATATCCAGCAAAATGTCTTAACACTTTTTCCTTGGGCAAAAACAGCTCACTGGCACGGAAAACTCTAAGGGCCCGGAATAGGCTAGTTGATAAGATGTTGCAAGTCCGCTAGCGAAAGCTTCGGGACGGACACAGTTGATTGATTTGATACAAATGTTGCACTTCACTATAGCGATAGCTCAAGTCAAGACAGATAGAAAGGGAGGCAGAGAGGCCGAGTAGAGAGATGAATGTGATTGAAAGAATCTGAGTTTTCATCATATTTTCTACTGTTTTTATTTGTCAGCATGATGTTGGCCTATTTTTACAGAAATTATTTGACAATTAAAGTTATGGGCCTACTGCTGCATTGGCCTATAGGCTATGAGTTCCACGCGCTCATTTCTTTAGCCGCCAATGGATCACGGTGTTTCAGTGTGTCCATATGGCAGAGGCTGGTGCTCTCGAATTAGTTGAATTTTTACTTTTTTAATTTGTATCATTTTTATTCAGATTTGTATGATTTAACCACATGACAATGATTTTGAGAAACAAAAACATTATTGTTGAAATGAAACTGTTCCACAAAAATACACATATGAAAATCATAACTGGCACGCAGATCTGTAGAAATGTAGGATAAATTGTAAGCTTCCCCAAACTAGAAACTCACGCGCTGCCTATGAATTATTTATAAAAGAATTGCATACAAGTTTCCATGGTCGGAATTTGCCTATAGGCTACTTCGAAGCAAGGTAAGACATGCCTCATAATATGAAGTAAAACATGCCGGTTTCAAACAATCAAGTATGTTTTGAAAATGCATACTGCCTCCAGCTCACATGTTGAAGCGCTGACAGCCTGTTGCCTACACTTCAATGGAGAATGGGAGGCGCGCTTCAATTACCAGTTGATTTTTTTTATATATATAGTAGCGCTTTTTAATCGTGTTTTTAACACGCAATTGCATTTAGAATTGTTGCTAAATGAATGGGCTTATAAAAGCACGTTTCACTCCAGCAGCAACCAGCTGAGGAGCTTCAGGAGAAATCCCTCTCAGAATAGACTCTGTATGCTGTGTGATAGTGTTGGATAAATAAGATACATGACAACTGACGGAAATACACACAGGCCAATTTAATTCCACACAATTATGCAAATTAACCTATAGACCGATAAGCATGACGGTCAAATGTATTTACATTGACTGGTATTTCCATTTTTAAAAAAAAAATATTTATCCCGGTCATTTTGACATGCAACAGTTTTATTTATCAGCTTTTCATTTTTTGGATCGGCCCAAAGCCAACAATTGCTGGCTAATGGAAACCCTGTGTGTGAGGTACATCTGGTGTGATTCCCACGTGGAAAAGAACAGTCGACAACATACATAACATGGTCCAGAGCTATATAGTGTATATACAGTATTTAGCTATGCCTTGTGCTAGTACCGTGTGACTCCAATGTGACATGCCAGTAAACTGTACATTTACAACAGGGGAGAATGACTGTCCCCTCTCATTGAAACAAGTTCAAGGCCGACCGTTGTACTGCAGAAAACAGGATCACCCATTATAGTGAATGGGGAAATGGCAATCTTCGTGGTGAATCTTCATGTAAGATGCACTCCTTGAACCGATTATTTTTAAATTGCACACAGAAAAGTTATAAGGATCATTTAGTTGCTGTCGGCCTTCAACTTGAGTTACTCAATGAGAGGGGGCAGCATTGAGATAGCCTGCAACGTCACTTCCTGGAGTAGCTCAAACTGCTCATGTTATGTCTCCATGAGATGCCATCTTAACAGATTTCATTTGGCTTCAATGCGCTATTGAGTCTTCAAATAGAAATGAATGGTGTTAAGTGATTGATGGCTTTGTCCTTAAATGTTACCCAGAAATGATTTGATATTGAGATAAAAACGGCTGCATTGGACCTTTTAATATTGTAACAAAGCTATGTTATGTTATTAAAAACAACTACTTTTTGCATTTGTGAACAATGTTGAGGTTATTACATCACATTGGAGAAATGTCACGTTAGTTAGTCAAAAGTCTTATAAATAAATCATAAGATGAACACCTAGCTAGATGTATCTGGTTCCACTAAGCAACATGTTCCATCACCTTACTCCTAACGCCTCTCATCTCCTCACCTTGAATAATTCAACATATCACACCTTTACTGGCAGGGGTTGATTCCAACACCTAGGAGACACACCAACTCTAACAAGTAGGATCTGTTAGCATGATTAAGGGAAGCAGACAGTTTAATTAAACTATTTGTTTTAAACTACCTTTACTTGTTGTAAATCAGGCGAATATCCTCATAATCATCATGCTTTTCAAGTTAGTTTGTGAGAGTAGAGAGTTCACCTCGATTGAAAGCCTGACCAGAGTGCGCTGGGCGTCAATGTAACGTTACGTCATCAGGCGGGATGGAAGGTGCGCGGCGCTGTCCCTAGTGCTGAAACACTGGTCCGCTGTCCAGCTGCAGGAGAACACTGATCTCGTCACGGACTTCAACACGAGCCAAAGGAAAGTAAAGAGAACGACCTGAGCGCTCAATTATTGGGGTCTTGTATTAGAAAGGATTCGTTTTGTGGACTTAAGTCAGCCTTTTATACATTCAATTATAACTTCATATGACAAGTTAATCTGGATGCTTGGAAGTGTCTGCAGACGACCAAACGGAGCGTTCACTGAAAACAAGCTGGCAGTGAAGAGAAACTCAAACTGACAGTAACTGACAGTACGTGCTGAAAAGTACCTCATCTGAAAGCTTCATGCTCATACTTTCTGGTGACTCAAGAAGAGTTATCTGCGCATCTTCCACGTCTTCACCCTCATCCCCCTCTATTTCCTTGTCAACAAGATGTCGACAACAGAGAAAGTTGAGACCAAAGTTAAGACTTCGAAAAGTGAGAAAATGCTCCCTGCACAGGAGGCGGCCAAAATCTACCACACCAACTACGTCAGGAACGCGCGAGCCGTCGGCGTCCTGTGGGCGATATTCACCATCTGTTTTTCCATCATAGAAATGGTGGTGTTCATCCAACCGTACTGGATCGGGGACAGCGTCAACACCCCGCAGGCTGGATACTTCGGACTGTTTCACTACTGTATCGGCAACGCCCTGACCTCCGAGCTCATCTGTAAAGGCAAAGCACTTAAAAGGGGCCAATCTGCAGTTAATACATCAATTTCTGGACTTAAAAATGAATGATATGAACCCGTTGATTCTTGGAGAATATAACTTATGAGCTTAGTTAAGCTTAGTTAAACTATTGTACCTCATCAAAACCCAAACTATAAGCTTGTTTTACTCCAATGTTTGTAAACAAAGTAAATGTAATCAATCACTGTATAGCCTCAAAATATGGTTACAAATATAATTTTGATATCATGGATGGTCAGTCCTTGCATCCATAGCTCTGTCTATACATTTGAGAGTGGTAACATTTCTCCAGCCCCATCCCTCCGATTTTTTACCGAAACAGTGGCAGTGAGTCGCTTTGTAATTGTTTCAACAGCAGATTGCCCCTTTAAAGGGTCACTTTACTCAATAACTATCTTTTAGTATTTTGTTAATTAGTCCACCGTTGACACAATGTCAGCAGTTAATTTTTCAAGACAGAGCACCTTCAGTACAGAGTAAAGACTGTGATGGGGATGCAAAACGCATCCCATTGAACCATTGCTATAAAACGCATCCCATTGAACCATTGCTATAAAACGCATCCCATTGAACCATTGCTATAAAACGCATCCCATTGAACCATTGCTATAAAACGCATCCCATTGAACCATTGCTATTAAACGCATCCCATTGAACCATTGCTATAAAACGCATCCTATTGAACCATTGCTATAAAACGCATCCCATTGAACCATTGCTATAACCACTAAACTGCTTAATGGGCACCATAGTATGGCTGCCCTATGCTCCAACCCTCAGAGATCCTATTACATTCTAATCATATTATGTAATTCTCTGCTCCAACCTCTATGTATGTGTTGCCTATTTTTCATTGGACATCAGAGAACATTGCAGTAATCTTCTACTTCTTCTTCTTCCCCTCCTCCTCCTCCTCCTCCTCCTCCTCCTCCTCCTCTCCTTCATAAAGGAAGTGCCTTGGACTTTGCGTCCATCCCGTCCCCAGCCTTTAGGACAGCCCTCTTCTTCGTGGGTACGTCCATGCTGCTGATAGTGGGATGTATGGTCTGTTTCACTCTGTTCTGGTTTTGCAACACCGGGAGCGTCTACAAGATCTGTGGGTGGATGCAGTTTGCATCAGGTGAGATTAGAAGACATTCTCTAACCTGCACATTTTAATGTATAGTGTCCCATGTTTGGTGAGCCAAATGTAATAATAATAATAATAATAAATGTATATCCAGGAGCGGGCCTAGGGGAGATTGGGGGGGCCGTTTCAAAATGCCCTTGCTGGTCCACCTCTGTATCCTGCCTCTAGGCAACCTTGGCTCATGAACAGTCATACCGGCCCCTGGTTGTAGTTCTGTCATACCGGCCCCTGGTTGTAGTTCTCATCCCTATTGTCCAGGAGAGGTGACAAACCTATCGTGTCCAGTCAGTGACACCCCAGTGAAATCTTTCCTCTTTCAGAGGTGGCGTGCGTCCAGTGCTATCGTCACTAGGTGACAACAACACTGTGGACGCCAGCCCAAAGGGATTCTGTTTCAGTCCAGACTCTGACACCTATGTTCACACAATACATGTAACATGATACATGTATCGTTTTGTCTCTCGGTACGAGTCTACATCTACATGAAAGGTTCCGTACACGCTCGGGTTTTACAGCTGATGTACAAGGCTTTTGACAGAACTGTTGTGATACATCAGATATTTTTTGATGAGCTTGTCTGCACAAAAGTTTTGACACAACCATTGTGGATAGTCTCCACTGTGCCTGTCTGTCCCTCCCCCAGACATACAGTACACATTCACTCATTCATTCATTGTATTTCTATACACTCACCTCCATATGTATTCAGACAGTAAATTATAAATGTGTCTCTATATGCCAGCATTTGGGAATTTGAGAACAAATGTTTCATATGAGGCGACAGTACAGAATGTCACCTTTCACTTGAGGGTATTTTCATACATATCTGTTTTATCGTTTAGAAATAAAAGCTCTTTATCTATCTAGTCCCCCTAATTTGAAGGAGTCATAAGTATTTGGACAAATTCACTTACAGTGTATTAAAGTAGTGTAGTGTAGTGTAGTATTTTGTCCCATATTCCTTGCACTCAATGACTACATACAAATTGTGACTTTACAAACTTGGATGCATTTGCAGTTTGTTTTGGTTGTGTTTCAGATTACACTCTGCCCAATAGGAACATTTGATCTCAAATCCAAAATGTTGGAGTATAGAGACAAATGAAAATGTTTAGCTTCACTGTCCAAATACAGTGGGGGAAAAAAAGTATTTAGTCAGCCACCAATTGTGCAAGTTCTCCCACTTAAAAAGATGAGAGAGGCCTGTAATTTTCATCATAGGTACACGTCAACTATGACAGACAAAATGAGAATTTCTTTTCCAGAAAATCGAATTTAGTAGGATTTTTAATTAATTTATTTGCAAATTATGGTGGAAAATAAGTATTTGGTCAATAACAAAAGTTTCTCAATACTTTGTTATATACCCTTTGTTGGCAATGACACAGGTCAAACGTTTTCTGTAAGTCTTCACAAGCTTTTCACACACTGTTGCTGGTATTTTGGCCCATTCCTCCATGCAGATCTCCTCTAGAGCAGTGATGTTTTGGGGCTGTCGCTGGGCAAACACAGACTTTCAACTCCCTTCCAAAGACTTTCTATGGGGTTGAGATCTGGAGACTGGCTAGGCCACTCCAGGACCTTGAAATGCTTCTTACGAAGCCACTCCTTCGTTGCCCGGGCGGTGTGTTTGGGATCATTGTCATGCTGAAAGACCCAGCCATGTTTCATCTTCAATGCCCTTGCTGATGGAAGGAGGTTTTCACTCAAAATCTCACGATACATGGCCCCATTCATTCTTTCCTTTACACGGATCAGTCGTCCTGGTCCCTTTGCAGAAAAACAGCCCCAAAGCATGATGTTTCCACCCCCATGCTTCACAGTAGGTATGGTGTTCTTTGGATGCAACTCAGCATTCTTTGTCCTCCAAACACTTTTTACCAAAAAGTTCTATTTTGGTTTCATCTGACCATATGACATTCTCCCAATCCTCTTCTGGATCATCCAAATGCACTCTAGCAAACTTCAGACGGGCCTGGACATGTACTGGCTTAAGCAGGGGGACACGTCTGGCACTGCAGGATTTGAGTCCCTGGCGGCGTAGTGTGTTACTGATGGTAGGCTTTGTTACTTTGGTCCCAGCTCTCTGCAGGTCATTCACTAGGTCCCCCCCGTGTGGTTCTGGGATTTTTGCTCACCGTTCTTGTGATCATTTTGACCCCACGGGGTGAGATCTTTTGCGTGGAGCCCCAGATTATCAGTGGTCTTGTATGTCTTCCATTTCCTAATAATTGCTCCCACAGTTGATTTCTTCAAACCAAGCTGCTTACCTATTGCAGATTCAGTCTTCCCAGCCTGGTGCAGGTCTACAATTTTGTTTCTGGTGTCCTTTGACAGCTCTTTGGTCTTGGCCATAGTGGAGTTTGGAGTGTGACTGTTTGAGGTTGTGGACAGGTGTCTTTTATACTGATAACACGTTCAAACAGGTGCCATTAATACAGGTAACGAGTGGAGGACAGAGGAGCCTCTTAAAGAAGAAGTTACAGGTCTGTGAGAGCCAGAAATCTTGCTTGTTTGTAGGTGACCAAATACTTATTTTCCACCATAATTTGCAAATAAATTCATTACAAATCCTACAATGTGATTTTCTGGATTTTTTTTCTTCACAATTTGTCTGTCATAGTTGACGTGTACCTATGATGAAAATTACAGGCCTCTCTCATCTTTTTAAGTGGGAGAACTTGCACAGTTGGTGGCTGACTAAATACTTTTTTCCCCCACTGTACATATGGAGGTCACACAGGTCAGCGTATATATCCTTGGTCTGTCCCCCCAGCCATCCTGAAGGTGATGGGCTGTTTGATCTACCCTGACGGCTAAGAAGCTCCCTGTCTGCGTAACTGACTGTCTAACCCATTCAAGCTTTCCCACAGGTCTTTTGAGTAAAAAACAACAACATATATACAGTATTAATATATATAATTTATATATGTGCATTCGGAAAGTATTCACACCCCTTGACTTTTTCCACATTTTGTTAGGTTACAGCCTTATTCTAAAATTGATTAAAATATGTTTTTTTCCCCCCGCATCAATCTACACACAAAACCCCATAATGACAAAGCAAAAACAGTTATTTAGACATTTTTGCAAAAATAAAATGTTCAAAAAACGTACATATCACATTTACATAAGTATTCATACCCTTTACTCAGTACTTTGTTGAAGCACCTTTGGCAGCGATTACAGCCTTGAGTCTTCTTGGGTATGACGCTACAAGCTTGGAACACCTGTATTTGGGGAGTTTCTCCCATTCTTCTCTGCAGATCCTCTCAAGCTCTGTCAGGTTGGATGGGGAGCGTTGCTGCACAGCTGTTTTCAGGTCTCTCCAGAGATGTTCGATCGGGTTCAAGTCCAGGCTCTGGTTGGGCCACTCAAGGACATTCCGAGACTTGTCCCGAAGCCACTCCTGCGTTTTCTTGGCTGTGTGCTTAGGGTCGTTGTCCTGTTGTAAGGAGAACCTTCGCCCCGTTCATCTTTCCCTCGATCCTGCCTAGTCTCCCAGTCCCTGCCACTGAAAAAGATCCCCACAGCATTATGCTGCCACCACCATGCTTCCCCGTAGGGATGGTGCCAGGTTTCCTCCAGACGTGACGCTTGGCATTCAGGCCAAAGAGTTCAATCTTGGTTTCATCAGTCCAGGGAATCTTGTTTCTCATGGTCTGAGAGTCCTTTAGGTGCCTTTTGGCAAACTCCAAGCAGGCTGTCATGTGCCTTCCGTCTGGCCACTCTACCATAAAGGCCTGACTGGTGGATTGCTGCAGAGATGGTTGTCCTTCTAGAAGGTTCTCTCATCTCCACAGATGAACTCTGGAGATCTGTCAGAGTGACCATCGGGTTCTTGGTCACCTCCCTGACCAAGGCCCTTCTCCCCTGATTGCTCAGTTTGGCCGGGTGGCCAAACTTCTTCCATTTCAGAATTATGGAGGCCACTGTGTTCTTGGGGACCTTCAATGCTGCAGACATTATTTGGTATCCTCGACACAATCCTGTCTCAGGGCTCCACGGACAATTCCTTTGACCTCATGGCTTGGTTTTTGCTCTGACATGCACTGTCAACTGTGGAACCTTATATAGACAGGTAGTGTGCCTTTCCAAATCATGTTCAATCAATTGAATTTACCACAGGTGGACTCCACTCAAGTTGTAGAAACATCTCAAGGATGATGAATGGAAACAGGATGCACCTGAGCTCAATTTCGAGTCTCATAGCAAAGGGTCTGAATACTTATGTAAATAAGGTATTTCTGTTTTTGTTTATTTATACATTTGCAAACATTTATAAAAGCCTGTTTTCCTTTTGCATTATGGAGTATTGTGTGTAGATTGATGAGGATACTTTTATATTTAATCCATTTTAGAATAAGGCTGTAACATAACAAAATGTGGAAAAAGGGAAGGGTTCTGAAGACATTCCGAATGCACTGTATATACTGAACAAAAACATAAACGCAACATGCAACAATTTCAACGATTTTACTGAGTTACAGTTCATATGAGGAAATCAGTCAATTGAAATAAATTAATTAGGCCCTAATCTTTGGATTTCACATGACTGGGAATACTGACATGCATCTGTTGGTCACAGATACCTTTAAAAAATGGGCCTAATGATTTTTTTTTAACAGTGAGTAAATATAATCAATTTTAAGTGCGGCCCTCCGGACCACGGTGAAGACCGAATGCGGCCCACGGTGAAAATGAGTTTGGCACACCTGGTCTAATCCTAATGGTAATGTCTGTCTGTCTGTCTGTCCCTCCCCAGCCATCCTGATGGTAATGTCTGTCTGTCTGTCCCTCCCCAGCCATCCTGATGGTGATGGGCTGTATGATCTACCCTGACGGCTGGGACGCCCCGGAGGTGAAGAGGATGTGTGGCGAGATGACAGACAAGTACACCCTGGGGAACTGTACGGTGAGGTGGACCTACATCCTGGCTATCATCTGTGTCCTGGACTCTCTCATCCTGGCCTTCCTAGCCTTCACACTGGGGAACAGACAGGACAAACTGCTGCCGGACGACTTCGAGGTGGAGGGGCAAGGTGAGAGGATAAAATTAGGTGATACTTGTTGCATGAGGGATTAATTCTAAATGTTTGGGGGGGGGGGGGGGGGGGGGACAGAAGAGTAAAGGTTTTGGAGTGTGGGACACTGGGATTATCTCAGGACATCTCCCTACTTTTTTATTTATCAAATTTTAATTCATCCCGTTTCCATTACAGAAAACCAATGAGGCACTGGAGTAAGACGAGAGAGAGGCCACGTTTTAAAACAGAAGAATGTTAACATCATTCTGGCGCTCGTGACCATCAGGCCAGGGATATGGCAAGGCCTCCATGGCTAGGGGTTCTTTTTTTTTTTTTACAATAGACACAAAGTTGTCCTTTCCTCCAAAAACATTATTCCATTTTATTAGTCATTATGCTAGAGGGCAGTTCTTTAGACTGTACTGTGCCCAATGGCAACCCTGTTTTCATGTGTTTTGCCCTCTTTTGAGCCTTGGTAATTAAAACAGTCTTATTTTTTCCTTTTTATATTTTGGATGAATGAAATGTTTTCTGTAAACAATCGTCAATACACATTTTACTTTCTGAATGAAATTAAGTTCCAACGTTTTCTGCTCCTTGGTAAGGTCATTGTACTTCTCATGAAAAACTATCCCATCAACAGTAGTTGGGCAAAGAACCAAGCTAGACAAGAAGCATCGCAGAAGTCATAATATGAAGGCCTTTTGTTTTATTGTACGGTGTAGGGTAGTATGCAATTTTATAGTGTCCTAAATTGACATTTCAAATATGTGTGATTTAACCCTGACTGGCAAAATGGAGCTTGATGTAAATGGCTGTCTCTCCCAGTAGATCCCAAGACTCAAAATGTGAAACATTTACTTAGGACATCACTACAGTATAGAGAGGGGTGGAAATGAAGAGGAACCTGGGGAAATAATTTTGACACGTTAAAATGAGCTCTAAGGTTTGCGCTTCCCAGTGACATTTTCCCCATTACCACCCCTGAACATTAGAGCACCGTCTCATCTTATGGACAAATAATAGTGACATTTACAAACAGCTGGATGGACTTCCACACAAGGGAGCTCGCACACTTCTTCCAAATGCTTTATTAAAACATTACTACCAAGCTAAATAATTTTTAGCTAAAAGACATAGTAGGGTCCATCACAAAACGCCACCCTATTTCATATGTAGTGCACTACTTTTGACCAGGGCTCCGGTCAAAAGTAGTGCGCACTACATAGGGAATATGCTGCCATTTCGGCCGCACCCTAGGATTTGTTAAAAACTGTACATGGGTGTAATACACGGAAAGGCAAACTCCTTGGTACAGGTGTGTGAGAGAGAGAGATATATACACACACACACGTCATTTTAGATATCTTTCAACAATTTCTCTTCTTTCGGGTTGGTGTTCTTATGAACATATTACTTAATGAAAACCACAAAACCAGTCTCCCATTGGCTGAAAGTGAATATATGAAAAAGTCAGTACTATAAACAGATTCTGAACGATGTCAGGTGATATGGGTTTATGGGTTTTACTGGCTAATCTGAACAAGACAGTCCTCGATTGTACTTATTGGTGGTGGAGACCTAGAAATAAAAATAAAAGAGAGTGGAGTGCATCCTACAAGTCCATTCATGTTTGTCTGCTCTATGTGTAACTTCCTAATACTACGCTTTAATACAAAGGAAAACGATGCCTTATGGGTGAAGGTGTAACACAGAAGTATACGCTTCGCCTTAAAAAGGGAACACAGACCGACACCAATGACATGTAAATCAGAGAAAAACCAAGTGGTATCAAGATATTTAAAACAGAGACAGGGTTACAAAAGTGGAGGGGCACTACAGTTCATTGATCTTGATCTGTTCCGGGTCTTGTGCAGGCGTAGAACGAAACAAGATGGTGGTAGGAGAGTCACGATAACAACAATTACAAAGACAAGTCCTCATATAGGTGAGAAGAGTACAGAATTCTAGACCGCCAAAATGATTGACCATAAAACCAATATTGCCTAGTGGCTTCTTTAAACACCATCAGTACAAAGGAAAGAAAGGAATAACAAGCCTACAAACATCAGACGCTCCTTGATGATAAGAACAAGAAAACAAAACCTAAAACACAAACAAAACAGAAATAAATAAGTCATCTCAGATATGCTTGAATCGGAAAGTGATCTGTTGCAACAAGTCTCTTGTAAGGTGTTTAATATGCATCGCAGTGACTGGAGGCCACCACTAGAGGGCATACATCCAGGGGTGTTTTCAGGGAAATTATAATAATAATAATAATAAGCCATTTAGCAGACGCTTTCATCCAAAGCGACATACAGTCATGCGTGCATACATTTTTGTGTATGGGTGGTCCCGGGGATCGAACCCACTACCCTGGCGTTACAAGCACCGTGCTCTACCAGCTGAGCTACAGAGGACCACAAATTAAATGCTCATTTTACTTTTCAGTCATTTAGCAGATACTTAGTCGCTCTGGATAAGAGCGTCTACTAAATTACAAACATTTCATAATGTGACATTGCAGATAGAAATTGAAAGAATAGAGTGGACACGATTCCCTATTCTATTTGACAGATGATCATATCTCTCTGTTCAACGCCATACATCTGAAGGTTCAGTAACGTTACATGCTCCTGAACACGGCCCCAGGGTTTTACATCGCAGTTGTTGGAAGGCTCCATTAGAGGGTAATCCAGGCCAGGGGTGCATTCAGCAGGACAAAACGTTATGGAACGTTCTGATAAAAATCTCTAAAATGTAGAACAATCATGCCTCTATGACATGTAGAAAAGGGAACCATGTCAGCTCCAGTCATGACAGTTATCTGCAACATTCCACAATGTTTGCCTACTGAACAGGCCCCAGGGTATTTTGCATTGCAGTACTGGAGGCAGTCACTGGGGGGCGATCCAGGGGTGGCGCAGGCAGTCTGCGGCCGTGGCCCTCTTCTCTGGTACCAGCTCCAGCATGGGGAGGAGGAAGTCAGCGAAACAATCAGCCTCCTCTTTGGGCCACTCGTACTTATCCTGCAGCACCTCTAGTAACCCCCACGGCTTCAGCTTGGTGATGTGCTTCAGGTCACCTAGGGAAGATAGCAGGGTTAGACACAGAGAGACAGCACAGTCAGTCTCAGAAAGATAGCAGGGTTGGTAGGTAGGTCAGTCAGTCAGAGACAGGGATTCACATCACACCACCAACATGACGGTGGGACATGACAATACAATGACAAAACTCCAACATGACAAACACACACACACACAAGACTGTCATTAAAGTCTTCCTTATGCTCGTTACAAATAAAAATCAAGACCGTCATTCAGCAGTAAACCAGTGATTGTGACTTAACAGTATACTATTGACATCCTTCAAGACTGATTAAGGAGCATAGAGGGACATCCAACAAAAAAACGAATGGCACTATGAACTACACGCACAGATGTTTGCGTTTACAACAAAGGGGTGATGGGTCTTAATTTTAAAACGTTACATAACAGCTTTACCTTTCTTGGTGAAAAAATCCTTGGAATATTTCCCAGCCGTTATGAGTTTGCGTGGGACTTGCCCCAGCAGCTCAATGATCAATGCAATATGGTCTGCTCAGACAAAGAGCAAAAAAAGAGAGGGGGAAGGGAAGAGGGGAGGGGAGGACGAGACAGACAACATATTCATCAGACAGTGTTCCAGTCACATGCCCACCCTGGGTGGAGGGGCGAGGGAGAGGTAAGAGGGGATCAGTCTGACAGCACTTAGAGGAATCCACCTTTTATTTTTGGGGTGTACAATCCATTTTAAACCCACTTAAAACTAAGTAGAGGGGTCAATCAATTTGAATTCAATTACTTTTTGACAGCATATGTTTTGATTTGCCTATGGAAGATTAGCCAAAACATTCAGGAGATAAAAGGTATAATTTAAAAGCTTACGAAGTGTTGTCAAACAATTGTATTATTTATTTTAAAAATGTGAGTAAATTTTTTTTCCTTTTTATACCTTTAACGTAAATTATTTAAAACGTGTAAACTCAGTAATTTTTGTCTTCCTATTCGCATTTGTTGTAGTTTAGACTTTCCACATACTCTGACGTTTTTTTTGTTGTGCCCGCCATCGGTTGAGACACATGCTCTTGAATACAAGTTAGTAGTTGCCATGGCGCCCTGGTAGCAGCCTCGACAGAGAACTCCTGTAAATTGTTACATATTTAGTTATTTTAAAAAGTGTCTTTTTTAATTGTTTTTGGAACTAACATTTTTGTTTTTGATAACAATTCGTTTTTATTGCATAGATCTGGTGGTTTTGAGCCACGGATTTGCAGATTGACTGACAGGTCAACTCTTTTTGGCTTGGCTAGGTTTGAATCCTAAGGTTGCTTAGGATTCAAACCTTCTCAAACAGCCTAATTCATACGGTTAGAGGAGGTGCTCCCACAATGTGATTTGTACCGCATGCAAGTTCAAATATTGTATTCTTCACACACACACACACACACACACACACACACACACACACACACACACACACACACACACACCTTTTCAAACTTCTTTATTTATTGATGAAAGCAAGCTTTGCTTTATACTTACAAGACCATTCTGCTTGATTGAGCGAGCTGTTTTGTCTTGTATTAATGTGGTGCCTGCCTTTAGTTCCTTCAACCTTTATTTTAGCAAAAATATATATTTCATTAAAAAAAAAAATTGGTCAGTAGGTGCCCAACATAACACCAAGTGGTGGTGTTAAGTCCCTTATATATAGGAGGTCTATAGAGCCCGTCTACATTCCTGATTTCTGTAACCGTTAGCTTACCTGTGTAATATTGACATCAGCTCAGAAACAATACACATTTACAATAGGCCTATATAAAAAAAATACACATTTAATAGCAGGACACTGTAAAGTCCATTATTCCTCTGAAGAGTATGAATTAGGCTGTTTGAATCCTAAGCAACCTGCATACACATTGTTTGAAGTACAATAGACCAACATTGCTACTGTAGTAGGAAAACTGAAAAACCTTGGTGGAGCATGGGTGGAGTAGGCATCATGGTGCTCTTAATTTCCTTTCTTTTTCGGCCTCAGACCAATCCCTACTTCTCACTTAAAACATTGTTTTTTGGTTTTAAAATGTCTATGTTTTTACACCAGAAGGTGATTATACAAACTTAAATTATACAAAATGTTCACATGCAAAAGGTGTCTTTTTCAAAAAATTGATTTGCGCTTCAAATGATGTAAAACGTTTTGTCTCACATCATTTATTGTCCAGGGCCCGGTTTCCCAAAAGCATCTTAAGGCTAAGTTAGTCAGAACCGTCGTAGGGGCATCATTAAATTCCCAAAACCATCGTTAACTAAATATGCACTTAAAAACACTATTTACCGACTGCCTCAGACCACTCATAGAACTGCTAACTGGAGTCAGTTGCTTTTTTTGCCCTTCCGCATCACTTTATACACAGAAGATCTCAGCTAAACATTGAATCAAGATGTTCATCTGTCCTTCTGTGACCACCGATAACTTTAGAATGAAGTTGACTACAATACAAAGTTGCCAGTGTCTTAGCAATTGTTATAAACAAGCAAAGGGTCAAAAAAGATGCTTCAAATGAAAACCAAGATGACTGCATTAAAAGATAAATGCAGTAGGTTGCATTGGCCGATATATTTAAATTATATTGAAATCAATTTAATGATCAATCAATTTAGTTCTATTTTGCTAATTGTAGGATACTGTCAAATGTTTTGCATCAATTTATTGATGTGTAGGCCTAACAACATGTGCGCAATGATGTGTCAAATATTTGCTTTAGTGCATAGCCTAAGCATTAGAATAAGCCGCCTCAATATTTGCCATAAGTGATTATTTCTCTCTAGGAGCTGATCCATCATCAGTATCGAATGTTAAGGAAAGATTTTAATGGCGAACGCTGAACTGAGAGCAGCACTGCCTTCTTTCAATCCTATCAGTATAGACACATGCTCTAACGACGTACACTACCAGTCAAAAGTTTGGACACACCAACTCATTCAAGGGTTTTTCTTTATTTGTACTATTTTCTACATTGTTGAATAATAGTGAAGTCATCAAAACTATGAAATAACACATATGGAACCATGAGATTCTTCAAATATAACCCTTTGCCTTGATGACAGCTTTGCACACTCTTGGCATTTTCTCAACCAGCTTCATGAGGTAGTCACCTGGAATGCATTTCAATTAACAGGTGTGCCTTCTTAAAATGTAATTTGTGTAATTTATTTCCTTCTTAATGCGTTTGAGCCAATCAGTTGTATTGTGGGGGGGTATACAGAAGATAGCCCTATTTGGTAAAATACCAAGTCCATATTATTGCAAGAACAGCTCAAATAAGCAAAGAGAAACGACAGTCCATAATTACTTTAAGACATGAAGGTCAGTCAATACGGAAAATGTCAAGAACTTTCAGTGTCTTCAAGAGCATTCGCAAAAACAATCAAGCGCTATGATGAAACTGGCTCTCATGAGGACCGCACCAGGAATGTAAGACCCACAGTTACCTCTGCTGCAGAGGATAAGTTCATTAGTTACCAGCCTCAGAAATTGTGAAGTATTTATTTGCACTGTCGAGTTCAAGTAACAGACATCTCAACATCAACTGTTCAGAGGAGACTGCGTGAATCAGGCCTTCATGGTTGAATTGCTGCAAAGAAACCACTACTAAAGGACACTGATATGAAGAAGAGACTTGATTGGGCCAAGAAACACAAGCAATGGACATTAGACTGGTGGAAATCTGTCATTTGGTCTGATGGGTCCAAATTTGAGATTTTTGGTTCCAACCGCCGCGTCTTTGTGAGACACAGAGTAGGTGAAAGGATGATCTCTGCACGTGTGGTTACCACCGTGAAGCATGAAGGTGGTGGTGTGATGGTGCTTTGCTGGTGACACTGTCAGTGATTTATTTAGAATTCAAGGCACACTTAACCAGCATGGCTACCACAGCATTCTGCAGCGATACGCCATCCCATCTGGTTTGCGCTTAGTGGGACTATCATTTGTTTTTCAACAGGACAATGACCCAACACACCTCCAGGCTGTGTAAGGGCTATTTCACCAAGAAGGAGATTGATGGAGTGCTGTATCAGATGACCTGGCCTCCACAATCACCTGACTTCAACCCAATTGAGATAGTTTGGGATGAGTTGGACCGCAGAGTGAAGGAAAAGCAGCCAACAAGTGCTCAGCATATGTGGGAACTCCTTCAAGACTGTTGGAAAAGAATTCCAGGTGACTACCTCATGAAGCTGGTTGAGAGAATGCAAAGCTGTCAAGGCAAAGGGTGGCTACATTAAAGAACCTCAAATATAAAATATACTTTGATTTGTTTAAAACTTTTTGGGTTACTACATGATTCCATGTGTGTTATTTCATAGTTTTGATGTCTTCACTATTATTCTACAATATAGAAAATAGTAAAAAATAAAGAAAAACCCTTGAATGAGTAAGTGTGTCCAAACTTGACTGGTACTGTACTATTTGAAAGTTCTCCCTACGTGGTGTTTTGGGAAACGAGTGAGAGTTCTTCGGCCGTTATTGAAAATGCTGAATCGTTAAAACACGAGTTCCATCGCTATGGGAAACCGGGCCCTGGCTATTACTTCGTAGACATGGCTATTTGCATTCATGCAAAACATATGGATTCTCCCTTTAAAGAGGGGGGTGAATATCAACAGCTGCTTTTCATTAAGCACATACCAGTTCCTGTAAGTAACTCAAAGTACTGAATAAGTGAGTCCCCCCAGTCCCCCCTCCAGTTGTTTACTTGTTGATGGTTATTTCACACTAAGGGGACCTATGCCGACATCTTTTGAACATCTTTTTTTGGTCCTGTCCGGACTGTCCTTGATTTCAACGTCTACAGACGGGACTCACTAACAACGCGCCACTTCGATACAAGTGACTTTTCGTAGCAGGTTAGGAGAGCATTTTCGCTAACCCTAACCCTTTTCCTAACCTTAAACTAATTATCCTAACCTGCTATGTTAATTCTCCAAACTAGCTGTATCGTCTTCCATGGACGTTGATTTTTGGTCCGGTTGATTTTTGGCCCAAACTTCAGTGGAAAAGACTAGGGACACACAGGGGACAGCCCTGGTGCGTCAGATGAGAGCTGATTTTGAGGTAGTCATCTGAATGTTCCCCGGGACAACAGTGGTTTACTCTGACATCACACAATGGAGGAGTTGAATGTTCCAGTGGGAGCAGGACATCAATAAGCCCATAGAGATGTTCCAGTGGGAGGAGGACATCAATAAGCCCATAGAGATGTTCCAGTGGGAGGAGGACATCAATAAGTCCATAGAGATGTTCCAGTGGGAGGAGGACATCAATAAGCCCATAGAGATGTTCCAGTGGGAGGAGGACATCAATAAGCCCATAGAGATGTTCCTGTGGGAGGAGGACATCAATAAGCCCATAGAGATGTTCCAGTGGGAGGAGGACATCAATAAGCCCATAGAGATGTTCCAGTGGGAGGAGGACATCAATAAGCCCATAGAGATGTTCCAGTGGGAGGAGGACATCAATAAGCCCATAGAGATGTTCCAGTGGGAGGAGGACATCAATAAGCCCATAGAGATGTTCCAGTGGGAGGAGGACATCAATAAGCCCATAGAGATGTTCCAGTGGGAGGAGGACATCAATAAGCCCATAGAGATGTTCCAGTGGGAGGAGGACATCAATAAGCCCATAGAGATGTTCCAGTGGGAGGAGGACATCAATAAGCCCATAGAGATGTTCCAGTGGGAGGAGGACATCAATAAGCCCATAGAGATGGCCCGGCTCTCTGTCAACCAGCTGGTTTTGCATTTCTCCGTGATAGGCGCATGCCCACAATTCAAGCAGTGTGTCTCTGGGCAGTACAGTAGGGATGGCGTGCATCTAACTTCCTTGAGAGTCTGAGAGCTTGACTCTCCTCTGTTCTAGCAAGACGCACACAGTAGTACACACCACACTCACTGCCACTCCACGAACCCAAAGCTTAACTTAATAAATTAAGTGTGTGTTTGTGTGTGTGTCGGGACGGGGCTGTCATAACTATAGACGAAATAATGGTCAAAATGTCTCCTCTGGGAGGCGAACCCGCAATCTTCAGATCCACAGGCAGTAACTAACCATTACACCACGAACCCTGTTCTAAACACATTGAGTATGGTTACATGCACATATGTGATTGTGGATAGTCAGATTAATATAATAGTTTGATTCAAATGTTTACATGCTTTGCAAGAAGAACATTTCCCTAATAATCCTGCTTACATGGACACATCTGAAAATCAGGCTAGTGATGGCACTGATAAATGCAGAATATCGACAATCAAAATAAATGTTCTACCACAGCGTCCATGTTATTTTTGGGAAGCATATTTGACACTTCCCTCACACTAGAGAGGGAGGCTAGCTCGTCTGGTGCTAGCACATGCGCAGATCAAATACCTTAAAATCGGTGATCCAGCGGTGTGTTTACATGTCCTAATAATGCATAAAAAAGTCCTCAGAAACCCAGGTGTTTTAATCGGTGTATGCTTACTTAGATTTTGACCTTACGCCAATTAAGATGAGCAGAGTAAGACTTTCACATGACTATTGCATAATTTGCCTACTGCCATAATCAATTTAACAAACAGATCACCGACCATTTCGAATACCACCGTACCTTCTCCGCTATGCAATCCGGTTTCCGAGCTGGTCACGGGTGCACTTCAGCCACGCTCAAGGTCCTAAACGATATTATAACCGCGATTGATAATAGACAGTACTGTGCAGCCGTCTTCATCGACCTGGCCAAGGCTTTCGACTCTGTCAACCACCGCATTCTTATTGGCAGACTAAATAGCCTTGGTTTCTCAAATGACTGCCTCGCCTGGTTCACCAACTACTTCTCAGATAGAGTTCAGTGTGTCAAATCGGAGGGCCTGTTGTCTGGACCTATGGCAGTCTATGGGGGTGCCACAGGGTTCAATTCTTGGGCCGACACTTTTCTCCGTGTATATCAATGATGTCGCTCTTGCTGCTGGTGACTCTCAGATCCACCTCTACGCAGACGACACCATTTTGTATACATCTGGCCCTTCATTGGACACTGTGTTAACAAACCTCCAAACGAGCTTCAATGCCATACAACAATCCTTCAGTAGCCTCCAACTGCTCTTAAACACTAGTAAAACTAAATGCATGCTTTTCAATCGAACGCTGCTGGCACCCGCCCACCCGACTAGAATCACTACTCTCGACGGGTCTGACCTAGAGTATGTGGACAACTACAAATACCTAGGTGTCTGGTTAGACTGTAAACTCAACTTCCAGACTCACATAAAGAATCTCCAATCCAAAGTTAAATCTAGAATCGGCTTCCTATTTCGCAACAAAGCCTCCTTCACTCATGCTGCCAAACATGCCCTCGTAAAACTGACTATCCTACCGATCCTTGACTTCGGCGATGTCATTTACAAAATAGCCTCCAACACTCTATTCAGCAAATTGGATGTAGTCTATCACAGTGCCATCCGTTTTTGTCTCCAAAGCCCCATACACTACCCACCACTGTGACCTGTACGCTCTTGTTGGCTGGTCCTCACTACATGTTCGTCGTCAAACCCACTGGCTCCAGGCCATCTATAAATCACTGCTAGGCAAATCCCCGCCTTATCTTAGCTCATTGGTCACCATAGCAGCACCCACCCGTAGTATGCGCTCCAGCAGGTATATCTCACTGGTCATTCCCAAAGCCAACACCTCCTTTGGCCGCCATTCCTTTCAGTTCTCTGCTGCCAATGACTGGAACGAATTGCAAAAATCTCTGAAGCTGGAGACTCTTATCTCCCTCAATAACTTTAAGCATCAGTTGTCAGAGCACCTTACCGATCACTGCACCTGTACACAGCCCATCTGAAATTAGCCCACCCAACTACCTCATCCCTATATTGTTATTTATTTTGCTCTTTTGCACCCCAGTATCTCTATTTGCACATAATCTCTTGCACATCTAGCATTCCAGTGTTAATACTATTGTAATTATTCTGCACTATAGCCTATTTATTGCCTTACCTCCATAACTTGCTACATTTGCACACACTGTATATATATTTTCTGTTGTATTTTTGACCTTATGTTTTTTACCCCATATGTAACTCTGTGTTGTTTTTATTGAACTGCTTTGCTTTATCTTGGCCAGGTCGCAGTTGTAAATGAGAACCTGTTCTCAACTGGCTTACCTGGTTAAATAAAAAAATTAATAAAAAAATATTAAAATAATACTGTGCATGTAAACGTAGTCATTGACTGACAGACCATTTAAAATGGACAGTCTGGAAGCGTTCGTTCCAAAATGATTGTGTTCATTTAATGACGTAGCTAACCAAGTTAGCAAGCATTTTATTTTATTTTGACTGCGCACAGCAGGTTGCGCAAGCAAGCAATGATTCTGATGTTTTACCTGGGTGCACCGTGTGCAGCACCCGCAGACTACTTTTTAACCTTCAGATTTTCTGGGAACACACTGAAAAGTAACTTGACACTATCAGTATGCCGGAATTTATTCTACATGTTTCAAACAGCGATGCTGTCAGTCGAGTCTGGTAAATTGCATAAACTTGCAGTGCACAACTGAACCGAGGCTATGTTTACATGTGTGTTTGGGGTTCAACCATTTTCTACATGCAGTTCAACATAGCTAGCTTACCGTTTCTTAAAGCACATTTTCTCGGCTATGGTTTGTGTTGTGGTCTTGGTTGTTCTTAGCCGAGGAAATGTAGCATAGCTAACTGCAGTGTTTGTCCTGCCTGAAATATGTCTACCTTGTCTTACTGTAGCTTGGTCTATTGAGTAGGCTACCTAGCTAGTTTTGCAATACCCATTGCATACATTCTAAGGTAGTTAGCTAGCTATGTGACACGTTCCCAAAGTTTGCCGTTGGCTTTGAACCTGCTTTGAGCCTATTTAGCTAGCTATGTTTTGTGGAAGAATGTAGCTATGGCACATTACCAAAATTGGAGTTATGGTACAGTCTTGTTGGGGTAACGTTGGCTACTCAACTAGTTAAAATAATAAAATAATATGCCATTTAGCAGACGCTTTTATCCAAAGCGACTTACATTTATGCGTGCATACATTTTTGTGTATGGGTGGTCCCGGGGATCGAACCCACTACCTTGGCGTTACAAGCGCCGTGCTCTACCAGCTGAGCTACAGAGGACCACCCATACACAAAAGTTAGTTCGGTAGTAAACTTAAGCAATGCCTCTCATTGATTGTAGCTAGCACACAATGGTAACTGGCTAGCATAGCAGCCAAGGACGTTCGCTAGCTTATTTGTGCATATTTGTTAGTGCTCTGATTACACGCAAGTGTCTAGGTCAGCAGTTTACACGACTTCAGCCTTCTATGAAAAGCCTTACTTGGCAAAACATAGCTAGCGTTCCTCGCTTGTTGTTTAGCTACCTAGCCAACGTTAGCTCTTATCTGACTGGTATAACGTTACGTTAGCTAGCTAGATCGCTACATTAGCTAGCTACCTAGCTAATCAAAACCACATTCATTGGCCAACTACCTTTATTTGCCTGTTCGCTAACTAGCTAGCTAGCTTTAAGCTGACTGGTGTTAGCTAGCTACATAGGCTAGTCACTGGACAAGCAACCTAACATTAGCTAATGTTAGCTAGCTAGTTAAATCAAAATATCAGTTTGCATTTATTGATTAATCTCAGCTTGAATACCACCATATCGCTATCTACAGTAGCCTAGATATGCTCGCATACACTTCTTATGACTGGCAGCCTGGTGCAAGCAGCTGTGTTGTTGCCGAGCAACCGACCCGGTGTTCGAACTCTGAGCTTCGACAAAAAAAAAAACATGTTAGCATTGTCAGAAATGCTACAAAAAGGTAGCACATAGTTGGTTCTTAAATGTACAGAAACGAGCACGTGAGAGCGATAAATTATAAATTTTTATCCAAACTGTTGCCCCTACAAACGTATTCAGTCCGAAAGGTGGCAAGTCTAATGATCACTTTATGGACGCTGTAGTCTCGTTCTTATCCAACGCCTAGATATTGAGCTAGGTCGGGGCAAGAAAGTAACGACCCTGTTAAAAATCCTGCATGTGGTTCTCGGTAACGGCCGGACGGCTCATGACGAGAGGCGAGGAGTGTGTTGCTTACCTCAAATCAAGTTGATTAGATTATGTCCATCAACATTGGTGTCATATTGGCTTAGCTATGATGGTCGGGAGATTTGAATAGAACATTGAGCTTCAACCAATCCCTACTATTGTCGGTACCAACCGGACATTGGAATGTAGCAATTGGGTGGTGGGACTTTTGTTGCTGTCATAGGACCTTGCCTGCACTACCTCCCTACTCTCCCACGTCCCCCAGGGCAGGCCGCAGACACACAGTAGCATACCTCTTCTGGTGAAGTATTCCTGTGAGAATTTCCCACTCAGTGCATAGTGGCGGGGAACTTTTCCCAACAGCTCAATAATCAGAGCTAGGTGGTCTGGAGGCCCGGGGCAGGTCACGGAGAGAGAGGGGGTGGAGGAGAGCAGGATAGAACAGGGAAAGAGGAGAGAAGATAAGAAAGAGGGGAGAGAAAGCAGAGAGAGCAGGGGGAGAGAAAGCAGAGAGAGCAAGAGAGAGGGGTGGGGGGGGGAGAGAGAAGAGAGAGGGTGGGGGGGGGAGAGTAAGAGGGGTGGGGGGGGGAGAGCAGAGAGAGGGTGGGGGGGGAGAGAAGAGAGAGGGGGGGGGGGGGAGAGAGAGAGAGGGTGGGGGGGGGGAGAGAAGAGTGGGGGGGGGGGGGAGAGCAGAGAGAGGGTGGGGGGGGGAGAGCAGAGGAGTGGTGGGGGGGGGGGAGAGAGAGAGAGGGTGGGGGGGGGGGAGAGAGAGCAGAGAGAGGGTGGGGGGGGGAGCAGAGAGAGCAGAGAGAGGGTGGGGGGGGGAGGGGGAGAGAGGGTGGGTGGGGGGGGGAAAAGAGAGAGAGAGAGAGAGGTGGGGGGGGGGAGAGCAGAGAGAGGGTGGGGGGGGGAGCAGGAGAGGGGGAGGGTGGGGGGGGGGAGAGGGAGAGGGTGGGGGGGGGGAGGGAGGGAGAGGGGGGGGGGGGGGAGAGCAGAGAGAGGGTGGGGGGGGGAGAGAAGAGAGGGGGGGGGGGGGAGAGCAGAGAGAGGGTGGGGGGGGGGAAGAGAGAGCGGGGGGGGGGGGAGAGCAGAGAGAGCGAGGGGAGGGTGGGGGGGGGGAGGGGGGGGGGGAAAGAGAGAGGGGGGGGGGGGGGGAGAGCAGAGAGAGGGTGGGGGGGGAAGAGAGAGGAGAGGGGGGGGGGGGGGGGAGAGGAGAGAGAGAGAGGGTGGGGGGGGGGAGAGCGAGAGAGGGTGGGGGGGGGGAGAAGCAGAGAGGGGTGGGGGGGGGGGAGCAGAGAGAGGGGGGGGGGAGCCAGAGAGAGGGGGGGGGGGAGAGAGAGGAGGGGAGAGAGGGGGGGGGGGGGAGAGAGAGAGAGGGTGGGGGGGGGGAGAGAGAGAGAGGGGGGGGGGGGGGGGAGAGAAGAGAGAGGGGGGGGGGGGGGAGGGTGGGGGGGGGGGAGAGAGAGAGAGGGGGGGGGGGGGGAGAGCAAGAGAGAGGGTGGGGGGGGGGAGAGAAGAGAGAGGGTGGGGGGGGGGAGAGGAGAGAGGGGGGGGGGGAGAGAAGAGAGAGGGTGGGGGGGGGGAGAGAAGAGGAGAGGGGGGGGGGGGGGGGAGAGAAGGAGAGAGGGTGGGGGGGGGGGAGAGAAGAGAGAGGGTGGGGGGGGGGGGGGAGAGCAGAGAGAGGGTGGGGGGGGGGGGGGAGCAAGAGAGAGGGGGGGGGGGAGAGAGAGAGAGGGTGGGGGGGGGGGAGAAAAGGAGGGGGGGGGGGAGAGAGAGGGGGGAGAGAGAGAGAGGGGGGGGGGGGGGGAGAGAGAGAGAGGGTGGGGGGGGGAGAGAGAGAGGAGGGATGGGGGGGGGAGAGCAGAGAGAGGGGGTGGGGGGGGGGAGAGCAGAGAGAGGGTGGGAGGGGGGGGAGCAGAGAGAGGGTGGGGGAGAGAGCAGAGAGGGTGGGAGAGAAAGCAGAGAGAGGGGGAGACAGCAGAGAGGGGGGGGAGAAAGCAGAGAGGGGGGGAGAAAGCAGAGAGGGGGGGAGAAAGCAGAGAGGGGGGGAGAGAAAGCAGAGAGGGGGGGAGAAAGCAGAGGGGGGGAGAAGAAAGCAGAGGGGGGGGAGAGGAGAAAGCAGAGAGGGGGGGAGAAAGCAGAGAGGGGGGGGAGGAAAGCAGAGAGGGGGGGGAGAAAGCAGAGAGAGGCGGTGGGAGAGAGCAGAGAGAGGGGGGGAGAGAGCAGAGAGAGGGGGGAGAGAAAGCGGAGGATACAGGGAAATAGAGGGGGTGGTGAAGAAGCAGAACAGAGCCAAGTGGCAGAATTTTAAGACAAATGGATACAGATGACAAAACCCTAGAGTTACTCTAGTCCAACAGAGAAATCCACAGTATCTTTGCCAACCAAACAACTTCAGTGGTTCGAACAGAGGTTTCAGTGCAGAAAGCCTCTGTATCAGTGGACTGAAGTCTTGTGACAAACACACATCCAGGAGGAAGATACGTGGTTTCTGTTTCACATAAGACATGCCAGTAAGATGGAGAATGGTAATGAAATCATTAATTGGGGTTAGCTGTTGGAAATAGACAGAAACTCACCAAGACAGTTCACACACACACAGCCAATCTATAACTAAGTGTTTAGATTCAAGGTATGAGCAGTTAACATGTGGCAGTAGCAGATCGATAGCTGTAGCTGATCGCAGCACCTGAAGACTTCATATAGTAAACTGAAATGACATTCCTCATTACAAGGCTGTACAAGCCAAGGTATGCCAGTTAGCCCTGGGCTAGGCTACATCTAACTCAGCCAACACCTAACATGCCACTGAAACAATCAAGCCATTACAAACTGAAAAGGTTAAAGTTACTCCACATGCAGATGTGAGCAAAGCATCGTGCAGAGGCAGCAAAGGAGGAGGGGGGGAGGAGAACAGGTGAGGAGTAAATGAGGGAGGAGTAGGAGGAGGGGAGGGAGGAGAACAGGTGAGGAGTAAATTAGGGATGAGGAGAGAAGGATGGGGATGTGGGCCCATCTTCAGAAATATGGCTCCAATTTGTTATAGGGAAATAGACACAGGAATGCAGGTACTCAACATCACATGATCGTAGATTTACTTATAACAATGTCCAATAAACACCGAACAGGTTTCCTTGGACTAAAAAGCACTTTCAATGGAAGATCTGCACTGAACACGTTTTTTAGTCCAAGGCTACGCTTAAAATATCTGGGAAACTGGCCCTTTAAGATTGACTATAATTTACATATAGCCAGGTACCATACCGTAAGACGTGCTGTTGCCAACTCTCCGGAAATATATGGCATGACCGTGATGGAATAGTTGGCTAAAGCACAGTGTATTGGACCAGGATAGCTGACATATGCTGAACCAAGTCTCTCCAACCCTGTTCCTGGAGAGCTACCCTCCTGTAGGTTTTCAATCCAACCCCAGTTGTAGCTAACCTTATTCAGCTCATCACCCAGCTAAATTATTCAAATCAGGTGTGTTAGATGAGGTTTTGAGCGAAACCCTACAGGATGATAACTCTCCAAGAACAGGGTTGGAGAAACCAAATGGCTATTAAACTCATTCATATCGTTGTAATTGGAGTAGCAGAGACTGTGGTGTTTATATTGTCAACTACACTACTATTCAAATCATACAATATTGTACCACCAAACGCATTGCACAGTATTGTACCATTGAATACACACACCCCCCACTGCAAAAAGCTTCATAGCTTCAAAATGCAAATTAATTACTTAAAAATCATACAATGTGATTTTCTGGATTTTTGTTTTAGATTCCGTCTCTCACAGTTGAAGTGTACCTATGATAAAAAATGACAGACCTCTACATGCTTTGTAAGTAGGAAAACCTGCAAAATCGGCAGTGTATCAAATACTTGTTCTCCCCACTGTATATAGCCCTATATTCAACAAACATTAAAAACAGACTGCTACAGTGTAGAGGCAACAACACTAAAACAGGAAAAGACCAGCCTACGTAGATCCAAATCAAGCAGCAGAGTATGTATCATTACCTTCATCCCTGGCGTAATCTTCCCCGGAATGGGGCTCAAACAAGTAGTCCCCCGTGGCCAGCTCAAACGCCTACAGAGACAAGTAAACAAACTATAAACATAAATAGCAACACAAACAGGCGGACTAAATCACAGGAAACAGACACTGTACTGTAGGGAGAAAGACCGTCAGCCGTTCTAAATATTACCTCCTTTCTGTCCAGACATTCCTCTTCCCTTAATTCAAGTCAAATATCCTTTATTATCTCAAATTGGGAAATTCACTTGGTTAGTAAAAGGGAATTCTAGTCATCCTTAACTTTGTGATACATCCAAGACCACCTAATTTACAGAAACGACAAAATGAACCTCTTCTTCTCACACACACACGTATATTATATATATAGAACAAAAATATAAACGCAACATGCAACAATTTCAAAGATTTTATTGAGTTAGTTCATATAGGGAAATCAGTCAATTGAAATAAATTCATTAGGCCCTAATCTATGGTTTTCACATGACTGGGCCGGGGCACTGCCATGGGTGGACCTGGGAGGGCATAGGCCCACCCACTTGAGCGCTTGGCCCAGCCAATCAGAATGAGTTTTTCCGCACAAAGGGGCTTTATTACAGAAATAAATACTCCTTCAAACGATCCCACAGGTGAAGAAGCCGGATGTGGAGGTCCTGGGCTGGAGTGGTTACATGTGGTCTGCGGTTGTGAGGCCGGTTGGACGTACTGCCAAATTCTCTAAAACGGCGTTGGAGGCGGCTTATGGTAGAGAAATTAACATTCCATTTTCTGGCAACAGCTCTGGTGGACATTGCTGCAGTCAGCATGCCAATTGCACGCGCCCTCAAAACATCTGTGGCATTGTGTCGTGTGACAAACTGCACATTTTAAAGTGGCCTTTTATTGTCCCCAGCACAAGGTGCACCTGTGTAATGATCATGCTGTTTAAATCAGATTATTGATATGCCACACCTGTCAGGTGGATGGATTATCTTGGCAAAGGAGAAATGCTCACTAACTGGGATGTAAACAAATTTGTGCACTAAATAAATAATAAATATGCTTTTTGTTCGTATGGAGCATTTCTGGGATCTTTTACTTCTGCTCATGAGACATGGGACCAACACTTTACATGTTGCGTTTATATTTTTGTTCAGTGTGTTATGCATGTAGAGTGTGTCAGCGGTCGTCGGTTGTCCAGGCTTACCATGCAGGCTGTGCTCCATATGTCGGCTGGTGTATTGTAGCCAGACCCTATGAGCACCTCCAGAGAACGGTACTGTCTCGTCTGGATGTCTTCTGTAAAGTGCTTGTGCTGCGGAGGAGACACACAGGTCAACGGGAATATTGCCCAGACTGGAGTTCAAATAGTAGCAGTTTTCAAATACTTTTAAAAAGGGTCTAAGAGTGAGCATTTCAGTGAGACTATCTGGAGGTTTGCCATTTTCCATTGCACCAGGCACGCTCAACCAATCAGGCAGGCAACATCAATGCCTGTTAAGACTTAAGCATGAAATCCCTTCGGTTCCTTGGGTCATCTGCACAGATACTCACCACCCAGCAGGCGTTCCCCAGGTCTGCTATCTTAACCTTCAGTCTGTCTGCGTTAAGTGGCTCCAGGGGGTTGACCAGGAGGTTCCCCGCTGCCAGTTTGGCTGCATCCCGAGAGAGAGGGGGGGAGGGGGGAAGGGAGAGGAAGAGAGGGGAGAAAAACATGCAACATTATAAAATCCATGTACACAAACAACAAGTGTGCGGTTAAAATTGGCAAAAACACACACATTTCATTCCACAGGGCCGTGGGGTGAGACAGGGATGCAGTTTAAGCCCACCCTCTTCAAACATATATATCAACGAATTGGCGAGGGGCACTAGAACAGTCTGCAGCAACCCCGGCCTCACCCTACTAGAATCTGAAGTTAAATGTCTTGTTTGCTGATGATCTGTGTGCTTCTGTCACCAACAAGGACGGCCTTACAGCAGCACCCTTAGATATTCTGCATAGATTCGGTCAGACATGGGCCCTGACAGACAAACCAAACCCCCACAACAAAGATCCGCCTCATCTAGAATATTCAACAACACAAAAAATAACAAAAAAATATTAGAAATAAAAAAAAAACACAAAAAGCCTTTAAAAAAGAAAAAAAAAAACACAAATTAAAAAACCATAAAAAAACTGAAAAAAGAAAAAAAACAAAATAGAACAAAAAAAAAAACATTTTGTTTTTTCTTTTTTTGATTTTTTTGTTTTGTGGCGCTCTTTGACAACAAGGAAGACGGCGTGGCAACCAAAAAATCCTCTCGAACAAAAAACAATCGTTATACTAAAAACAAAAAACAACCAAAAAAAAAAAAAAAAAAAAAAAAATAAAAAAAAAAAAAAAAAAAAATTATAAAAAAAAATAAAAAAGAAAAAAGGTAATGTTTTTTTTTTTTCTTTATTTTTTTTGTTGATTTTTTTTTTTTGTTTTTTTTTTGTTTTTGGATGGGGGGCTGGGAGGGGTGGGGGGGGCGGGGGGGGGGGAGACTGGGACCCTGACAGTAAATCTCAGTAAGACAAAAATAATGGCTGTCCAAAAAGGTCCAGTGCCAGGACCACAAATACAAATTCCATCTAGACACCATTGCCCTAGAGCACACAAAAAACTATACATACCTCTGCCTAAACATCAGCGCCACAGGTAACTTCCACAAAGCTGTGAACGATCTGAGAGACAAGGCAAGAAGGGCCTTCTATGCCATCAAAAGGAACATAAAATTTGACATACCAATTAGGATCTGGCAAAAAATACTTGAATCAGTTATAGAAACCATTGCCCTTTATGGTTCTGAGGTCTGTGGTCCGCTCACCAACCAAGAATTCACAAAATGCGACAAACACCAAATTGAGACTCTGCATGCAGAATTCTGCAAAAACATCCTCCGTGTACAACGTAAAACACCAAATAATGCATGCAGAGCAGAATTAGGCCAATACCCGCTAATTATCAAAATCCAGAAGAGACGTTAAATTCTATAACCACTTAAAAGGAAGCGATTCCCAAACCTTCCATAACAAAGCCATCACCTACAGAGAGATGAACTTGGAGAAGAGTCCCCTAAGTAAGCTCAGGACAACAACAACAACACAACTAGACCCAACCAAATCATGAGAAAACAAAAAGAGAATTACTTGACACATTGGAAAGAACAAACAAAAAAACAGAGCAAATTAGAATGCTATTTGTCCCTAAACAGAGAGAGAATACCTGACCACTGTGACTGACCCAAACTTAAGGAAAGCTTTGACTATGTACAGACTCAGTGAGCATAGCCTTGCTATTGAGAAAGGCCGCCGTAGGCAGACCTGGCTCTCAAGAGAAGACAGGCTATGTGCACACTGCCCACAAAATGAGGTGGAAACTGAGCTGCACTTCCTAACCTCCTGCCAAATGTATGACCATATTAGAGACACATATGTCCCTCAGATTACAGCGATCCACAAAGAATTCGAAAACAAACCCAATTTTGAATAAACTCCCTTATCTACTGGGTGAAAAACCACAGTGTGCCATGCACAGCTGGCAAGATTGGGATGTTGCCACAGAGAGAAAAGGGTGCAACCAGTGAAGAAAAAACACAATTGTAAATAAAAACCCATATTTAGTGTTATTTAGTTTTCTTTCCCAATTTGTACTTTAAGTATTACAGAATTGTACACGACTGAGATATAAAGAATATGGGACATTTGAAATGTCTTATTTTTTGAATGAAAAATTCTGAGGTGTAATGTTTACTGTATATTTATTGTTTATTCACTTTGTTAACGTAACTTCACTTAGAGTTGGAATGTTAAACAGTACGTTTCCATGCAAAAAGGGCCAGAAATTGAAGAGAGGGGAAGAAAAGGGGGGAGGAAGGGAGAGAGAGGGGGGGGAGGGAGAGAGATGGGAAGGGGGAGGGAAGAGAGAGGGGAAGTGGGAGGGAGGAGAGGGAGAGGGGAAGTGAGGAGGAGAGAGAGGGGAAGGGAGAAGAGTAGAGAGAGGGGAGGAAGGAGGGTAGAGAGAGGAAGGGAAGTAGAGGTAGAGAGGAGGGAAGTGAGAGGGAGAGGGGAGGTAGAGAGGAGGAGAGAGAGGGGAGGAAGGAGAGGTTAGAGAGAGGGGAAGGGAAGAGAGAGGTAGAGAGAGGGGAAGGAGAGAGGTAGAGGAGGAGGGAAGGGAAGGAGAGGAGGAGAGGGGAAGGAGGGGGTAGGAGGGGGGAAGGGAGAGGTAGAGAGGGGGGAAGGGAGAGGTAGAGAGGGGGGAAGGGAGAGGTAGAGAGAGGGGAGGAGGGAGAGGTAGAGAGAGGGGAAGGGAGAGGTAGAGAGGAGAAGGGAGGAGGGAGGGAGAGGTAGAGAGGGAAGGGAGAGGGAGAGAGAGGGGAAGGGAGAGGTAGAGAGGGAGGGAGGAGAGAAGGAGAGGTAGAGAGAGGGGAAGTGAGGAGAGGTAGAGAGAGGGGAAGGGAGAGAGGAAGGGAGAGGTAGAGAGAGGGGAAGGGGGAGAGAGAGAGGGACAAGCAGCCATTTCAACACTAACCTGACAGTCAAATAAAGGAGGAACACAACAAACTACTGTACTTAAACTCAGATGAGGAGATGACTTTGTTCAATCATAATGAAAATGCCCTCCTAACCTCCTGGTTGTATCGCTAGAGATAAACACATAGCCATGTCTACAGCTCCACCACATAGCAGGGCTCTAAAGTGCAACCATTTTACTTGCATATGCGTCTAAATATTTTGCTGTGCGACCTGGAATTTGTATTTAGGAGCACCAATGGGCCTAGAAAAATGATCACCCAGATGATCATTGTTGCAATGATTAGTTCACTGTACAGCAGCCCTTGAGTGCCATGGAGAATACACAGAGCAGATTCATGAACGTCGTGCTTGCACCATTACTACAAAGAAAATGTTTAACTCAAATATTTTTCATTATGCCCCTACATTTTTCAGTTTAGGCACACACGTGCTCCTCCCTGCATAGCAGCGTAATGTTCTCAACATCATGGTGGTCTACTCACCATCCTTCAGACTCTCCTGTTCTTCTCCATACTGACGGACATCATCCAGCAGCTCTGTGGCCTCCTCCTCCCCCAACTCCTGTCCTGCACCTCCTCTGTGACTTCCTCCCGACTCCTGTCCTGATTCTTCTCCTGATGCTCCTCCTCCTCCGGTGACAGCTGCTCCTCCTCCCGGACTCTAAAGCTTGTTGTTTCAGTCTCAGCCATCTTCCTGGTCAGAGCTCCACTCCACTCCTCACTCTCTGGGGTCTCAGGCTCCTCTGTTTCTGGGGACACCAGGCCGTTACACACGGGTTGAGGAGGTGGAGACTCCTGACCATTTGACTCCTTTTTTGACTCCTGTGGGTTTGACTCCTGTGGGTTTGACTCCTGTGGGTTTGACTCCTGAAGAAGACCGTGATCCTCTGCTGGGTCTGTGTTACCGTTGTGTTGGTCTTCCTCCCTCTCCTTGCCGTTACAGTACATCTTTCCCGCAGTTATTATGCCTTGTGGTCCTAACCGCGTCACATCCACACCCGCAATGCACGCTGGGTAAACAAGAAAATAACATGTCAGGCTGGACTAGTAGTTCCCTTCTAATTAGTCTAATTCTGTGTTGTTCTTCATCCTGGTCTTGGAGACCCACTGGGTGTGCAGGTTTTTGTCCCAGCCCAGCTGATTCAACTAATCAAGGGCTTGATAATTAGTAGATCAGTTGAGTCAGGTGCATCAGTGGTGGGCTGAGCAAAAACGCCTGTACAACCCAGTGTGGATCTCCAGGCCCATGATTGAAAAATACTAATCTAACCAACATCCCCTTGAGGGACAAAATTGTACTGAATTGAATTCCAGACACTCACTGGTTGAGTCTTGGATGGCTACCTCCTGTAAGGAAACCTGTCTGAGAGGAGCACAATATGTCCGCTCCTGTTTGGAAGAGACTGGAGACTCTGGGTCCTCCTCTTCATCCTCCTCCTCCCTCCCCGGAGCCTTCTCCATCTCCTCCAGATCCAGAATGCATTTCTCCAACAGCTCCGCCTGACGCTTCTGCTTCTTCTTTAACTTCTTCTTCTTGTTCTTGGACATTTTGGCCATCTGGAGAACAGGAGGAAGAGGAAAAGGAACAGTGAGACAGACAGGACTCACAACAGGGTTTAGTAACAACACCAACAGGGTTTAGTAACACCAACACCAAGGTTTAGTAACAACACCACCACCAGGGTTTAGTAACAACACCACCACCAGGGTTTAGTACCAACACCAGGGTTTAGTACCAACACCAGGGTTTAGTACCAACACCAGGGTTTAGTACCAACACCAGGGTTTAGTACCAACACCAACACCAGGGTTTAGTAACAACACCAACACCAGGGTTTAGTAACAACACCAACACCAGGGTTTAGTAACAACACCACCACCAGGGTTTAGTAACAACCACCCACCAGGGTTTAGTACAACACCAGGTTAGTACCAACACCAGGGTTAGTACAACAACACCACCACCAAGGTTAGTAACACCACCAAGGGTTTAGTAACACACCAGGTAGAACACACCAAGGTTAGTAAAACACCACCACCAAGGTTTAGTAACACCACCAAGGTTTAGTAACACCACCAAGGTTTAGTAACAACACCAACAACAGGGTTTAGTAACACACAACAACAGGGTTTAGTAACAACACCAACAACAGGGTTTAGTAACACCACCACAACAGGGTTTAGTAACACCACCAACAGGGTTTAGTACAACCACCACCAACAGGGTTTAGTAACACACCACCAACAGGGTTTAGTAACACCACCACCAACAGGGTTTAGTAACCACCACCACCAGGGTTTAGTAACACACACCACACAGGGTTTAGTAACACACCACCAACAGGGTTTAGTAACACCACACAACAGGGTTTAGTAACACCACCAACAGGGTTTAGTAACACCACCAACAACAGGTTAGTACACCACATACAGGGTTTAGTAACACCACACCAACAGGTTAGAACACCACACCAAGGGTTAGTAACACCACCACACCAGGGTTTAGTAACACCACCACCACCAGGGTTTAGTAACACGACACCGGGTTTAGTACCAACACCAGGGTTTAGTACAAACACAGGTTTAGTACCACCAGTTAGTACCAAACCAGGTTAGTACAACACAGGTTTAGTACCAACACCCGGGTTTAGTACCAACACCAGGGTTTAGTACAACAACCCAGGGTTTAGTACCACCCAACACCAGGGTTAGTAACACACCACCCAGGGTTTAGTACCCACCGGTTAGCCACCACACAGGGTTCAGTACAACACAACCAGGTTTATACAACACCACCAGGTTAGTAACACACACCACCAAGGTTTAGTAACACCACCAAGGTTTAGTAACAACACCAAGGTTTAGTAACAACAACACCAAGGTTCAGACAACAACACCAAGTTTAGAACAACACCACCACCAGGGTTTAGTAACAACACCACCACCAGGGTTTAGTAACAACACCACCACCAGGGTTTAGTAACACCACCACCACCAGGGTTTAGTAACACCACCACCACCAGGGTTTAGTAACACCACCACCACCAGGGTTTAGTAACACCACCAACAGGGTTTAGTAACACCACCAACAACAGGGTTTAGTAACACCACCAACAACAGGGTTTAGTACCACCACCAACAACAGGGTTTAGTAACACCACCAACAACAGGGTTTAGTAACACCACCAACAACAGGGTTTAGTAACACCACCAATAACAGGGTTTAGTAACACCACCACCAACAGGGTTTAGTAACACCACCAACAACAGGGTTTAGTAACACCACCAACAACAGGGTTTAGTAACACCACCAACAACAGGGTTTAGTAACACCACCAACAGGGTTTAGTAACAACACCAACAAACAAATCTCAAGCAGAGGCAACGAATGAAAAGAGGCAACTTACTGCTTTTGGAGCGGGCGCTGTGCTGACTGAAAAGACAACAGAACCAAGTAAGAATACAAAACAATAATAATCTTGTGCCCAAACCCAGAAAATGCAGAGCCTCCCAATAAACTGGAACTAGGGCACTGCATCACAGTAGTCGGTCTGTACGGTGTGTGTATGGCCCCTACCCGCTGACCCTGAAGGGGGGGGGAGCCCCTGCTTTCTGCCACTCTGTAGCCTCCGCGGCCAGCCTCCTCACGTACGGCTCATTCACCGTCAACAGGATGTTCTCTGGCTTGATGTCCGTGTGGATGATCTTACACTTGGTGTGAAGGTAGTCCAGCCCCTGGAGGACCTGGATAACGTTCCATTACATTTTAGTCATTTAGCAGACGCTCTTATCCAGAGTGACTTACATTCAGTGCATTCAATGAAGGTAGGTAAAACAACCACATGTCACAGATACTGCAAGTAAAACCTTCAAAACAAGCACAAACACGTATGGGAGAAACAGATGCCGGCCCCATGTCTCTCATGACACATTGTTTAGATAAATGTCAAATTGAGTAGCTAGCACACGCAATATTTGGTTCTGGATTCTGAGATTAGGCTAGCCAAGGTATGAGGATATGTATCTTAGTACTAGTTACTTGTCACATGATGCTCTTGGTACTAGTTAACCGTCATATGATGCTCTTGGTACTAGTTACCTGTCATATGATGCTCTTGGTACTAGTTACTTGTCACATGATGCTCTTGGTACTAGTTAACCGTCATATGATGCTCTTGGTACTAGTTACCTGTCATATGATGCTCTTGGTACTAGTTACTTGTCACATGATGCTCTTGGTACTAGTTAACCGTCATATGATGCTCTTGGTACTAGTTACCTGTCATATGATGCTCTTGGTACTAGTTACCCGTCACATGATGCTCTTGGTACTAGTTACCTGTCACATGATGCTCTTGGTACTAGTTAACCGTCATATGATGCTCTTGGTACTAGTTACCGGTCACATGATGCTCTTGGTACTAGTTAACCGTCATATGATGCTCTTGGTACTAGTTACCTGTCACATGATGCTCTTGGTACTAGTTAACCGTCATATGATGCTCTTGGTACTAGTTACTTGTCACATGATGCTCTTGGTACTAGTTAACCGTCATATGATGCTCTTGGTACTAGTTACCTGTCATATGATGCTCTTGGTACTAGTTAACAGTCACATGATGCTCTTGGTACTAGTTACTTGTCACATGATGCTCTTGGTACTAGTTAACCGTCACATGATGCTCTTGGTACTAGTTACCTGTCGTATGATGCTCTTGGTACTAGTTACCTGTCGTATGATGCTCTTGGTACTAGTTACCTGTCATATGATGCTCTTGGTACTAGTTACCTGTCGTATGATGCTCTTGGTACTAGTTACCTGTCGTATGATGCTCTTGGTACTAGTTACCTGTCGTATGATGCTCTTGGTACTAGTTACCTGTCATATGATGCTCTTGGTACTAGTTACCTGTCGTATGATGCTCTTGGTACTAGTTACCTGTCGTATGATGCTCTTGGTACTAGTTACCTGTCGTATGATGCTCTTGGTACTAGTTAACCGTCACATGATGCTCTTGGTACTAGTTACCTGTCATATGATGCTCTTGGTACTAGTTACCTGTCGTATGATGCTCTTGGTACTAGTTACCTGTCGTATGATGCTCTTGGTACTAGTTACCTGTCGTATGATGCTCTTGGTACTAGTTACCTGTCATATGATGCTCTTGGTACTAGTTACCTGTCGTATGATGCTCTTGGTACTAGTTACCTGTCGTATGATGCTCTTGGTACTAGTTACCTGTCGTATGATGCTCTTGGTACTAGTTACCTGTCATATGATGCTCTTGGTACTAGTTACCTGTCATATGATGCTCTTGGTACTAGTTACCTGTCATATGATGCTCTTGGTACTAGTACCTGTCGTATGATGCTCTTGGTACTAGTTACCTGTCGTATGATGCTCTCGATACTAGTTACCTGTCATATGATGCTCTTGGTACTAGTTACCTGTCATATGATGCTCTTGGTACTAGTTACCTGTCGTATGATGCTCTTGACGCAGGGCAGGGGAAGGCCCTGGTAGTTGGACTTGATGATCCACTTCAGTAGGTGGTGCCCCAGCACCTCAAACACCATGCACACATGAGTCCCGTTGATGCCGGAGATCTTGAAGTCATCTAGTAGCTGGACTACCATTTCCCTCTTGGGGTCGTCAGGGTCTGTGTTTCTCACCTACGAAGCAAAGCCAGGAAAACCAAACGTATCAGAACAAATGTGTCCGAAAGAAAAAGAAAGGAGAGCAAAGGAGGCATTTTACAGATGAAAAGATCAGGCTGATGTCATGTTGGGTATAGCTGACTTAAGTTAGTACTCACAGATCTCAGCAGTTTGATCTCATCCACAGCTGTCTCTGTGTAGTGCTCTGCACTCTTCACCACCTTCATAGCCACAAACCTCTTCACCCTAAAAAAACAGACTGTCAATCAGTCAAGCTGACACAGAAGACAGTCTCTTTGTCCCAAATGGCACCCTATTCCTTAAATAGTGCAATACTTACGGCCTGAGCCAATACGATGCCATTTCAGATGTGCTCAGAGAAAAACATCCACCTTTACGTGTGTAATGGACAGAGAAACGTATGATAAGATGTTCTTACTGGATGTCCCAGGCCAGCCACACAGTGGAGAAGTGTCCCCAGCCCAGCTTCCTGATCACATGGTACCTCCCGTTGAACAGGTCTCCTATCTTTACATGGTGGTAACCACCTAGACACACAGGAGAGGGAGATTGGTGACAGAAGAAAAACAAGTTACACATTCATTATTTGTTATTAGGACTAATAATATTTTTTTTAATGTATACTGAACGATTTCAACAATTTGACTGAGTTACAGTATATTTAAGGAAATCAGTCAATTGAAATAAATTAATTAGGCCCTAATCTATGGATTTCACATGACTGGGCAGGGGTGCATCCATGGATGGGCCTGGGAGGGCATAGGCCCACCCACTGGGGAGCCAGACCAGAATACTCCTCAGTTTCATCAGCTGTCCGGTTGGCTGGTCTCAGACGCTCCCGCAGGTGAAGAAGCCGGATGTGGAGGTCCTCCGCTGGTGTGGTTACACGTTGTCTGCGGTTGTGAGGCCGGTTGGATGTACTGCCAAATTCTCTAAAACTACGTTGGAGGCGGCTTATGGTAGAGAAATTAACATTTAATTATCTGGCAACAGCTCTGGTGGACATTCCTGCAGTCAGTATGCCAATTGGATGCTCCCTCAAACCTTGAGACATCTGTGGCATTGTGTTGTGAGACGAAACTGCACATTTTAGAGTGGCCTTTTATTGTCGAACACAGGGTGCACCTGTATAATGATCATGCTGTTTAATCAGCTTCTTGATATGCCACACCTGTCAGGTGGATGGATTATCTTGGCAAAGGAGAAATGCTCACTAACAGGGATGTAAAGAAATGCCTGCACAACATGTGAGAAAATTAAGCTTTTTGTTCGTATGGAACATTTCTGGGATCTTTTATTTCAGCTCATGAAACATGAAACCAACACTTTACATGTTGCGTTTATATTTTTGTTCAGTATAATAACATCCTGTGTGGGTTTACTTAAGTCTGAAATTGACTGAAATTGCCATTGATCAAAGTGAGGAGACTCTTCTACAGCTGTGTTTATTTTGTGAACTTTGAACAAAAGTGGCAAGTGTGTACATTGTAGAGGTCTTCTCAGATGCCGAAATTGAGATCCGATTTTTTTTCTCAAAATTTACATTTTAGTCATTTAGCAGACGCTCTTATCCAGAGCGACTTACAGGAGCAATTAGGGTTAAGTGCCTTGCTTAAGGGCACATCGACAGATTTTTCACCTAGTCGGCTCGGGGATTAGAACCAGCGACCTTTCGGTTACTGGCACAACGCTCTTACCCACTAAGCTACCTGCCGCCCCCGAGCAGACTTTATGCTGACAAACATCACACTGACTCGAGTCACTCAACATTAGAAAACTTAGAAAATAGCCCAAATACAATAGCAAAGTAGCCCATAGGACTATTAAATAGGCTAAGCCTAAATTAATAAATTAAGATATTTAAACTAGTAAATTGAATAAATTAAACAAATGCATTAAATAACTCAGGTCTTGAAAATATGGGCCAAGAGCCTCCTCCGTATCCACAACGTGCATGAGACCATACAGACGTTGGTTTTCCCTCCCTGTAGCCTCTGTCATTGCCTGTAGCCTCTGTCATTCCCTGTAGCCTCTGTCATTCCCTGTAGCCTCTGTCATTCCCCTGTAGCCTCTCCCATTCCCCTGTAGCCTCTCCCATTCCCCTGTAGCCTCTCCCATTCCCCTGTAGCCTCTCCCATTCCCCTGTAGCCTCTCCCATTCCCTGTACTCCCTTTCATTCAGTTTCTTCACATTAGCAAATAACGACTCAGTGTTTCAGAAACTCACTTTCTTATAGCCTAGGCTATCATTCTTCCCCCCCCCCCCCGGAGTCTTCCTCCTCTCTCACAACAAGTAGGCTACAATATCCCACGTCAATGGCGAGTTTTCATAAAGAGAACATGCAGTTGTCACAAAATGATATTGACACATTCGGTTTGATGAAAGGTGACCGACCCCCTGACAATAACTTAAGAGAATAAAATGTAAATGAGTGAAATTTGCATTTGTTTGTTTAGGAACTAAACTCTTCAAAATATACATTTTGGATACTGTCGGTATTTCACATATTTTCCACGTCGGATCTCAGGTAGTTCCGTGAAGACCTCCAGTACATTGTGAGTATACGAGGACCACTCACCTTTGCAGTAGTCATTGGGGTCCTCCTGCTCCTCGTCATCAGAGCCTAGGATCTCCTCCGGCTCCTCTGGCTCCTGGGGAGAGGCCTCTGCTTGGGACTGCTGCTGAGCAGCTGGGTGCCTGGAAGACACATGAATGTTCTGGAAGTATAACAACGATAACAGAACATACAGTGCCTTCAGAAAGTATTCATACACCTTGACTTATTCCACATAAGTGCATGTCAGAGCAGAAACTATACCACAAAGTCCAAGGAACATCTGTAGATCTCAGAGATATAAAATTGTGATGAGGCATATATCTGGGGAAGGGTAGAAAACTATTTCTAGAGTGCTGAAAGTTCCCAAGAGCACAGTGGTCTCCATCATTAGGAAATGGAAAAAATATGGAACGACCCAGACTCTGCCTAGAGCTGGCCGTCCGACCAAACTGAGCAACCGGGCAAGAAGGACCTTGGTCAGGGAGGTAACCAAGAACCCAATGACCACCCTGACAGAACTACAGAGTTCCTTGGCTGAGATGGGAGAACCTGCCAGAAGGACAACAGTCTCTACAGCACTTCACCAATCTGGGCTTTATGGGAGAGTGACCTGACAGAAGCCACTCCTGAGGAAAAAGGCACATGACAGCATGCCTGGAGTTTGCAAAAAGGCATGTGAAAGACTTCAAGCATATGGCAAAAAATTCTGTGGTCTAATGAGAAATAAATGGAACTCTTTGACCTGAATGCACGCGCTATGTCTGGAGAAAAGCAGGCACAGCTCATCACCCATCGAACACCATCCCTACTGTGAAGCATGGTGGTGGCAGCATCATGCTATGGGGATGCTTTTCAGCAGCAGGGACTGGGAGACTGGTAAGGAGAGGGAACAATGAATGGAGCCAAATCCTTGAGAACCTGCTTCAGAGTGCAAACGACCTTAGACTGGGGGCGAAGATTTACATTCCTACAGGACAATGACTCAAAGCATACAGCCAATGCAACGCTGGAATGGCTTCAGAACAAGAATGTGAAAGTCCTTGAGTGGCCCAGCCAAAGCCCAGACTTGAATGCCATTGAACATTTGTGGAAAGACTTGAAGATTGCTGTTCACCGCTGCTTCCCATCTAACTTAACAGAGCTTGAGAAAATCTTCAAGGAAGAATGGCAAAAAAAAAAGCCCAAATCCAGATGTGCAAAGCTGATACAGACATACACAAGACCACTCAAAGCTGTAATTACCACCAAATGTGCTTCTACAAAGTATTGACTCAGGGGTGGGAATACTTGTGCAAATGTGATATTTCTGTATTTAAATTGAATACATTTGCTACAATTTCTAAAAACATGCTTTCACTTTGTCATTATGGGGTATTGTGTGTGTAGATGGGTGAGAGAAAAAAAATCAATTGAATACATTCTGAATTCAGGCTGTAACAACAAAACGTGGAATAAGTCCAAGGGGTGTGAGTACTCTCTGAAGGCACTGTATTTAGAACAGAGGCCTCTGGCTGGGGCTGCTGTTGAGACGCTGTCGGCTGGCTGCCTGGAGGTCATACTAGTCTGAGTAATGCACCAACTACAGTATGACAACAATAACAAAATATCAGACTATCGCCTTCAATTTTAACATGTCTCGCACGCTAAATGCAGTATTACATTCTACCACCTCTTTCATAAAAATAGACGTTTTTCCCAAGGATGACGTAAACTTTTTTCCAGAGATGAGTGACTTGCATGGCATTTACACTGACATTTGATACAGGACTGTTGCCCTTTTCCATTCAAGACGTCTCAAATCAGTGTAACAGCCAGCTAACTGGCTTACTGCTCTAGAAATAAACGCAAGTTATTCACATACACAGGATGACCGCAGTGTGGAAATCCATTGTTCGAAAAATACAAAAAAGTTTTGCCTATCTAGGCTAATGTGAAGTCTCGTGATAAGGTTTGGTTCTGGGTGCTGAGACTAGGCTGTGTTCTTTAGCAGAAACTGCCATCATCTATAATAATACCTTGATGGACATGGCATTTCCACCATCCATAATGTCATACTTCAGTTAACTTCACCGCTCTCCTGCTGTTTTAAATATAGCTAGCAGCACAGCAGATAGGCATTACATAACATAGGGCCTACAGAAGGATGTCTGCCATGTGTGATGGCATAGTGCGGGTTGGCTTGGATGTTGGGTAAACCACAACAATCTCAATCCTTCCTATACACAGGATTTACTAAAATACTGTACATCATTCATAACATTCTAAGATATTCAAAATGGGTGTTATAGGATTCTTTGAGGTACATTGTCGTTCTGGGCAGGCCCAAGAGGCACTGACATTTGTACTAAACTGTGTGCCTGCCATGCCGGGGCAACTCAAATCTGACCCAGTTACACTTCTGCCGGCTTTACATCTTGCGATATATAATTAGGGACTGATTTACTGTAGACCTGGGACACCAATTAGCTAATTAACTGAGTACAAGTAACTGTCAGAGGGGAAACAAAAGCCAGAAGTGCTTTGGCGCTCCATGAGTAGCCCTGCTGTCTGCATTCAGACATCCATATCTGTCCAGGTCACAAACACTATGTAAATATTGATGTTAGCAGCTCAAGACATTTCCAGATATGCTGCATTCCTTCTGACTACAAATAATAGATAAACCAGAGGCAGTTATAGTTAAGACACTCAAAGCCTATAATGAATCACCATACAAAGTCTTTCTAGAAACTTCACACAAAGCATGCATTGCATTTTCTAGAACATATCGCAAACATTAAGAACACTGTCCTAATATTGAGTTGCACCCTCCCCCCTTTGCCCTCAGAACAGCCTCAATTTGTCAGGGCATAAACTCTACAAGGTGTCGAAAGGGTTCCACAGGGCTGCTGGCCCATGTTGACTCCAATGCTTGCCACAGTTATGTCAAGTTGGCTGGATGTCCTTTGGGTGGTGGACCATTCTTGATACACACGGGAAACTGTTGAGCGTGAAAACCCCAGCAGCGTTGCAGTTCTTGACACAAACTGGTGCACCTGGCACACATACACAATTCAACTCGAGGCTTAAAAACCCTTATTTAACCTGTTGTCTCCTCCCCTTCATCTACACTGATTGAAGTGGACTTAACAAGTGACATCAATAAGGGATCATAGCTTTCACCTGGTCAGTCTCATGAAAACAGGAACCCTCAACACCTCTTGGAAAGAGGAGAGGTGTAGGCTGTGTCTTTGGCATGTAATAGAGAGAAATAGTAATGGCGTCTTTTTGTAGGCACTAACTCCGCCATGGTTCATTGGCCAAAGCCTATGGGGAAATGAATGCTATTCTTGGGGGGATAAACGCTGAAAATAAGGTCTGTGGTAAACACAGGCATATGAGATCTTATACATTACTTGAAAATACAGAGGGTTTCACTCGGTTTTGTGTTGCATTGGATTTGACCCAAAGCTGTAGTTTTTAATTTAGGCCATGTTGTCTTGCAGTATTACTTAACAGCCTTGTTGCAAACACAATGGATGATTTGGAGTGGATTTTATAACACACACTTCCTTCTTTTCACTTTGTCATACAGGCCAGTAATGTAGAGTGAATGCAATGTTGATCCCTTTGTATTTTCAAGTGTTGTGGTGGCAGCATCATGTTATGGGTATGCTTGTCACCGGCAGGGACTGGGGAGTTGGTTACAATCAAAATAAATATGAAAGGAGCAAAGCCCAGGTAACACGCATACCATAACATGACACCTCAGTCTTCTGAAAACGTTTATTTTACTATGCCAAAGACAAACAAGAATGGCTTTCCAAGAGGTGTTGTGTTCCTGAATGGCCCAGTCTCCTTCCTGATTTAAATCTGCTTAAAAAAATAAAAATCAGAGACAAGGTTTGAAAATTGCTGTCCATCAATGATTCCCAACCAGATTGACTGAGCTTGATGAATTTTGACAAAACAATGGATATACAGTATGTTGCCCTAAGAGTTGTGCAAGGTCAGTAGAATACTATTCAAAACGATTCGCAGCTGTAATAGCTGCCAAAGGTGCTTCACCATGTATTAACTATGGGCTGTGAAGACAATCAATACATCCTCATTTTTGTATTTCTAAGTGGAATAGGTTGTGTAGCTCGATAGGGGAACCAAATCGAACGTAATCCCTTTTTATTTTAAGGCAGCAAAATGTGAATACTGTGCAAGGGGTGTGTAGAGTTTCACTAGCAACTGTACTATGATCCTAAATAAATCATTAACTAGGTGATATGGTGCGTGGTAAAAAAACAAACAGATGTGCTGACTGACAAGGGAAGTGACTTCATCATGGATATTGCTAAATCAGAACATCTGCTGTACAGTCTGGAGTGGACACAGACCACAACGCCCAGTCAATCAGTGCTTTTTAGGACACCACGGAAACTGGATGTATGCTCTCGGCCTCCAGCTGATTCAATGCTTTGGGTCAAACCAAATGCCTGTGTCATTAGATGTAGCCAAGTGTTGTGCGGCAAGACATGTTTGTTAACCAGTAGGTATGCAGAATGACTCACTTCTTGCTGGACTTCTTCGCTTTCGCCCTCTTCTTCCTCGCTCGAAGAGCTAGAACTAATGCAATGAAAGACATTTATTCAATATCTAGCTAGCTATCACATTACTGGTTAAGCAGTATTTTAACTAGCTATCACATTACTGGTTAAGCAGTATTTTAGCTAGCTATAACATTACTGGTTAAGCAGTATTTTAGCTAGCTATCACATTACTGGTTACGCAGTATTTTAGCTAGCTATAACATTACTGGTTAAGCAGTATTTTAGCTAGCTATAACATTACTGGTATTTAGCAGCTAAATACTGGTTAGGTATTTAGCTAGCTATAACATTAATGGTTAAGCAGTATTTTAGCTAGCTATAACATTACTGGTTAAGCAGTATTTTAGCTAGCTATAACATTACTGGTTAAGCAGTATTTTAGCTAGCTATAACATTACTGGTTAAGCAGTATTTTAGCTAGCTATAACATTACTGGTTAAGCAGTATTTTAGCTAGCTATAACATTACTGGTTAAGCAGTATTTTAGCTAGCTATAACATTACTGGTTAAGCAGTATTTTAGCTAGCTATAACATTACTGGTTAAGCAGTATTTTAGCTAGCTATAACATTACTGGTTAAGCAGTATTTTAGCTAGCTATAACATTACTGGTTAAGCAGTATTTTAGCTAGCTATAACATTACTGGTTAAGCAGTATTTTAGCTAGCTATAACATTACTGGTTAAGCAGTATTTAGCTAGCTATAACATTACTGGTTAAGCAGTATTTTAGCTAGCTATAACATTACTGGTTAAGCAGTATTTTAGCTAGCTATAACATTACTGGTTAAGCAGTATTTTAGCTAGCTATAACATTACTGGTTAAGCAGTATTTTAGCTAGCTATAACATTACTGGTTAAGCAGTATTTTAGCTAGCTATAACATTACTGGTTAAGCAGTATTTTAGCTAGCTATCACATTACTGGTTAAGCAGTATTTTATCTAGCTATCACATTACTGGTTAAGCAGTATTTTAGCTAGCTATCACATTACTGGTTAAGCAGTATTTTAGCTAGCTATCACATTACTGGTTAAGCAGTATTTTAGCTAGCTATGTTTCCATATAGTGACTCGCTGAACGGAACGTTATATGCTAGCTAGCTATCCAACGACAGTTGAAAGGTGGCTGAGGTAGCTAGGTTAATGAATTATTAGCCAGCTAACATTAGCCACAGTTGTTTCCTGCGACAATAGTTAGCCAACATTGTTAGACAAATCAAATAGTTGGCAGCATTAGCTACATACGTGAGTTACTGGTTGAAGATTATCAATAACGTCCTCCTTTAAAAAGGAAGCGACAACTGCGATGTTTGGCCAGCTAGCTAGCTTTCGTGCAACCACCACTCACTGAAGATCTGCTAATGCCAATCGCACAAATAATGCACGATTCCCTCCACGTTTACTCAATTACTTTGTCATAGTTAACAATGATATGAATCAATGGATTGTAGTTAGATAGGGGTCAGGTTGATGCCTGTCCTATCTTAGTTAGCATTAGCTAGCTGCGCCAGTGCGTGCCTGGCGTTCAGTTTAGCAGGAGACATGCAATTCCACAAAACATTTCGTACATAAGAGTACGTCGATAACATGAACAGTAACTTTAAATACGACATCAAAATCACGTTTGTTCATATATTATATTAACACAAAACTGCTTACTGATTAATTGTTTGTCTTTTATGCCTTTATAACAATTACCTTTTCTCTCCATGTTGGCCGGGTAGTTCACAGATCTTCCTTACGCCAACAGCACAAACGATGACGTCACTTGTATATGATAACGAGAAACCTTCAAATTAAAAGCCAGCGTTTCGACACTGCAACAAAACCGACGCGTGCGCAACTATGTGGCAAACAGACGTGGTTGGCTTCGATTGTTGACAACATGTAAACTATATTTCGTCTCCAATGTTTATTGAAAACATGAATACATTTGTACAATGAGGACTTGTTGAAATCAAAACAAGACATGGTATCAACATGATGAAACCAGTCACTTATGATTCCCCACATGGCAGTTTCTTGTCATTGTTGTAGCCGGGGCCACTACTGGCAATTTCAGCCACACCTGTTGCTGACAGGTTTATAAAATTGAGCGAGCACACAGCCATGCAATCTCCATAGACAAACATTGTCCGTAGAATGGCCCGTACTGAAGAGCTCAGTGACTTTCAACATGGCACTGTCATAGGATGCCATATTTCCAACAAGTAAGTCATATTTCTGCACTTCTAGAGCTGCCTGGTCAACTGTAAGTGCTGTTATTGTGAAGTAGAAACATCTATGAGCAACAACGGCTCAGCCACGAAGTGGTAGGCCACACAAGCTCACAGAACGGGACCGCCGAGTGCTGAAGCGCATAGTGCATGAAAATCATCTGTCCTCGGTTGCAACACTCACTACCGAGTTCCAAACTGCCTCTGGAAGCAACTTCAGCACACAAGAACTGTTCGTCGGGAGCTTCATGAAATTGGTTTCCATGGCCGAGCAGCCGCACACAAACCTAAGATCACCATGCGCAATACCAAGTGTCGGCTGGAGTTGGACTGCTCCTACTGGGGGGTCTGACCGGGGGCTTCAAAGCCTCTCATTGGCCAATACATAGAATCAGTAATCCGGGGTTTATATATACACTGAATAAAAATATAAACGCAGCATGCAACAATTTCAAAGATTTTACTGAGCTACAGTTCATAGAAGGAACTCAGTCAATATAAATAAGGCCCTAATCTATGGATTTCACATGACTGGGAATACAGACATGCATCTGATGGTCACAGATACCTTTTATCATGCTGAAACATGAGGTGATGGCAGTGGATGAATGGCACGACAATGGGCCTCAGGATCTCGTCACGGTATGTGCATTCAAATTTACATCGATAAAACGCAATTGTGTTCGTTGTCGTTAGCTTATGCCTGCCCATACCATAACCCCACCGCCACCATGGGGCACTTTCTTCAAAACTTTGACATCAGCAAACCACTCGCCCACATGACGCCATACACATGATCTGCGGTTGTGAGGCCGGTTGGACGTACTGCCAAATTCTCCAAAACAACATTGGAGGCGGCTTATGGTAGAGAAATGAACATTTAATTATCTGGCAACAGCTCTGGTGGACATTCCTGCAATCAGCATGCCAATTGTGTGACAAAACTGCACATTTTAGAGCAGCCTTGTATTGTCCCCAGCACAACGTGCACCTGTGTAATGATCATGCTGTTTAATCAGCTTCTTGATATGCCACACCTGTCAGGTGGGTGGATTATCTTGGCAAAGGAGAAATGCTCACTAACAGGGATGTAAACAAATTTGTGCACAACATTTGAGAGAAATAAGCTTTTTGTGCATATGGAACATTTCTGGGATCTTTTATTTTAGCTCATGAAACATGGGACCAACACTTACATGTTGCTTTTATATTTTTGTTCAGTATACATCATTGGTTTGAACATACCAGTATTTGTGTAAACTATCAAAATAAATCCTGGTATATGTATTTTCATAGGTGGTTGCATTGCTGTGCAAAATGTTTTACTGCACTAGAGTGCTTCAAAAATCGATATTCCCAAAGCTTAGTTTATCTTTGCAGGGGGGACTCTTATTTTGAAAAATAAAATCCACTTTTGTGCTGCCAGCATAATTTCCTGCTGCTAGCAGAATGGAAATGTGAAAACCTATTCAACTGGCAAACCCAACTGACTGGGCAAGCCAATCAAAATCCAGTTTCCGAATCCTCACCTTTCTTCATATAATAAGATAAGGAATCACATCAAATGTAGCCTATTGCAAAGAAAAGCTATATTCATTTGATTGCTACTTTTTTCTGGATTGAAGGAACTGACTGTCAAATTAGTTTATATTGTATTTTTGATTTAGTTTATAATCCTAACCGGCAGATAGTGAGACCGTCAATGGACAGGTAAACAGCGACCACTAGCGGCTGTTCAGGCTAGCTAAAGCACTGTATAATGCCTCTAAATAAATATTAGCAGTACCACTACATAGCACGTACAACACACAGTACAAGAAAATACATCTGGATTTTGTATTTAGTTAATTAAAATTAAGATCACATATCATTAAAAAATGTGCTTCACAATCAGAATTTCCTCACCTTATTATTGCCTGTTTCAACATCTCAAAAATAATGTTCAATATGTCAGCAGCGTAGACGTCAATCTGTCGGCAGAGTGGCGATCTGTATTTACTGTACAGTCTGAGGTGTTTCTTGAGTGATATTAGTGTGGTAATTTATTCACAACAATATTTACATCCCAAAAATCATCTCATGAAAATGAGTATTTGTATTTGAAAGCCAAGTTAACAAACAGATCACCGACCATTTCGAATTCCACCGTACCTTCTCCGCTATACAATCCGGTTTCCGAGCTGGTCACGGGTGCACTTCAGCCACGCTCAAGGTCCTAAACGATATTATAACCGCGATCGATAAAAGACAGTACTGTGCAGCCGTCTTTTTCATCGACCTGGCCAAGGCTTTCGACTCTGTCAACCACCACATTCTTATTGGCAGACTAAATAGCCTTGGTTTCTCAAATGACTGCCTCGCCTGGTTCACCAACTACTTCTCAGATAGAGTTTAATGTGTCAAATCGGAGGGCCTGTTGTCTGGACCTATGGCAGTCTCTATGGGGGTGCCACAGGGTTCAATTCTTGGGCCGACACTTTTCTCCGTGTATATCAATGATGTCGCTCTTGCTGCTGGTGACTCTCAGATCCACCTCTACGCAGACGACACCATTTTGTATACATCTGGCCCTTCATTGGACACTGTGTTAACAAACCTCCAAACGAGCTTCAATGCCATACAACAGTCCTTCAGTAGCCTCCAACTGCTCTTAAACACTAGTAAAACTAAATGCATGCTTTTCAATCGAACGGTGCTGGCACCCGCCCACCCGACTAGAATCACTACTCTCGACGGGTCTGACCTAGAGTATGTGGACAACTACAAATACCTAGGTGTCTGGTTAGACTGTAAACTCAACTTCCAGACTCACATAAAGAATCTCCAATCCAAAGTTAAATCTAGAATCGGCTTCCTATTTCGCAACAAAGCCTCCTTCACTCATGCTGCCAAACATGACCCTCGTAAAACTGACTATCCTACCGATCCTTGACTTCGGCGATGTCATTTACAAAATAGCCTCCAACACTCTACTCAGCAAATTGGATGTAGTCTATCACAGTGCCATCCGTTTGTCTCCAAAGCCCCATACACTACCCACCACTGTGACCTGTACGCTCTTGTTGGCTGGTCCTCACTACATGTTCGTCGTCAAACCCACTGGCTCCAGGCCATCTATAAATCACTGCTAGGCAAATCCCCGCCTTATCTTAGCTCATTGGTCACCATAGCAGCACCCACCCGTAGTCTGCGCTCCAGCAGGTATATCTCACTGGTCATTCCCAAAGCCAACACCTCCTTTGGCCGCCATTCCTTCCAGTTCTCTGCTGCCAATGACTGGAACAAATTGCAAAAATCTCTGAAGCTGGAGACTCTTATCTCCCTCACTAACTTTAAGCATCAGTTGTCAGAGCACCTTACCGATCACTGCACCTGTACACAGCCCATTTGAAATTAGCCCACCCAACTACCTCATCCCTATATTGTTATTTATTTTGCTCTTTTGCACCCCAGTATCTCTATTTGCACATAATCTCTTGCACAGCTAGCATTCCAGTGTTTAATACTAATTGTAATTATTTTGCACTATAGCCTATTTATTGCCTTACCTCCATAACTTACTACATTTGCACACACTGTATATATATTTTCTGTTGTATTTTTTGACTTTATGTTTTTTTTACCCCATATGTAACTCTGTGTTGTTGTTTTTATCGCACTGCTTTGCTTTATCTTGGCCAGGTCGCAGTTGTAAATGAGAACTTGTTCTCAACTGGCTTACCTGGTTAAATAAAGGTGAAAAAAAAAAGATTTCAATATTTTTTTTACTCCCGTTTTCTGGTATCCTCTGAGACTATATGGAATAGAAAATTATCCACCATAGCCCATGGCCAACCCTAATCACAGCACATCAAGAATATAGTCCTTCTAACATAAAAAAAAAGGCTATTTTTAAAAGCTTATCTGGGCTCAACAGTCACAGAATAGTTCCCCATCGAGGACCACTTTGGAAACAGGTGTTTTAATTCATACTTTAAGTGCTATCCTCTGGGAATACATCGTACATATAGTTGTACAGCAGAGGGTGCACCCCCCTATCCACATCGACGGGACCGCAGTGGAGAAGGTGGAAAGCGTCAAGTTCCTTGGCGTACACATCACCGACAAACTGAAATGGTCCAACCACGCAGACAGTGTGGTGAAGAAGGCGAAACAGAGCCTCTTCAACCTCAGGAGGCTGAAGAAATCCGTCTTGGCACCTAAAACCCTCACAAACTTTTACAGATGCACAATTGAGAGCATCCTGTCGGGTTGTATCACTGCCTGGTATGGAAACTGCAACGCCCGCAAGCGCAGGGCTCTCCAGAGGGTGGTGCCAAACGCATTACCTGGGGCAAACTACCCGCCCTCCAAGACACATACAGCACCCGATGTCACAGGAAGGCCAAAAAGATCATCAAGGACATCAACCACCCGAGCCACTGCCTGTTCACCCCGTTATCATCCAGAAGGCGAGGTCAGTACAGGTGCATCAAAGCTGGGACCGAGAGAATGAAAAACAGCTTCTATCTCAAGGCCATCAGACTGTTAAATAGCCATCACTAGCACATTAGAGGCTGCTGCAGCCTATTGAAATCACTGGCCACTTTAAGAAATGGAACACTAGTCACTTTAATAATGTTTACATATCTTGCACTACTCATCTCATATGTACAGTATCTCACAAAAGTGAGTACAGCCCTCACATTTTTGTAAATATTTGAGTATATCTTTTCATGTGACAACACTGAAGAAATGACACTTTGCTACAATGTAAAGTAGTGAGTGTACAGCTTGTATAACAGTGTACATTTGCTGTCCCCTCAAAATAACTCAACACACAGCCATTAATGTCTAAACCGTTGGCAACAAAAGTGAGTACACCCCTAAGTGAAAATGTCCAAATTGGGCCCAATTAGCCATTTTCCCTCCCCGGTGTCATGTGACTCGTTAGTGTTACAAGGTCTCAGGTGTGAATGGGGAGCAGGTATGTTACATTTGGTGTCATCGCTCTCACACTCCCTCATACTGGTCACTGGAAGTTCAACATGGCACCTCATGGCAAAGAACTCTCTGAGGATCTGAAAAAAAGAATTGTTGCTCTACATAAAGATGGCCTGGGCTATAAGAAGATTGCCAAAACCCTGAAACTGAGCTGCAGCACGGTGGCCAAGACCATACAGCGGTTTAACAGGACAGGTTCCACTCAGAACAGGCCTCGCCATGGTCGACCAAAGAAGTTGAGTGCACGTGCTCAGCGTCATATCCAGAGGTTGTCTTTGGGAAATAGACGTATGAGTGCTGCCAGCATTGCTGCAGAGGTTTAAGGGGTGGGGGGGTCAGCCTGTCAGTGCTCAGACCATACGCCGCACACTGCATCAAATTGGTCTGCATGGCTGTCGTCCCAGAAGGAAGCCTCTTCTAAAGATGATGCACAAGAAAGCCCGCAAACAGTTTGCTGAAGACAAGCAGACTAAGGACATGGATTACTGGAACCATGTCCTGTGGTCTGATGAGACCAAGATAAACTTATTTGGTTCAGATGGTGTCAAGCGTGTGTGGCGGCAATCAGGTGAGGTGTACAAAGACAAGTGTGTCTTGCCTACGGTCAAGCATGGTGGTGGGAGTGTCATGGTCTGGGGCTGCATGAGTGCTGCTGGCACTGGGGAGCTACAGTTCATTGAGGGAACCAGGAATGCCAACATGTACTGTGACATACTGAAGCAGAGCATGATCCCCTCCCTTCGGAGACTGGGCCGCAGGGCAGTATTCCAACATGATAACGACCCCAAACACACCTCCAAGACGACCACTGCCTTGCTAAAGAAGCTGAGGGTAAAGGTGATGGACTGGCCAAGCATGTCTCCAGACCTAAGCCCTATTGAGCATCTGTGGGGCATCCTCAAACGGAAGGTGGAGGAGTGCAAGGTCTATAACATCCACCAGCTCTGTGATGTCGTCATGGAGGAGTGGAAGAGGACTCCAGTGGCAACCTGCGAAGCTCTGGTGAACTCCATGCCCAAGAGGGTTAAGGCAGTGCTGGAAAATGATGGTGGCCACACAAAATATTGACACTTTGGGCCCAATTTGGAAATTTTCACTTAGGGGTGTACTCACTTTTGTTGCCAGCGGTTTAGACATTAATGGCTGTGTGTTGAGTTATTTTGAGGGGACAGCAAATGTACACTGTTATACAAGCTGTACACTCACTACTTTACATTGTAGCAAAGTGTCATTCTTCAGTGTTGTCACATGAAAAGATATACTCAAATATTTACAAAAATGTGAGAGGTGTACTCACTTTTGTGAGATACTGTATATACTGTATTATATTCTACTGTATCTTAGTCCATGCCGCTCTGTCATTGTTTGTCCATATATGTATATATTCTTAAATTCCATTCCTTACTAGTTTTGTGTGTATTGGGTATATGTTGTGAAATTGTTAGATATTACTGCAATGTCGGAGCTAGAAGAACTAGCATTTCGCTACACCCGCTATAACATCTGCTAAACACGTGTATGTGACAAATAACATTTGATTTGATTGTTTTTTAAAATAAATTCAATTCAATAGTCCCGGCCGTCAATGGCCACTGAGTTTGCAGAGCCCAGCTGGGATGCTCACACTCATTCCACATGTAGCTCAGTTGATACAGCATGGCGCATGCAACGCCAGGGTTGTGTGTTCAGTTCCCACGGGGGACCAGTACAAAAATGTATGCACTCACTACTGTAAGTCGCTCTGAATACCAGTGTCTGCTAAATGACTAAAATGTAAATGTTTGACTTGCTCTTTACCGCCCCCTTCATCAGATGATTCAACACCCCCTGCGGTACATTAGCTCCTGTTTGGTGGGTGTGGCCTGATCAATATGGGTGTGACTATTTGAAATCACGTGCAGCAATGCATACGCAATCTCCCTCGGGAACACTATAATCACAACGTTCTTCAGCTGGTCGTTCAGTGACATTTCCGTTGAATTAAACGTTGCACACCGTTCTGAACGCGCCTCAGGAATTGGTCTTTCTGATATCCTCCTCACAGTGTTACCCGGGTAACCATGTGCCGCTGTATGAAGGCTTCTAGTTGCATTACTGCTCTGACATGGGCAGGGTCGTCATTACTGCTCTGACATGGGCAGGGTCGTCATTACTGCTCTGACATGGGCAGGGTCGTCATTGCTGCTCTGACATGGGCAGGGTCGTCATTACTGCTCTGACATGGGCAGGGTCGTCATTACTGCTCTGACATGGGCAGGGTCGTCATTACTGCTCTGACATGGGCAGGGTCGTCATTACTGCTCTGACATGGGCAGGGTCGTCATTACTGCTCTGACATGGGCAGGGTCGTCATTACTGCTCTGACATGGGCAGGGTCGTCATTACTGCTCTGACATGGGCAGGGTCGTCATTACTGCTCTGACATGGGCAGGGTCGTCATTACTGCTGTAGCAAATCAGTAGTGGAGGCGGAGTCAACCTGCTGGTCAGTAGTGGAGGCGGAGTCAACCTGCTGGTCAGTAGTGGAGGCGGAGTCAACCTGCTGGTCAGTAGTGGAGGCGGAGTCAACCTGCTGGTCAGTAGTGGAGGCGGAGTCAACCTGCTGGTCAGTAGTGGAGGCGGAGTCAACCTGCTGGTCAGTAGTGGAGGCGGAGTCAACCTGATGGTCAGTAGTGGAGGCGGTGTCAACCTGCTGGTCAGTAGTGGAGGCGGAGTCAACCTGCTGGTCAGTAGTGGAGGCGGAGTCAACCTGATGGTCAGTAGTGGAGGCGGAGTCAACCTGATGGTCAGTGATGCATGTTCCTCATTCCAATTCTTGCCATGATGTTGTTAGATTATTTCTGAAAAGCACAAAACATAGTTTGTATGAATTGTATTGTATTGCAATATTCTTGTTAGAGGAAAACGTTTGCACTGCACATGCAAAGACAGCATTGGTATCCAGTAGTGGTGCGTGGGTAAAAGCCATATTAATTTAATTAACTAACTTCGCCCCAGTCTGAGGTCCTTAGCGCTCTGGTGCTGTTTTTCATCAAGGATCTCTCTGTACTTTACTCTGTTCATTTTCCCCTCAATCCTGACTAGTCTCACAGTCCCTGCCGCCGAAAAACATCCCCACTGCATGATACTGCCACCACCATGCTTCACTGTAGGGATGGTGCCAGGTTTCCTCCAGAAGTGACGCTTGGCATTTAGGCCAAAGAGTTCAATCTTGGTTTCATCAAACCAGAGAATCTTGTTTCTCATGTGCTGCAGAGATGGTTGTCCTTCTGGAAGGTTCTCCCATCTCCACAGAGGAACTCTGGAGCTCTGTCAGAGTGACCATCGGGTTCTTGGTCACCTCCCTGACCAAGGCCCTTTTCCCCCGATTTCTCAGTTTGGCCGGGCGGCCAGCTCTAGGAAGAGTCTTGGTGGTTCCAAACTTCTTCCATTTAAGAATTATGGGCCACTGTGTTCTTAGAGACCTTCAATGCTGCAGAAATGATTTTGTACCCTTCCCCCAGATCTGTGCCTCGACACAATCCTGTTTCAGAGCTCTACGGATAATTCCTTCGACCTCATGGCTTGGTTTTTGCTCTGACATGCACTGTCAACTGTGGGACCTTATATAGACAGGTGTGTGCCTTTCCAAATAATGTCCAATCAATTGAATTTACCACAGGTGGACTCCAATCAAGTTGTAGAAACATCTCAAGGATGATCAATGCAAACAGTATGCACCTGAGCTCAGTTTCGAGTCTCATAGCAAAGGGTCTGAATACTTATGCAAATAAGGTTTTTCATTTTTAATACATGTGCAAACATTTCTAAAATCCTGTTTTCGCCTTTTTGTCATTATGGGGTACTGTGTTTAGATTCCATTTTAGAATAATGCTGTAACTTCACAAAATGTGGAAAAAGTCAATGGGTCTGAATACTTTCCGAATGCACTATATATTACTTTCAAAGTCCAAGAGGGGAGAAATTACCCTACAACGGTAAAACTTCACACTTTCAACCACTGTTACTACTCTAAATCAACTCTACAATGACCATTTACTGGGATTAATCTTTTTATTTTTTTATTTTTTATGTCCTTATCCAGTTTTTTATTTTTTATCCTGCATCTGTCCAGTTGCCTTTGTGTAATATTTCAGCATTTGCCAAAACCTGAAAATGTCTATTGAAATGCATATGATAAACAGGACATATATCAGATTTTTCACATAACACTATTTTCTTAGTAAGTGTATAGATTTAAGTCATTTAGCAGACGCTCTTATCCAGAGCGACTTACAGTTAGTGAGTGCGTACATTTTCATAGCGCCAGAAATCGAAGCATTTCCTTTTACATTTTACCTTACAAGTATTCATCGGAGGAGCTGAAAACATTGCAGCTGCTAAAATATTGCCCAAAGTTACAATCAACACAACTTTGTTAGTACAAGTCGTAATCCAGAAGAATCCGGTCTGATTCCTATTCTTTCGTGCAGGGACGGGCAACTGGCGTCCAGCCAGCGGGCCCCCTTTTGTAGCTCAAACTGCAAGTTGACAGTATTGTTCTAGTTTTTCAATTATCTCCAACAGCCGAGTCCCTCGGTAGTAATGGAGGTGCCAAAAACAAACCACATTCATGACACATCACAAACAAGGCCAAATATATATATTTTTAATGACATAAATTAGTAAAGTTGAAATATTCTAATTAACGCAGTGAACAGCATCCAAGTGCAGTTTATTTTTTTAAGGATCACATATTTTCATCGAAATTAAAGTAGGAATATTTCTTAAACAGAGTTGTTATCTTATGGTAAAGAAATCACTATGATTTCTTAGGCAACAACACTTTGTGGAATTGAAGCAAAAGTTTGAGCAGTAACAATGAAGAGTAACCTAATGATTTAAAGTGAATATAGTTTATTAATCTGAAAGTAAAATGCTTCTGACAATACATTAATAGTAAAACAACATTGAAATAAAATGTGTGTCCAGAATGATCCTGAAGACAATATTTTCACCGGATCTGAAAAACAAGAAATTAACAAGAATATTTAATTTAGGTTGCAACATCTGCATGTTTTACAATAAACCTCCCAACTTCTTATCCATTCTTTACCTAATAATAACATTTTGGCTATAATGATTCAATGATTGATAATAGGTCTATTTTTGCTATTTCCTACATGTTTTATGAACTAACAGCTGAACGTGAACAGGCCCATGCGCTGTAAGCACCGACACTCATACAGTGTCATGTGGGGCATACTTATGAAACAATCCCGTTCATTGCGGCCCAAAATTTGGAAAAGGCTATGAACCATAAGATACTATTATGCGCGATAATCTATCCAGCCATTGATGCTACATTCTTTTGATGATTAATTTGTACACCGTGACGTGCGATTGGCCACAGGAGGAACTATTACATCACACTCTACATAAACCTAGAATACGAATCAGATCGTTTGATAAAACTATAAAAAGAAAGCAATTATAATATTCCAATGTAGATATTGGCAGTGTGTCAAGGTTAGCGATAACCACTCACGGTGTATTTGTCCCATTTCTTCTCTGGGTCGTAGGGCTCCCAGCGACTGGCGGGGAAGATGTGCTTGTTCTTTTCATACCAGCACCTCAGCACCACTTTACCTGCGTGAGACTACGACACACCAAGGACGCTCATTACTGTTAAAGCTGCGCTGGCAAATGCCTTCGATTCGAATAAGTATCAAACACACTTGGAAATTGAATAGTATATTAATTGTAATTAAACAAATACGGATGGATCTCCTAACCTCATCTTTTTCAACAGTGGCGTCATTCACCAGCCGAATGTCATCGTGGACATCAAAGCTGAAGAGTGGACCTGTAGTGGAATAAAGTAAAAAAAAAAAAAAAAAAAAAAAAAAAATCCCTTCAGTGAAGTTACATACATATTTCAATATACTGTAGATTTGAGATGACCTTTGACCTCACCAGATTTGCCTCGAGCTTTTGTCACAATGAAGTCATAGAAACTGTGATGCTAGAAGAGAAAACAGAGATAATTAACTGTGATGCTAGAAGAGAAAACAGAGATAATTAACTGTGATGCTAGAAGAGAAAACAGAGATAATTAACTGTGATTCTAGAAGAGAAAACAGAGATAATTAACTGTGATTCTAGAAGAGAAAACAGAGATAATTGTTCCAATTTAATATGAAGAGCTGTAAATGTATAATAGTTCGGATTGATGTACGAGTCCAGCAGTACTCACATGTGGTATGATCAGATCTTCTTTGATGTACATCAGCTGCTCGACACCAGCAGCCCTACAAAGAACACCCAACATTTTACAACCTTCCTTCATAAAGAATAAAGTCAAGGGAAATCCTATAATGTTAGTGCCAATGGGCACTGGCTGCCGGACGGACACTATAAACCTAGGGTGTATTCATTAGACGAAGACCGTAGCAAACAGTTGCAAACGTTTTGCAAAGGAATCCGTTTACTCCAAACTGGAAAAGGTTTTGAAAACGAAAACGCACGTTTTTTTATTGGACAAATTCAGGTAGGTCCCTCTCCGTTTCATTCAGTTTGCTTCTGTTTTCTAGTGAATACCCCCTGGATAAAACCAAAGCCACTGCTTCAGTCACTTATCAAATCACCTCTTACCTGAGCTCACTGAAATCTTTCCTCAGGACCTCCAGTGCTTTCTGAAGGAACTGCTGCATGGTGTTGCCTTTCTTCATCTGTAGTAAACACAAAACGATGCATACTGATACATGCTATAGTATACAGGTATACCTCATGGGACCAAAGTTAATGCTTGCCAGCAGCACATCCATTGCTAAACAATCGGTTTTCTCTTACTGTACCTTGACAGTCTTACGATGCCCCGATCCATCCCAGTAGGAGAATGTGATCTCAATTTCTTCACCTGTATGGAAGATGAATATGTCATTATAATGGCATTATCAATAAGTGTCATTATCATGGTAAGGTTGCAACTAGCAGGGTAGTGAACTTTTCATTTAACCTCATCATTACCATAGGGACCAACAGAAGGGCAGTGGATGTACCATAGGGACCAATGGCAGGGCAGTGGATGTACCATAGGGACCAATATAGAAGGGCAGTGGATGTACCATAGGGACCAATGGCAGGGCAGTGGATGTACCATAGGGACCAATATAGAAGGGCAGTGGATGTACCACAGGGACCAATAGAAGGGCAGTGGATGTACCATAGGGACCAATGGCAGGGCAGTGGATGTACTATAGGGACCAATAGAAGGGCAGTGGATGTACCATAGGGACCAATAGAAGGGCAGTGGATATACTATAGGGACCAATAGAAGGGCAGTGGATGTACCATAGGGACCAATGGCAGGGCAGTGGATGTACCATAGGGACCAACAGAAGGGCAGTGGATGTACCATAGGGACCAATAGAAGGGCAGTGGATGTACCATAGGGACCAATAGAAGGGCAGTGGATGTACCATAGGGACCAATGGCAGGGCAGTGGATGTACCATAGGGACCAACAGAAGGGCAGTGGATGTACCATAGGGACCAATAGAAGGGCAGTGGATGTACCATAGGGACCAATAGAAGGGCAGTGGATGTACCATAGGGACCAATATAGAAGGGCAGTGGATGTACCATAGGGACCAATAGAAGGGCAGTGGATGTACCATAGGGACCAATAGAAGGGCAGTGGATGTACCATAGGGACCAATGGCAGGGCAGTGGATGTACCATAGGGACCAATGGCAGGGCAGTGGATGTACCATAGGGACCAATGGCAGGGCAGTGGATGTACCATAGGGACCAATGGCAGGGCAGTGGATGTACCATAGGGACCAATGGCAGGGCAGTGGATGTACCATAGGGACCAATGGCAGGGCAGTGGATGTACCATAGGGACCAATGGAAGGGCAGTGGATGTCATCGTCATGGATATTTATTATCAAACCTACCCTTAATCTTTTCTTGCTTTCCCTCCCACTCCTGGCGCAGTTCCTCTCGAAGACGATTCTCCTCCTCCTAAACTCACAATAATGAACACATTTTAAGCTTGGGCTCTGTGTGTGTGTATATGTAGGACATTTATATAGTGTATCCTCTGTGCATTATGGACAGGAGTCAAAGGGGTAGGAATGGTTTCTCCATCCCCTTCTCTGGCTGTTGTATTGGGCAGTTCAACGGTGAGAAATGACTCAGCCCCTGGAGTAAAAACGTTGTACTATCCAGGAGCACGAGTACAGGACATCAATAAGCTGCTCCCAAACATTTCAACCTGCATCAGGACACGGAGTCTATCATAGTTCATGTGGGATTCAATAACATTATGAAGGGCAGCTCAGAACAGCTGAAGATGGATTTTAAAGAACTGATTGGGTCTCTGCTTGACACCAACAAACACCCCATAATTTCTGGCCCTCCGCCCTCCCTAACTGGCTATGTGACTATTGCAGCTCTTTGGGTGTAACATTTATTGACAATGTTGAACCAGAGTTATACTGTTGTCATTGTCATGTAGCTTAAGAAGCTTAAGTTCATGAAATAAATAATTAGCAAGTAACAGATGACATTCTTATTCTGACAATCTCTGGAACTCACTTAGATAATACTTTTGATGATACAGTGGTAGCAATACATGGTTATAACATCTACAGAAAAGACAGAAATGCCAATGGTGGAGGTGTTGCCGTTTATATTCAGAACCACATTCATGTAAAGCTTAAAGATGATCTCATGTTAAACACTGTTGAAGTAATATGCCTACAGGTTCATCTGCTTCACCTAAAGCCCATTCTTGTGGGAATCTGCTATAGACCACCAAGTGCTAACAGTCAGTATCTGGATTACGTGTGAAATGCTTGATAATATATGTGATATCAACAGAGAGGTATATATCCAAATCCATCGGATGTAGTGATCACAATATAGTAGCCATATCTAGGAAAACCAAAGTTCCAAAGGCTGGGCCTAATATTGTGTATAAGAGGTCATACAATAAGTTCTGTAGTGATTCCTGTAAAGTGTGTGTTGAAGAGGTGAAAAAATTATTGTTGTCTATCAACAATGACAAGTCACCGGCGTCTGACAACTTGGATGGAAAATTACTGAGGATAATAGTGGACGATTTTGCCACATCTTCAATTTAAGCCTACTAGAAAGTGTGTGCCCTCAGGCCTGGAGGAAAGCTAAAGTAATTCCGCTACCCAAGAATAGTAAAGCCCCCTTTACTGGCTCATATAGCCGACCAATCAGCCTGTTACCAACCCTTTGTAAACTTTTGGGGGAAATTGTGTTTGACCAGATACAATGCTATTTTACTGTAAACAAATTGATAACAGAATTTTAGCATGCTTGTAGGGAAGGACATTCAACAAGCACGGCCCTTACACAAATTTAAATGACTGATGATTGGCTGAGAGAAATTTATGATAAAAAGATTGTGGGAGCTGTTTTGTTAGACTTCAGTGCGGCTTTTGACATTATCGATAGTCTGCTGATGGAAAAACATATGGGTTATGGCTTTACACACCCTGCTATATTGTGGATAAAGAGTTACCTGTCTAACAGAACACAGAGGGTATTCTTTAATGGAAGCCTCTCCAACATATTCCAAGTAGAATTAGGAATTCCCCAGAGTAGCTGTCTAGTCCCCTTACTTTTTTCATTATTTACTAATGACATGCCACTGGCTTTGAGTCAAGCCAGTGTGTCTATGTATGCGGATAACTCAACACTATACACGTCAGCTACTACAGTGAGTGGAATCACTGCAACACTTAAAGAGCTGCAGTTAGTTTCAGAATGGGTGGCAAGGAATAAGTTAGTCCTAAATATTTCTAAAACTAAAAGCATTGTATTTGGGACAAATCATTCACTAAACCCTAAACCTCAACTAAATCTTGAAATAAATACATGTGGAAATTGAGCAAGTTGAGGTGACTAAACTGCTTGGAGAAACCCTGGATTGTAAACTGTTATGGTAAAAACATGTTGATACAACAGTAGCTAAGATGGGGAGAAACCTGTCCATAATAAAACGCTGCTCCGCCTTTTTAACAACACTAGCAACAAGGCAGGTCCTACAGGCTCTAGTTTTGTTGCACCTGGACTACTGTTCAGCTGTGTGGTCAGGTGCCACAAAGAGGGACTTCAGAAAATGACTATTGGCTCAGAACAGGGCAGCACGGCTGGCCCTTAAATGTACACATAGAGCTAACATTATTAATATACATGTCAATCTCTCCTGGCTCAAAGTGGAGGAGAGATTGACTTCATCACTACTTGTTTTTGTAAGAAGTGTTGACATGCTGAATGCACCGAGGTGTCTGTTTAACCTACTAGCAAACAGCTCAGACACCCATGCATACCCCACAAGACATGCCACCAAAGGTCTCTTCACAATCCCCAAGTCAAGAACAGACTATGGGAGGCGCACAGTACAACATAGAGCCATGACTACACTGAAATCTATTCCACATCAGGTAACTGATGCAAGCAGTATAACCAGATTGGTTTGAGGGAACACACTTAATGTGTTGTGAAAATTATACAAATATTTTAAATAGTATATAACTGCCCTAATGTTGCTGGTCCCCGGGAAGAGTAGCTGCTGCCTTGGCAGGAACTAATGGGCATCCTTCATAAATAGAAATAAAGAGAACTCTTTCTTTATATGCAGGCGAGATTTCAATGTGAGAGGTTTGATTTGGAGAAAATGAGTGTGACTGGTGTTATCTGCATAAGGCTCACCTCTCTGTCCCGGTCAGGCAGGAAACTGGTGTCCACATCTGGATTCTTCCCTAGCTTCTTCTTCTTAGCAGGGAAATCTTTGGAAGATAAAGGTCAGTATTCCTTGATTGTTCTTAGACAGTCTTGTGGCTATAAAGAACAGATTTATTATGAACACCACTCACAGTCCTCTTCCTCCTCCTCCTCCTCTGTCTCCTCATCTTCCTCCTCCTCTTCATCTTCAGGATTAAAGGATAAACTGGCTATCTTTCTCTTCTGCTCTTCCTTTCTCTTCTTCTCCTTCTGCTTCTCCAGCTTCCTGAAGGTAGACAGAAAGAGAGCAGAGACGAGACACTGACAACAGCTTCCTGAAGGTAGACAGAAAGAGAGACACTGACAACAGCTTTCTGAAGGTGGACAGAAAGAGAGCAGAGACGAGACACTGACAACAGCTTCCTGAAGGTAGACAGAAAGAGAGACGAGACACTGACAACAGCTTTCTGAAGGTAGACAGAAAGAGAGACACTGACAACAGCTTTCTGAAGGTAGACAGAAAGAGAGCAGAGACAAGACACTGACAACAGCTTCCTGAAGGTAGACAGAAAGAGAGCAGAGACACTGACAACAGCTTTCTGAAGGTAGACAGAAAGAGAGCAGAGACACTGACAGCTTTCTGAAGGTAGACAGAAAGAGAGCAGAGACAAGACACTGACAACAGCTTCCTGAAGGTAGACAGAAAGAGAGCAGAGACGAGACACTGACAACAGCTTTCGACAGAAGACTTCGCCCCATACTCAGGGGTCATTGAGAGATCATAACAGACATAAGAGGCAGGGAATACAGTAACTCTGGGAATACAGTAACTCGGGGTATACAGTAACTCTGGGAATACAGTAACTCACAGCATCAACTCCTTTGATTGCTCCTTCTTGGCCAGTTGCTTTTCTCGTTCTTTCACAAGAGCCTCCTGCCTGGCCTTCATATCATTGAGTGTCACCAGACCTGACAAGGGAAGACAGTATTGCAGTAAGACTGTGTTCTTCACAATTATTTCCTTATAAAAAGTAAAGTCTGACATGCAGAAGTCCCATACTATACTTACCAACAGTGCTGGATTTGAGCTCTGCTTCCACCGCATCATAATGAGCTGAGAACTTCTTGTCGATGTTAGACTTGACCATATTGTCCTGCAGGAGATATTCAGATAGTAAGAGGGGACACATAGCTAGGTACGTTAAAGCTACTACTGTACACAGTCTTGCACAATGGCTATAGGTTGTTCGTTTGATGTCTTTTAGTAACTAGATAGCAGTGAATAAGCATGAATATTATTCCTGTTCGTTTGATGGCTTTCAGTAACTAGATAGCAGTGAATAAGCAAGAATATTACATAGCTAACTTAGCTAACAAGTGACTGACCTGAGCAATTTTCTCCTTTAGCTGTGAAAGTTGTTCTCTTTCCTTTTCACGCTTTTTTATCAGCTGCATGGCTCTTCCAGCCTCGCTTGCTGCTCCTTTGTACTGCGCCATGCCTATATCTTCGAGAATCAAATAGCAATAATTTGGGAAAAGTAGCTAAACGCTACAGCCACAGACAACTTGTCAAAACAACAACTAAACACTGTTTATATAACAGTGTAGGGCGAAACGCTTTTGTTGCTAGATGCTGAGATATCCTCGCACCATAACAAACACCACAAAAAATGGTCTCGGTGAAGTGCATTCTGGGTAGTGTGCGACCCAGTGCAACCACTTCCGGCGGGGTTTGTATGAATTTCAAAATAAAAGTGCAGTAGCAGCTGGTTGCATTTACTACACTGACCCTGCTGCTGGGGACAACAAAGTTGATTTGACATGATGCTCGCTGCACCTGGCCCTGGAATTGTCGTATTATTTGCTTGGCTCTCTCCAAGTTACGCTCTCTATTTTCACATTGGAGAGACGGAGAAAAAATGCTTTATAGAGGAAATTCCAGATGAGACTATGGTTATTGGTAAATTATTATTTTAGCTTTAGATAACGTTATAGCTGGTTAACTAGCTAGCTGCTTCTGGCTCATAGGCTATTTTGATTAATCCAGTTAGTCAGTGCACGCATGTCTTTAATTTCCTGACTGATGTAGCTAGATTTGATGGATAAAAAATATATCCTATCTCATGGGTCTTAATTAATAAATGTTTTCTAGCTGGCTAGCTACAAAAGATGAGAAGATTATACAGTCACTGACTGTGGGATCAGTCAACGTATTATTTGAGATGGAGTATGCCCTCTAGTGAGGATGTGAGGAATAGCCTTTCATCTGGCATCTCTCTATTATTAGGGAAATACAGGACTCAGCTGTGGGACAAGCAGACGGGATCCTTCCTCCCAGCCACCCCTGGCCTTGGAATGCATGTGGAGATCAAGGATTCGGATACTAAGGTCAGTCAAACAATGAGAATAAAGATTAGATATAAGGTTACCACACTCACTACACTTTGTGTGTGTGTCTTCATACACACAATGCCTCCACGTATGTTTAATCGGCATGTTTCTCTCTCCCCAACCCTCTATTCTAGATAATCCTGTCTCGTCAGTATGGGTCAGATGGACGGTTCACCTTTACGTCCCATACACCAGGCGCACATCAGATCTGCCTGCACTCCAACTCCACCAAGATGGCCCTCTTCGCTGGCGGCAAACTGGTATGAGTGGGATGTTGTTGTTCTGGACATTTTCTTCTCACAAAAACCTTCTGTATAGCAGTAAATATGCAGATAGTCTGACATACTAACCTTGTGTTCCATTTTACAGAGAGTCCACCTGGATATTCAGGTTGGTGAACATACCAACAACTACCCCGAAATCGCAGCAAAAGACAAGCTCACAGAGCTGCAATTAAGAGCTCGACAATTACTGGACCAAGTAGAACAAATCCAGAAAGAGCAAAACTATCAGCAGGTGGGTTGAAAGAGAACTTCTACATTTTGAGTTGAATAACTAAGCCACAACATAGGTGATAATATTGATTTATTTTAACCTGCATAATGTCATACAAAGCTGTTGTGGAATCGATGTCTTACCCTCGTCTTTCAATGATCTAGTGACTGTCTGCGTATCTCTTTACAGTATCGTGAGGAGCGGTTCCGCATGACGAGTGAGAGCACTAACCAGCGTGTGCTTTGGTGGTCTATAGCTCAGACACTTATCCTCCTCACCACTGGCATCTGGCAGATGAAGCACCTCAAGAGCTTCTTTGAGGCCAAGAAGTTGGTGTAATGCCCACAGTACATCACTGATTGAGTTCCAAGACAGGAGTTACACCCATACGGAGCGAACTGGTAGAGAGAGATGCTGTTGTGACTAGTAGAGATGCTTAAACCTGGGAAGCAAATTAATTGAGAACATTCAGTGTGTTATGTATTGTCCATTATGAATTATTCTGATCAATAAGCAAGCACCTAACTGTGTCCATTTCCTTGTATTTTTTCTCCAACCTTTGTTTTATATCAACTTTGTTGGACTGCACAAAAGGAGTGGCAAATGTAACTTTCAATTTTGTTTCACTTTGCATTAAGCAGTCACAGATCTGGACTATAATTTTGTGCATTTGTCTTTCTGCATACTGTATACTTTTGGTGTAAACACTTCTATTTGGAGTAGATTATTGTGATTTAGTCTAAAAATGATTATAGCAGAGCTAATAATAGTTTTAGCTCAATGACTAACCTGTTCACTCCCAAACACCAGTTCACAAACAGAATGGCATGCACGTTCTTAACTTCTGTTGAAGAGCAATATCATTCCAGGAAACAGGGTATTATTGATTTTTAGAGGATGGTCCAAGCAGCACCGTTTTTTTTCAAAGACCAACATGTTTGAATCAGGTGCAGATTACATTTGAATGTTATGTAATGAAGGTCTATGATAAAATACCCTAGAGTTATTCAAAACTGATCTAGGTTAAGATCTAGATATCAGTAAGATGTGAATACAATATTTCGATGACAATACAGTAGTATGATGAGGTATACACTCACAAGGTTTTAACTTTTGGTTGGCTGTCATTTCAATGTATGCAATAACAATGGAAAAAGTAAATGATTCTCATGTGGTTTTGTTTATATACAATTATTGTACATTTCCTGAATAGGAAAAATACAAAACCAAGTTATTTTCAACAATTATTTTATTGCTTATCACCTCCCGCCGTATCAATTTAATCCTGTATTTCGTTTAAGTGAATGTTTTGCAATGTTTATTTTCATTCACAGTTCCCTTAGTAATGGATTTAGTTTTACATTGATAACTATAAGATAAATCTCATAACAGTGCAAACAAAACTATTTCCTCTTTGCATAGGTTAAATCTTTCAGTGCACCAACACACAATTCAGACCAAAAGAATCACTGACATCACAATTAAATAATACTGTAGTGTAAACATATTGTATGAGTCGCTCTTTACATGCAGTTCTAGAATTGTGTTTATCAAAAAATAAAAATGTTAAGTATTTGACAACACCATAGAAAATGTAATTGACTCACAATACCATACATCATAAAGGGGGGATATGTTTATTAAATCACAAGTATTTTGCCAGAAAAATAGGAAATTTTAACATGTAAGATTCCCAATCACTGGGATATTCAACACGGTCAAGAGTTCAGTATAGTGTCACGTTTTGGGTTGTAAATGTGGAGTAAAAATAAAATTATCAAAACATTTGCTAGATTTGATATAAACTCCATCTCTGCTTCACTCTCTGAATTATCTCTATTTACGTTATCGTGTTAAATGGTATCTATTGAATCTAGGGTTGGCACAAGATCGAGACGCGAGAAGTAGTTTAGAAATCTGTTTATAATGTCAATTTGAAGATCGAATTCCTTCCAGAAATGCTCAAATGAATGGGCTCCGTAGAAATGAATTAAACTAGATCAACCAAATACATTTTCTTCCAGAAATTCTCATAAAATACTAAATCCTTTTCAGCCTGTGTGAGTGTAGGAAGGAGAAACATCACTGTTGTGTCACAGTGAGACGCTCCATCTTCTTAGCTGCCTCTTCTGTCGGAACCTTTGACTTTTTCTCTGGACTGGGCGTGGGAGTGTTGGGATAATCCCTATTACCAAAAATAGTACTACCCACTCGCACATTAGTGGAACCCACCTCAATCTAAAAGGAGGAAATGGAAGAGAATTCCTCAGAAGGGTATAACTTATACAAACAGCATGAGCATTCGAGTAGTAATGGGTAGCCTAATCAATATCTGATCATTCAATATGTTAAGAACGTATTGTGTTAGCAATTAAGAAGGCTGAGACAGTGGAACTTACCGCGTGTTCAAAGTCAGTGGACATGCCCATACTAAGCTCAACATCCTCAAGCGGGAGCTGTAGACTGGTACACACTTCCTGTCGCCGACTCAGCAAAGCCTGGTTGGTGATGCACAACAGACTTATAGATCTTTACCAAAAGCCTTAACATAAAAAGTTAGGGTAATCATAACAGCCAAATACCTGAAAATCTGGGTTAGGGCCATCAGCTAGGTCGTAGCCATAGCGACCAATGGTCATGAGTCCGGAGAAGTGTAGGGCAGAGCATTTGGATAAAATGTGTTTCACTGTGTTCACCGTGTCGCCAGGAGGCAGTCCATGTTTACCTAGAGGCAACATAGAACGGTAGTTAGTGTTGTTGTCTGTCTGGCAGGTTGACGTTTATTGTCATGAGTCTTGCCCTGGAGGCAAAACTGAGTTGGTTCCTCTAGATGGGCCAGTTGCAAAGTCAAAATTGGCTATATCGTAAAAATACATGAAAACAAACATTTGCTTGTTGGTCTTCATTTAAGGTTAGGCATTAGGGTTAGCAGTGTGGTTAAGGTTAAGCATTAGGTTTAGCAGTGTGGTTAAGGTTAGGGTTAAGGGATAGATGGGAAGGGTTGAATGGCGCTGAAGGTTGGGACTAATAACAACAAGATAACTCATGTAAAACATACTCTGTCCATAATACGTATATAGGTTAAGAACTTTTGTGAAAGAGCACAGTTTGAAAGATATGACATATAGAAGCAAACCGGATGGACATCATGAACATGATCGGAAAGGTTGAGGGTAGAGGAAGTTCAGGAGTAAAAACAAACAAAATATAACTATTGTAAAATTGACTGTGTCCATAAAATGTATATAGTATGTATGGGCTGGAAGTAGAGGCCTAGGCGTTGTTGTTCACTAGTTTACTCCAATTAGGGGAGGGGTGGTAGGGTTAGAAAGTAATAAAGATAAATAAATATATTTTTAAAGGATATGTATATGTATGTATGCATGTACAGTGGGGAGAACAAGTATTTGATACACTGCCGATTTTGCAGGTTTTCCTACTTACAAAGCATGTAGAGGTCTGTCATTTTTATCATAGGTACACTTCAACTGTGAGAGACGGAATCTAAAACAAAAATCCAGTAAATCACATTGTATGATTTTTAAGTAATTAATTTGCATTTTATTGCATGACATAAGTATTTGATACATCAGAAAAGCAGAACTTAATATTTGGTACAGAAACCTTTGTTTGCAATTACAGAGATCATACGTTTCCTGTAGGTCTTGACCAGGTTTGCACACACTGCAGCAGGGATTTTGGCCCACTCCTCCATACAGACCTTCACCAGATCCTTCAGGTTTCGGGGCTGTCGCTGGGCAATACAGACTTTCAGCTCCCTCCAAATATTTTCTATTGGGTTCAGGTCTGGAGACTGGCTGGGCCACTCCAGGACCTTGAGATGCTTCTTACGGAGCCACTCCTTAGTTGCCCTGACTCTGTGTTTCAGGTCGTTGTCATGCTGGAAGACCCAGCCACGACCGATCTTCAATGCTCTTACTGAGGGAAGGAGGTTGTTGGCCAAGATCTCGCGATACATGGCCCCATCCATCCTCCCCTCAATACGGTGCAGTCGTCCTGTCCCCTTTGCAGAAAAGCATCCCCAAAGAATGATGTTTCCACCTCCATGCTTCACGGTTGGGATGGTGTTCTTGGGGTTGTACTCATCCTTCTTCTTCCTCCAAACACGGCGAGTGGAGTTTAGACCAAAAAGCTATATTTTTGTCTCATCAGACCACATGACCTTCTCCCATTCCTCCTCTGGATCATCCAGATGGTCATTGGCAAACTTCAGACGAGCCTGGACATGCGCTGGCTTGAGCAGGGGGACCTTGCGCGCGCTGCAGGATTTTAATCCATGACGGCGTAGTGTGTTACTAATGGTTTTCTTTGAGACTGTGGTCCCAGCTCTCTTCAGGTCATTGACCAGGTCCTGCCGTGTAGTTCTGGGCTGATCCCTCACCTTCCTCATGATCATTGATACCCCACGAGGTGAGATCTTGCATGGAGCCCCAGACCGAGGGTGATTGACCGTCATCTTGAACTTCTTCCATTTTCTAATAATTGCTCCAACAGTTGTTGCTTTCTCACCAAGCTGCTTGCCTATTGTCCTGTAGCCCATCCCAGCCTTGTGCAGGTCTACAATTTTATCCCTGATGTCCTTACACAGCTCTCTGGTCTTGGCCATTGTGGAGAGGTTGGAGTCTGTTTGATTGAGTGTGTGGACAGGTGTCTTTTATACAGGTAACAAGTTCAAACAGGTGCAGTTAATACAGGTAATGAGTAGAGAACAGGAGGGCTTTTTAAAGAAAAACTAACAGGTCTGTGAGAGCCGGAATTCTTACTGGTTGGTAGGTGATCAAATACTTATGTCATGCAATAAAATGCAAATGAATTACTTAAAAATCATACAATGTGATTTTCTGGATTTTTGTTTTAGATTCCGTCTCTCACAGTTGAAGTGTACCTATGATAAAAATTACAGACATCTACATGCTTTGTAAGTAGGAAAACCTGCAAAATCGGCAGTGTATCAAATACTTGTTCTCCCCACTGTATGTATATATATTTATATGTAAGAAATATATATGGGGGATTGGAAGTGATGCAGACAATTACATTGATGGAAGTTACAATCTATCTGCAGTATTAAAGCTGATCTAAAAAATGAACAAATGAAAAAAAAAAAAAAAGGTTAGGATTAGGCATTAGGGTTAGCAGTGTGGTTAAGGTTAGGTTTAAAATCAGATTTCATGACTGTGGCTGTACCAGCTAGTGACCTCTCTGCAGAGCTGCCTCCAGTACATGAGCCATCCCAATAAATGCCAACGTGTGTGTGTGTGTGTGTGTGTGTGCGAACACTTACTTTCCTCCCCACTGGTGTTGATCTGAACCATGATCTTTAACTTGTGCGTGCTAGCTGCTCTTAACCGCTGCCAGGAGCTGTTCACCTTGTCGGCCAACTTGGCTGAGTCCACCGTCTCCACCATGAACAGGTTTGGTACACCTATGGGATGTGTGTGAGTAGAGTTAAGATATGCCGGCGCTACTAAAGGTTTCTATGGAATGGTGTTCAAAGCTTGACAAAAGACTGAGGTCGAAAGTCGAAAACATGTCGGCCTTTTAATTTTTTGAAGTGTGTGAGTAGATTGCTGGGTATTAGGGAGATATGATGTTGACATCTTTAAATATGGAGGCCTATGGTGCACCTGAGTGGAACACTACACTATAAATAATATGAAAAGCAAAGCATAACATGTTGCACAAGATGGGGCGGCAGGTAGCTTAGTGGGTAAGAGCGTTGTGCCAGTAACCGAAAGGTCGCCTGGTTCTAATCCCTGAGCCGACTAGGGAAAAAATCTGTCGGGATGTGCCCTTGAGCAAGGCACTTAACCCTAATTGCTCCTGTAAGTCGCTCTGGATAAGAGCGTCTGCATAACTGACTAAAAAATAAAAAAAAAAATGTTACCTTACCCAAAAGTTTGTTGACATTATTCTTCTGTAAATGGCCAATAAAATGCCACTCAATTTCTGGGCATGATTCTAAAATCTAGATTAGGACATAAAAAGTATTTGTAAATCGGGTGTTGGATAGACACATCATGAGATGAAGAATAATGTGACTTCAAACCTTTAGAACCAACCTGAGGATTTGATGCTTTATCCACAAGTTCATTCACCTAAAAGTGAGGGGGTCAAATTAAAAAGTAAAACTACCATTAAAAAGGTGTTATGTGTAACTGTATAACATGTTACCATCACGTACAATACTTACATAGTTTTCACCAAAGTTGCGATGCCCTTTTCGGTACGCCTCGATCACCATGTCTGGTGGTTTCGTCTTACTTACAGCTACCAGGCGGGGCGGCACCGCAGGCAACGTCTTGGGTGAGAGAGCAGAGGAACAAGAAGAGAAATCAAATATATGGTGAATAAATGAATGATAACAGTTCTCTTTATGGATGACAATCATAGCCAAAGAGATTGTCACGTCTTGATAAACCTGAACTACTTAAGGACAGCCCAGTGGATATCTGGCGCTCATTCAGGAGGGCATATTGGGGCCACAATATGGAACGAACAGAAATAGATTGTGTAGAAAATGAAGAATTGTGTTAGCTCTATTGGCAACGTTTTGAACACAACCCAGATATGCTGCCCAAATGCACTTATTTTAGCCTGCTGGCATTTCCTTACAACCAAGAAGATGAGAGCCTGTCATTAAAATCTGAAATGGTTGTCTGCGTCTGCCCATGCAGTAGGCTATTATGTCGCGTTCGTCATGTCAGAAACTCGGGACCGCCGAGTTAAAATGAACGCAAGTTATTAGTGAAACCTGATGGGTTGGAGGATTCTCTTCTCATCACTCATCATTAACACAATGGAAAAACATAATGATTTATTATTTAAATATTGAAAGTGCGTGGGCTACGGAGAGAAACAGAAATGGTGCAGTTTCAGGCCATGTGGAGGAAAATGATGCTGGCGCTAGAGATGGGGGTGTGTGATGTTGTTGTTTGTATGTGTATGTTTTGTATTGTTGATCAAATATACAATTAAATTAAACATTTACAAATAATGCCGCATTCACGTCATGTCGGAAACTCGTGACCTCCGAGTTCAAATGAATGAGTTTACATGCGCACAGTATTCTGATAGTAGCTCATATCCCACTTAAGGTCTTATTCGGGATAAGATGTTTCCATGCACCTTTGATATCTCACTCACGAGTATCCCTGTATCCATGAATAAACAGAATATTCCTCATTTAAGTATATGGGCTAAATGGAATAGTAACTGAAATATGGACACTGACTGTAGACCTATGACCTCTCACGTAGCTTAATAACTCCTGCAGAATTATGCATTTCTTGCAGTAAAATTATACAACAAATGTTAATTTTGTCTTGGAACAGGAGTGGAGAAATATTATTTATTTATTTCAGCATCTCTTGAGAAAATGCAAATGTAACGCGTTATCTTTGACACTTATGGAAGCAGACAGTATTTCAACCACATAAATATGCACCCAAGATTAACTGAAGTCTTATCAGAAACGTGTTTCATTTTTTACATTTTCCACAGGACTAATCTTTCCACTGTTTTGGAGTTAATGTGTTTTCTCCCCGGTCCCTAAACGAAACAGACAATTGTACCGGTGTTAACTAGATTACTAATGCATGAATTCTATAAATGCAAGAAATTATTCTGGTGAGCACTACATTATTTAGTCTTCTGGGGCAACAAGTTATGACAGAAGACAAGCTGCATGTAAAAATGGCCTACCAATGTCGGAAATTATAATATGGCCTACCAAATGTCGGAAATTATAAACAGAAATGTGTCTAAATTAGGGGTGAATGTAGCCAGTAGGCTATACGGTCCTGTACAGAGTATCAGCAAAATACATTATTATGGAATTATGGTGGATCGAACTGCGCAGATAGCATACAAAGTGATTTGTTTGACAATCAGATGAAGAAAAATAAAATCACAACACACATGTGAAACTGAGCCTGCGCAGACCGCCAGCGAAAAACAACAGTCAATGGGATAAGATGTTTACATGCCACAGTATCCCATCTAAGAACAACATATCCCAAGTATCTTATCCGGGTTTCTCATAACCGGGATAAGGATTTTTCGGGTTATTGAATGTTTATGTGCTTCAACTCAAAAACAGAATACATAAGAGTATCCCGAATAATAACGGGATATTGGTGTGCATGTAAACGTGGTCATTGACCTCTATACAAAAAGTCCTTGCTTGGCGGGCTAAATAACGAACAAACGCCACCTGCTGGAGGGAGACAGATTTTCCGCCGAGTTGGGCCTCTCTCTTCCTCTCTGGCATTACCTACCGGCTGGGCACATCAACCCTAGGCGATTGTGCAACACAGTTTCTAAACCCAGAGGCGAAACATCGCGAGACTTCCGGGAACGCTTGCGAAACAGACCAAACTGACCAGGCCGGGGTTTGATAAGTCAATGAGAGAAGTTCACAATTATTTCTTAGTTGTTAATTTTCTCGAATTCTAAAAGGCACAACCTAGATTCGAGCAAATGTCTTAAGTAATGTAGTTGAACATGTTATTACTCGAACCTCGTGAAAGTGAAACGTTTTTATTTTCGTCAAAAACTACTGGAGAAGCAATTTTAGCGTATCTACATACTACTGTCTTTGGTGCAGACGTAGCGCCCACTATCGGCTGCCTAGTCAAGTTCAATTGTGGTGGGACGGTGTCAATTGAATCAATCAAAACGTTACTTAAATTACGAAACAGGAGTGAACGGAAGTTGGACATGTTTTGCAACACTTACGAAACATTGTTGACGTTACCGACAAAATGATAAGAGCACCAGCAGCAATGAATAAGTCGTGAGCAAATCGTCTAGAACCCTCCGCGCGGTACATAGTGGATGCATGCAGCGCTGAGCTAATTAGTAGATACCAAAAATGTAATGTGCATGTTATGGTGTGCCATCTCAAAGGTTGAGATGTTTTGCCTTACATATAACTGGTCCACCCCCGCTTTGAAATGATAAGACAATTTCGCACGACACGACTATCAAAAGTCGATACGGGTTCTTCCCAATATAATCCTGAACTTGGCTTACCTTGGGGCGACGTGCCGCCGCTTGATTTACCCTGTCTACCACCGCGTGTAACGCTTTTCCAACCTCTTCCGACATTCCTACTTTCCACATACCCTCAATACACTGCGCAACCAATGGTACAGAGACCGCCAGTGCGTATTCAACACAAACGTGATCAACCTGTCAAAATAAAAGTCCTTTCTCGACCCTAGAAAGCCTGTGTGAAGTGAAACGGCGACCCCTTGTGTTGACTGTTGATAAATCAATCAGTGTCCATTCATTGTAGTCACGCGCGTACAATGTGTGTTTAAAAAAATACATTTGCGAAATTTGGCCAGCCAGTTACGCGAATATATTAGGGATAATAGCCCTCAAAGTTAGGATAAATCTATTCAATCTACATTGTATGCTATCACTTAAGTATAATTTGACCTTACATGTAATCAATCAAGTGCTTCAAACGTGTAGAGGTAAAATAAAGAAAATATTGCGCAAAAATAAAGAAAACAAAATACCCAGTTTATTCACAAGATTTCACAATTCAAAACATTTCCAAATGAAACATCTGTCTAAACGTATCAGATACATACTCTATCAACAGGAAAAAACAGGAAATTACAAAAGTGTTTACAATAATGTCCATTATTCCACTTTCTTGAAGCCTGCCATCCCCACCCTCATACTCTCTCAAGAGCCTCCAACATGATGATGCTGTTTCCTCGGATTACCTACAGAAAGTAAACAAAATTAAAAAAAAGTATTGATTTACATGCATAAAAAGGTATGTGGTGACACTGATGAATAAAAGCAAAATGTGTCTGTCCCCAGAGGTAGTGTAGACGTAGTTAACAACGCTGTAGATACTGACCACCATGCCTATCGTGTTCTGTATTCCCCCGGGGGCCATCTCCAAGCAGTCATCCATCACCAAGTTCATGAAGGGGTCAAACCCTCGCAGGACTCCTTGGACCTGCCTGCCACCGTTCAGCTTCACTGAAGGACAAGATGTAGAACATTGAAGACCTGGGGCGTATTCATTACGTCGATTCTGTTGCAAAAAGTTTCTTAAAAATGGAAGCAAAGTGAACAGGGGGGGGGGCCTACCTGAATTTGTCCAATAGAAACTCTCTGTTTGGACTAATGATTACACACCTGGACTACATTTCAACAACCGTAATAATGAGGCAATAAGGCAAGCCAAATTGGAGACACTTTCCATTTCAGTCCTTGAAGTTATGGCTAAGAAATTGTAAATTGGGTTTGTCAATTCATGCAATCAGAACCTTGGCTGGCTCTGCATGCAAAGATATAATAGTTTGTCCAGTCAACTCAGCAGAACCATTGATATTCAGAATCAGTACTCACGAGATAGCTTCTTGTCCATGAACCTGAAATTAGCAGAAAATATGTTGTTATTATTTGCTAATAAAGATAGTTACACCACAAACTGACTATTCCAGAGGGGGTTTGGCTATGTGTATACCAGACTAGTTCTGGTCCACGCGCATGCTTCTGATTTGCACTACGAGCTGCATGCGCATGGACCAGAACTAGTCTGGTGGTAAAGTGTTCAAACATTTGTTGAAATAGGGCTGCAACGAGGGGTTCCGGACGTGGATTCTCAATCCTCGAAACCCGTGGTGATATCAAATATTAGCAATGTTACTGTGCAACGTAGACGTTCTATTTTCTACCGAGATTGCAAAACAATTCGTATGTTGATGTAGTGCCCATCGGTTATGAATGTTTCAACCTCTGTGTTGAGAAATCATATTTTTACTGTCAGTTTCCGTCTCAAAGACCACCAAAACGTACACTAACCATGAGCCTCACGGTCGGTATCGTCCAATCACAGAGCAGATACAAGTAACGTGATCTGTTAGCGATCACATGACTTGTATTGGCTCTGTGATTGGACGATACAGACAGCAATGCTGTAGGGATGAGTAGTTTAACAACTAACTCTGGTAGGTACAGTCGTGACATTTCCCCCCCATATAACAGTAGTTTTTAAACACGATTTCTTATCTTTTGAATTAATGGTTCACCCCCGGAGACTATTCAACGTTTGAAACCACGTGACCAGCATGTTGTTGTATGCAAAACATGTGTGGGTGTGTCAGTTCCGGAACCATAACCACAGAAAGAGTGGGCGCAGCCTCTTTCTGTGGTTTAATATGATGATAGTCAGTTTAAAAAAGGTTAAGGGTACAAGACTGTGTACATATCTGGCTGTGTTGGCAAAATCACTACATATCCCATGGAGCCAAGCGGGGAGAGGCTGTCTGTTGTCACAGTTCGAAGACCAGTCAGAAATGTCCAGCTAGCCCTACGCCAATAGATCTCAAAACTGAACTTGGATCCACGTTAAGTAGCAATGATATCCTTCGCCACCGTCATCTTACGACATATCTTGAACCAGTCATGACTATTCAACAAAACAATAAAGAATGTAAGTTTCTTTGCAGCGAATTTCTTAAGTTACATGATTGTATCACTAGCAAATTGAGTTTTGACTTTAAAGGTGCAGTATTTATGACGTTTGTAAATGAGGACGAGAACTAGCATAGTTCAGCTAGAAAGCTAGTTTAGAAAACGAGTTCAGGCCTAGTACACGCACACACCTAGTACACGCACTAGGCTAATTCCGATTGTCGTTTTTATGCCCCGATATATCAGGAGCTGGCGGCGAAAAGTTTGCTTAAAGAATTCAGAGACCGAAACGAATAAAGCATATGACATTTTTAAGGAGAGCGAATCGATATACAATCCCGAAATCAGCTGTAACTGTCAATAGTAAAACAACGCTTTAATGAAAATGAATGGGAGGTGCTATACTGACACGCCTGGTGCCCAAATTGATGACGTTTGAGAGTCGAGTGGAGACGAACGGATTCGGTTCAGTCAATTGTCCTGATGAGATCATGTGAATCCTTATTTTGGCTAGCTTAACACAACTCTTCCCACTTAGCTTATATGCTTGTGGATATAAACTTTAGCAAGAATTTATAAAACGTCTGCCTTAGTTGTGACTTGGGAGTGTTCATAATCATTCCGTTTATCTGAGTAAATAAAACTTTTTTTTTTTGGGGGGGGGGGGGGGGGTTTATTACAAAAATGTAACGTTAGACGTTAATGCCGTAGTTGAACATTTTCGGTAAATGTGCTTCAGCTGTCACCCTGACCTGATATTGGCTACACTATCTAGCTACTTCCCTCTCCTTACTGCCCCGCGTTCTTGTGTTGCCGGGTTGTAGCGCAAACTCTCCCCATTGAGAAGTGTAGACTGTATCACGGTGACAGATGGTTTCTACCAACACTACAAGTTATTTCTCGTGTAGGCTGCTATCCTACTAGAAATAAAATCAAGTGGGATGAAACATATTGGAGAAGGGGACCAAATCCAGATGGTGACCAATACTACACGTTTTTTCCCCTCCCTTGACCATTAAAATAAACACTTTATTTTACTAGTTTTAACTAGTGCCATGCTGCTGTTGTTGGCAGCATAAACTAGCTAGCTGGGATGTGCTCATCAGGTCGACTGACTGAACCAAATTCATTCGTCTCGACTCTCAGCTGAGCGACATATGTCATCCATTTGGGCACCAGGCGTGTCCATATAGCTTCTCCCAAAATAAATTAATGGTGAAGTCGCTTCTGGACCAGAAGTATAATAACTGGACACTGCGTCCAAGATGTCCAGCCATTGTTTTTAAGGTAATCTACTCACGTTCACATACGCCGATTCATGAACCGTCTATATCTGGGTTGCATCCGGTTTATACGGACCAAAATCACATGCGCACTAGCACTCAGTGCGCACAGGAAGCAGCGTCATCCAAAAACATGGCATACATTGGATGAATATACAATGTTTAATATCTTCCGCTGTGAATGATGAAGGGAAAAAAAATCGGCCTCAGCAACAATTATTTGAATAATGTTTTGTGCACAAAGGTGATGACTAAAGTGTCTTATTAGGAATGTTCAAATCTGACTTCTCTATGTGGCTGTGTATGAACATTGTATTTCTGTGCCGGGCGTCAGTTAAACTGCAGTAAGGAAAACAAACCTGTAGGAGCAGTCGAAACCGTGCTTCTAGACCAGAACCCTGGCGTTTTTTCGCCCACCAAACAAGGCGTTTCAGTATGGAGGTAAATTACTGTCGAATTTGGTCAACAAACAAAATGAATGGCTTATTTGCTACGTTAAGTTTATTTGATCGAATAGAAGTTTCGTAACGCTTTAGTTGTTACGAGTGTACTGATATAAGTAGGACACGTGACACACCGGCAACTTTGAGAAAAAAACACTTTATAGCAGAGTTGCCTCGAGGGCTATGCATATTCATGTTTGAGGCTAGTAGCATAGCGTCTCTCTCCAGCAGCGATGGACCAGAGCTAGCCTGCAACACGATTGGTCAAAGACTGATAAACCAAAACCAGAAAACCCATCCATTAAAATCACTTTCGTTTGTAAAACATGACAATTTTTAAATGATATTCAATGTTTGCATGGTTTAACTAGCTAACATTTTCATTAACTAAGTTAGCTAGTAATTTTACTAGCCACGCAACGCTAGCTAGCTAACGTCACCGACTACCGGTAGCTTTGTTGGCTAGCGCGTATCTAGCTATGTTCGCTTGCTATGCACATTCACTACAATGAACCGCGAAATATGATCGTAGACCAAATATGTATTATAAAAGGAACTCACTTTTTCAACTCTGGTGGGTGTGCTTTACTCATGTTTCTTTTTGTAGCGGGCCTTCAGTTCGTGAGACTTGCGTTCGTGTAAAAGCGGAAAGCATGCGCAACAAGCAGATCCGGAAAACGTCATGCAGACTTCCTCTAACATAAGTGGGCACATCGCCGCCTACTGTATTGGAGGAGATGTATTGCAGCTTGCTTTTTCTCTTCATATTAACATTTACATTTTAGTCATTTAGCAGACGCTCTTATCCAGAGCGACTTACAGTTGTAGTGAGTGCATACATTTTTCATACTGGCCCCCTGTGGGAATCGAACCTACAACCCTGGCGTTGCAAGCGCCATGCTCTACCAACTGAGCTACAGGAGTAAACACAAAACGTTTTCATGGGATAACACTTTTAATGAGGTATGTTCTAAGAAAAAGTTGCTAACTCAGATACAAAGGCACTTTCCTAAGTAGAAACCTAAAATCCGTTAAAACAAAATAAAAAAAACATTTATGACTTTCTTTTATGTATTTATTTTATTTTTTACAAAACAGCAGAAAATGGATAACCTGGTACACCAATTGTTAACAAACAATAGCAGGAAGGTTGCTATCGCTGCTTGTTTTGCATAATAATATCCAAGACAAAACTTTTTCCAGAGAAAATGAACCTCTGTCATATTGTTAAAGACTGCCTTAAGTGGCTCCATGAGTATGCATCTCTCTCTCTCTCACACACAGAGGTAAATAATAATGAAATTGATGCTAAATCAGTGTCACACTTACAAGTACAACGCCATCAAGATTAAAAAAAAATAAAAAATCACATTAAATGGAAATATGGTCTTCATTTGAGTAATCAAATCAAAACCTGTCAATATTATATATAGTATACTATATCACTCTCCATTCCAACTGCAATGTTACATTAAAAAAATACTTTATTAAAAGCTTTTTGAAACCACATCTTATTATTTGTAACAGCCCAGTTAATATCGCAACCCAGATTTGTTGGAAGTTTAATTGGGTTGTTTATAAAAATGTAATATTATATGTTAATGCTCCAGCAACATGCTAAATTAGTTCTCGCGTATATTAATTTCATTTCAACCAAATCAACAAGGATGTTTGGAACCGATAACAATTCGTGATGGGATATAAAACGCCTGTCACAAATGGTATCAGACAGCACACACACAAACATGGGGAAATAAAATTGTTGCAACTTGAATGGCATGTTGATATGAATTACATCCAAACAGCTATTCTGGTGAGTGGTCTAAATATATCACACTTTAAAATCTACATGTACACATAATATTCTCTTGGGAACTCAGTACAGCTTGTTAAAAAAAACGAAGGAGGAGTACATAATCTCAGATTTTGCCATCAGTGTCTGAATAGCTCCCTTCCTCATCGCCACTGACAACGAGGTGATCTTGGCAGTGTTGTAAGAAAGTGTCCAGTGTTCCAAAAGCCTTCAGGCAGGGCACACAGTGGTAGGCCCTCCGAAGCTTGGCCCCAGGCTTCTTAGAGATGCCCATGCCCTGACTGCACACGCTGCAGTGTCTCATACTCCCTGTAGGCTGATGCAGCTCCTCATGCTCCTTCAGGGCAGACTGCAAAGAAAACACCTCAGCACAAGACGGGCAAGGAAACTCTCCCTCTTCCTCTTTCATGGGAATTTTCTTTGGTCTCCCTCTGCCAGCCTTGACCGATGTTCCTCCAATCTTCCTTGCTAGGTTGCTTTTTGGCTTTTTTGGCATCTTCTCAGCTAACTTGGGCTCCTTGGCTGCTTTCCCAACCTGCTGAACTTGGCATGGTGGTTCTTGACTATGGTTCTTGACGTGTGCCTTAAGTGACAAGTGGTGCAAGAACACTTTACCACAAACTTCACATGGGTAAGTCTCTCTTTTCCTCCGCTTGCTAATCAGCGGCCTTGGATCTCTTCTGATATCCTTCTCTCTGCTGTGGGACTCTTGTCTGTGCAAGTAGAGTTTGGCAGTGCTTAGGAAGACCCTATCACAGGAACGACAGGAGAGAAGTTGGCTCCTCTGCTTGGATTTTCCATTTGCCTGCTTCCTCCCTCTTCCTTTGGGTTGGGGTGGCCCAGACTTCTTCTGGGATATTCTATCGACCCCATTTGTGCCTCCTCCTTTTGGTGGGAGATACTTAGAGATGCTCCACTCCTTCTGATGGGTGGATCGCTGATGACAGGCAAGGCCAGCTCCTGAGCGAAAGCTCTTGGGGCAAAGTGGGCATTGGCTTGGCCTGTCAGGATCTGGGGCACTAGTGGCATCATGGGAAGGAGAGTCCGAGGTGGGAGAGTCAGGGGGAGAAGAGTCAGAGAGGGTAGATTCAGGCGAGGGAGAGTCAGCTGGAGGGCTGGCAACCTTCGCAGTTCGTGAGGCAGATTTACTGCAGCCAGCCTGCTGATGGTGAAGCAACGCTTGCTTTTGGCTAAAGCTTTTACCACACGGAGCACAGGCATAGGATCTGCTATCATGATGGTGGGACTGGTGATGGAGAGACTTATCCTTGACACTCTGAGAGTCTGAGGTTGACGCCTTGCACGCACTGCATGGAGCACCTAGCTGAGGTTTGCCACAACAGAGCTGACAAGGGGCTGCATCCTGAATGCACTTGTGCAACTGCAAAGAGGATAGGAGAGAAAACTCCTTGCCACAGGAAAGGCATCGGTGACGCTTACGTAAGGCATGTTCTCCCTGTTGGTGGTGCAATAACTCGGCCATGTCAGAGAATCCCTGGCCGCACTCTGCGCACACACATGGGGACACATCAGGCAGTAGTTGGTTTTGGCTTTGACTCTCTTGCTTTTGTGCCACAAGTTTTGCCAGCTTTGTTAGAGCGTCCGATGCAGGCTTAGTCCGAGCAAACGACTCCTGAACTCTTGTAGTGTTCCAAGTGCAAGGAACTGCATCCATCTTCAACCAAGGCACCTAGTTGGAGGTACAGAGGACAGCCTATTAGACACGTTCATGAATAAAGTAAATATATGAAATTCATCATCCTGATGCGAGGGTAAACATTTCCTTCTTCTCTCTTTTTTTATAGCACAATGGTTGGCTGTATAACTATCACCCTCTGTAGCTCAGTTGGTAGAGCATGTCCCATGCAACGCCAGAATGGTGGGTTCGATTCCAGGGACCACCCATACGTACAATCAATACACACATGACTGTAAATCGCTTTGGATAAAAGTGTCCGCTAAATTGTATATTTTATTCACATGTAACAACCTACTGCGTCTCACAACTCAAATCCCAGCACGCACTGCAAATGTGGTAGGTGAATATTTAACTATTTGTAAACGACAAAAAAGCTTTACCGCCTGTATAGCAAAAAAGGCTACATGCAGTGGTAATAAAGCAAATAGCATGAACCATTATGCAGGAAATCGCTATAGCTAGTTGCGTTAGCTAGCTAGCCAAACAAGACCGAATGTTAAAAGTGGCCCCCGCTCCTACAACGAAATGAGCCTACCTTTTTTTGTCAAACAAACTTCAATACTGGCATTTCATCAGTTTCCAACAAGTGTAGAAGTAATTTTTCAAGATAACTACTTGGCTAACGTTACCAAAACTTTGTTTTCATTTCCCTGTAGCACCGTAGCCATGTGTTCCAAAGTGAAGCCAAGTTGTTTGTGTACTTTGAGATTTGATACGACTACAAAACCTAGCATTCTGGTACTTCCCTTTCCACCAATGAGTCATTCAAGAACACAAACGGGTTCAGGAAAGTTGGTAACCCAATGATGTATAGACACACCAGATAGCGGATGGTATGTATTGGCCAATGAGACTTTGACGCCACCGGTCGGCCATATTGATACTCCTCAGAAGAAGGAGTCCTCCATAGGAATGATTGGAATTCTACAGTATTTAAAGAACAAATGTACATGTATTTTAAGTATTTTTGTTGTTGTAGTGGGAACAGTAACATTAGTACTCTCTCAGCGATATGACGTTGCCACGAGCAGCATTGTGTATATTGAGATGAGTGAGATGCAACACTTTTTTGCTCTCACAGTCAAACATTATCTGCACATGTGCACGGGTTCACCTTACGCTGTTACAGCATGGTAGCCAGAGCACCAAAACAGCAAAGAAGTTGAGCCTTGTGCTTCAACGCTCTTAGTTGTTGCGGAAATTGACCCACTATGCTGTTTACTTTCTGCATCTACAGTGCCTTCGGAAAGTATTCAGACCCCTTGACTTTTTCCACATTTTGTTATGTTACAGCCTTATTCTAAAATTTATTAAATAGTTTTCCCCCTCATCAATCTACACACAATACCCCATAATGACAAAGCAAAAACAGGTTTTCAGAAATTTCTTCTTATTTATATAAAATAAAATATCACATTTACATAAGTATTCAGACCCTTTACTCAGTACTTTGTTGAAGCACCTTTGGCAGCGATTATGACGCTACAAGCATGGCACACCTGTATTTGGGGAGTTTCTCCCATTCTTCTCTGCAGATCCTCTCAAGCTCTGTCAGGTTGGATGGGGAGCGTTGCTGCACAGCTATTTTCAGGTCTCTCCAGAGATGTTCGATCGGGTTCAAGTCCGGGCTCTGGCTGAGCCACTCAAGGACATTCAGAGACTTGTCCCGAAGCCACTCCTGTGTTGTCTTGGCTGTGTGCTTAGGGTCGTTGTCCTGTTGGAAGGTGAACCTTCGCCCCAGTCTGAGGTCCTGAGCGCTCGGGAGCAGGTTGTCATCAAGGATCATCAAGGATCTCTCTGTACTTTGCTCAGTTAATCTTTACCTTGATCCTAATTAGTCTCCTGCCACTGAAAAACATCCCCACAGCATGATGCTGTCACCAACATGCTTCACAGTAGAGATGGTGCCAGGTTTCCTCCAGACATGGCGCTTGGCATTCAGGTCAAAGAGTTCAATCTTGGTTTCATCAGACCAGAGAATCTTGTTTCTCATGGTCTGAGAGTCTTTAGATACCTTTTGGCAAACTCCAAGCGGGCTGTCATGTGCCTTTTACTGTGGAGTGGCTTCCATCTGGCCACTCTACCATAAAGGCCTGATTGGTGGATTGCTGCAGAGATGGTTGTCCTTCTGGAAGGTTCTCCCATCTCCACAGAGGAACTCTAGAGCTCTGTCAGAATGACCATCGGGTTCATGGTCACCTCCCTGATCAAGGCCTTTCTCCCCCGATTGCTCAGTTTGGCCGGGCGGCCAGCTCTAGGAAGAGTCTTGGTGGTTCTAAACTTCTTCCATTTAAGAATGATGGAGGCCACTGTGTTCTTGGGGACCTTCAATGCTGCAGACATTTTTTGGTAACCTTCCCCAGATCTGTGATCCTGTCTCGGAGTTCTACGGACAATTCCTTCGACCTCATGACTTGGTTTTTGCTCTGACATGCACTGTCAACTGTGGGACTTTATACACTGCTCAAAAAAATAAAGGGAACACTTAAACAACACAATGTAACTCCAAGTCAATCACACTTCTGTGAAATCAAACTGTCCACATAGGAAGCAACACTGATTGACAATACATTTCACATGCTGTTGTGCAAATGGAATAGACAACAGGTGGAAATTATAGGCAATTAGCAAGACACCCCCAATAAAGGACTGATTTTGCAGGTGGTGACCACAGACCACTTCTCAGTTCCTATGCTTCCTGGCTGATGTTTTGGTCACTTTTGAATGCTGGCGGTGCTTTCACTCTAGTGGTAGCATGAGACGGAGTCTACAACCCACACAAGTGGCTCAGGTAGTGCAGCCCATCCAGGATGGCACATCAATGCGAGCTGTGGCAAGAAGGTTTGCTGTGTCTGTCAGCGTAGTGTCCAGAGCATGGAGGCGCTACCAGGAGACAGGCCAGTACATCAGGAGACGTGGAGGAGGCCGTAGGAGGGCAACAACCCAGCAGCAGGACTGCAACTCCGCCTTTGTGCAAGGAGGAGCAGGAGGAGCACTGCCAGAGCCCTGCAAAATGACCTCCAGCAGGCCACAAATGTGCATGTGTCTGCTCAAACGGTCAGAAACAGACTCCATGAGGGTGGTATGAGGGCCCGACGTCCACAGGTGGGGATTGTGCTTACAGCCCAACACCGTGCAGGACGTTTAGCATTTGCCAGAGAACACCAAGATTGGCAAATTCGCCACTGGCGCCCAGTGCTCTTCACAGATGAAAGCAGGTTCACACTGAGCACATGTGACAGACGTGACAGAGTCTGGAGACGCCGTGGAGAATGTTCTGCTGCCTGCAACATCCTCCAGCATGACCGGTTTGGCGGTGGGTCAGTCATGGTGTGGGGTGGCATTTCTTTGGGGGGCCGCACAGCCCTCCATGTGTTCGCCAGAGGTAGCCTGACTGCCATTAGGTACCGAGATGAGATCCTCAGACCCCTTGTGAGACCATATGCTGGTGTGGTTGGCCCTGGGTTCCTCCTAATGCAAGACAATGCTAGACCTCATGTGGCTGGAGTGTGTCAGCAGTTCCTGCAAGAGGAAGGCATTGATGCTATGGACTGGCCCGCCCGTTCCCCAGACCTGAATCCAATTGAGCACATCTGGGACATCATGTCTCGCTCCATCCACCAACGCCACGTTGCACCACAGACTGTCCAGGAGTTGGCGGATGCTTTAGTCCAGGTCTGGGAGGAGATCCCTCAGGAGACCATCCGTCACCTCATCAGGAGCATGCCCAGGCGTTGTAGGGAGGTCATTCAGGCACGTGGAGGCCACACACACTACTGAGCCTCATTTTGACTTGTTTTAAGGACATTACATCAAAGTTGGATCAGCCTGTAGTGTGATTTTCCACTTTAATTTTGAGGGTGACTCCAAATCCAGACCTCCATGGGTTGATACATTTGATTTCCATTGATAATTTTTGTGTGATTTTGTTGTCAGCACATTCAACTATGTAAAGAAAAAAGTATTTAATAAGATTATTTCATTCATTCAGATCTAATATGTGGTTACTACATGATTCCATATGTGTTATTTCATAGTTTTGATGTCTTCACTATTATTCTACAATGTAAAAATTAGTAAAAATAAATAAAAACCCTTGAATGAGTAGGTGTGTCCAACCTTTGACTGGTAGTGTATAAATCATTGGATGAACCCCATAGTTTATGATAAGAGAAGTAAGTGGAAAGTAAAATATACAAATATTTGATTTAGCCAGAGAGGAGTATACAGCTGAGCTTTTCAGGTGTATGTCAGTCAGGTGATGTGTGCATCGATCACTCCCACTAAACCCCCTAATGCACAACACACAACAGCATGGTTCAGTCAAAACAATAACAACACCAACAATCGTTTAATATAAACAAAAAGTTAATATACAGCAGATTACTGTAATATTTCCTCCATTTTAGGCTAAAACCAGTATTGACTACAGAAGCATTGGACTGAAAGAAAACATTATTGGCCGAATAGTTTTGCATTGAAGATAAGAAAAAGTGAATTTAGACAATGAATTCAGGTTTCATAGTCCTATATATCTTGTTTTTAAATCCAAAATGCAGTGAACCTTTGCATGACCATAAAACAACACGACATGGAGTGAATAATACAATCGTAGATTGAATGAAATTTAAATTACACAAAGTCATACATTTTGGAGCAAATAAACAAATGAGGACAGAGCACAGTTTAAGGCTGAACGGCAAATATTTAAATATACCAACAAATCATAATAAAATGTGCAAATGCCAAAAAAGAACATAAGTCTGCATTTTTCCTACAAAAACACTCACTTGAGAATTGAATTGAGAAGACATGGTAAAATTTGTACCTGGAACAAGCAGAAATCTAAAGTAGAATGACAATTAGATTATTAAATTGCAGAAAAATCCTCACTGAACTACATGGTGATCTTGAAAACCAATGAGAATAATATTGGTACAGAAGTTATGGCACTTCAGTTTGCTCATTATTTTGATTACAGATCCAGTACCCACCAAGCTCACTGTTCTAGCACTTGATTATTGAAAAACTACCCATGATCTTCAGATTGTGCCAGAAAAACCGATGCACGAACAAATTAAACTTCAGTTGATTATGTTAGGTTGTCATAGGGTCACTAAAACCTGACAAAACTAATTTGCGCCACATTGTTCAAACTGAACCTAAATGCCAATCAATTCATAGGTTGCACCTCCGTCACTCGGTCGCGTCATGCCATCGTTATGGACGTTCTCAATCTGCCCTCAATCTAAAATGCACTGAGTAGAATGCTCAGTCGGGCATCAGTTCAAAACAAACGTTCAAAACAATGTTGTGACGAAACATGCAACCCGTGAATACAAGAATGATGAAAGCTAAAGAATGACTGTCAAATCTGTCCTACCGTAGCAGAGAAATGGTTACGAAGGTTTGTGAAATAGAAATGAAATATTCACATTCCATTGCTTAAATGTAATAACTATTTATGCTTAACATCATCTAAGTGAGGTCACAGCAGGTAGGCTACTACATAATCCCAATATTAACTAGTAGGCTACTACATAATCCCAATATCAACTGGTAGGCTACTACATAACCCCAATATCAACTGGTAGGCTACTACATAACCCCAATATCAACTGGTAGGCTACTACATAACCCCAATATCAACTGGTAGGCTACTACATAACCCCAATATCAACTGAAACAAAAATGATGTACAAACAAAACAAGGTCAAATGACAACATTTCAGTTTTCCATGTTAGACAGTAAAAGAAAGAGTGCATTACAAATGCTTATAACAAAGGCTTGAAATACAGCTGTGTTGATATCACAGGACACAGTTTTCAATAGATCAAATAACTGTATAGGGAGGCTTACTAAAAGTTGCCTTTGAAAATCACCATCAGCATCAGCATCCCTCAGAGGCAAGGCAAAACACAGTCATTTACTATATAACAAATCTGAACATTTGAATTCTTAAATATACTCAATTTTCACTTCTATATTATTAAAGTTTACAGACAACTGTTTAAGTTAACCATACTGAATAAGAGTAGATTATGTTGCAAACAACAGACAGGGAAGTACAACAATTCTTCAGTCATTTTATCTATTATTTGAAGAACTTCCATGATGGTTGTTACATTGTGTTTCAGATCGTTGATGTAGATTGCACTGGTTTGTATATTCCTTCAGAAAGAGGAAATAGACAAAGCAACATTTGCTGCATCGCATTGTTATGAACACCACAAACATACATAATATACATTTGGTAAATTGTCAGATACCCTCAGATTTACACTACTTGAAGGGTAAACAAGTCTCGTTCAGTTGTAAATGACAACTTCATTTTGGACCAATTTAGCAACTTTCATATGTGCCACAGTTTCAAATAATCTAAAAAGAAAGTACGACTAATCGGAATGTGAAAATCTTAAATCTGACGATTTACAAAACAGCAAGTAATCAGATGATAAAAACAGAACTTATATCTAGTTCAACTGATCAGATATCTCTAGTCCGAACTTTACAACAATACATAAAAAAATTGAAGGTCCCCATTCTCATCGAGGCCTTGGGATTGAGTATGGCACCACTATAGATAAGACCTGAAATAAAGTACCTTTTCCTGGTATACAGAGTGGCTATTAGTAACAGCTGTGGCACCTCCTGTACCATGTTGTACTACATTGTACCATTGCTTCAGTAGATATTCAGACTGGCCTTTTACTGGACTCAATATATCCATGAAGAGAACAAGTAAGGACAAAAGTGGTAAAATATGTGGGCTTGCTTTACCACAGAACTCTGTTATAAACAAACGATAAACAAAATATATTCTCTCTGAGACTTGAAGGATGATCACAAACATTCATCGTCCATTCAGTGTTCTTTCCAGTGTATGTTAAAACTTCTAAAATAACCAATACTGATTAATGCCAGTATAAATGAATTTGAACTTAAAAAGGCCATTAACCGATGGCCAAGTATTTATGCCCTCCAAATTAAAAATACCAGTCATTTATACAGTACAGTACATTACAGAGTACAATATTGAGTTCCAATACCAGAACTCAAGGCTGTATGTCCAGACCCTACTCGATGCCTACGAAATGAATTGTAACAGACTACTATTGAGATGTTCAAGCCAGTGTCTCTGAGATAATACACTGCAGAGTCAGTGGAATGAAACTTGCCAATGCAATTCTTAACAGAGAGAACCAGCAATAAAAATATTGTACAAATGGGATTCAGGGTTTGAGTGAATAATCTGTCCCTGTGTGCACGGTATTTACAGTATGTCCGTCAGTCATGTCCGAGAGGAATAAAAACCTTTCTCCTTACAGTATATCAGACTCTGTTTTACACTCTGTTCTCCATTGCATATAGCAGTGGTTTTCAACTGGTGTGACGAGGCACACTGTTGTGCCTTGAGGAACTTTCAGGTGTGCAGCGAAAACATTCCTAATCTTGATTCTGTTTGGAAACACTAACGAACGTGAACTGTGGAATTTTGACTTGGGAGCAACAGTGCCACTCAGATAATACATTGAATGGCACATGGTTACATCTGTGTTGCTGTTTCAAGTCCAGTGCACTCAGGCTGTTGTGACATTAGTATAATTTGAGGGGCGCGCATCACCAGCAAAGTCATTTGCATCATTTTACTTTTCCTGTGAAAACCATTAGCAAAGGCAAGTCTGATTTAGGCTGAGCTGAACCACAGCCTCTGCCATAGAAACAAAAAGAGCACGGCTTTATGTCCATCATGGTTGGACCTTTACGAAGCAGAAAACCGTTCATATGTAGCCCAAACCGTAAAAAAAAGAAGATATATTTTACAGGAGAAAAACATTATAATTCAGATGAGATGGATGTCATTACCACTAAATTAATTAATAGGGACATTGTATGTGTGCAGCAGAATGTTTTATCCCATCAAGGTGTGCCACAGTTAAAAAAAGGTTGGGAACCACTGGCATACAGTGGCTTGTGAAAGTATTCACCCCCCTATGGCATTTTTCCTATTTTGTTGCCTTACAACCTGGAATTAAAATGGATTTTGGGGGGATTTGTATCATTTGATTTACACAACATGCCTACCACTTTGAAGATGCAAAATGTTTTTTTTGTGTGAAACAAACAAGAAATAAGACAAAAAAAAACAGAAAACTTGAGCGTGCAAAACTATTCACCCCCCCAAAGTCAATATTTTGTAGATCCACCTTTTGCAGCAATTACAGCTGCAAGTCTCTTGGGGTATGTCTCTATAAGCTTGGCACATCTAGCCACTGGGATTTTTTCCCATTCTTCAAGGCAAAACTGCTCCAGCTCCTTCAAGTTGGATGGGTTCTGCTGGTGTACAGCAATTGCCCAGTTCCTGCCGATGAAAAACATCCCCACAGCATGATGCTGCTACCACCATGCTTCACTGTGGGGATGGTGTTCTCGGGGTGATGAGAAGTGTTGGGTTTTCGCCAGACATAGCGTTTTCCTTGATGGCCAAAAAGCTCAATTTTAGTCTCATCTGACCAGAGTACCTTCTTCCATATGTTTGGGGAGTCTCCCACATGCCTTTTGGCGAACACCAAACGTGTTTGCTTCTTTTTTTCTTTAAGCAATGGCTTTTTTCTGGCCTCTCTTCCGTAAAGCCCAGCTCTGTGGAGTGTACGGCTTAAAGTGGTCCTATGGACAGATACTCCAATCTCCACTGTGGAGCTTTGCAGCTCCTTCAGGGTTATCTTTGGTATCTTTGTTGCCTCTCTGATTAATGCCCTCCTTGCCTGGTCCGTGAGTTGTGGTGCCATATTCTTTCCATTATTTTATAACGGATTTATCCGTGGGATGTTTCAAGTTTCGGATATTTTTTTATAACCCAACCCTGATCTGTACTTCTCCACAACTTTGTCCCTGACCTGTTTGGAGAGCTCCTTGGTCTTCATGGTGCCGCTTGCTTGGTGGTGCCCCTTGCTTAGTGGTGTTGCAGACTCTGGGGCCTTTCAGAACAGGTGTATATATATACTGAGATCATGTGACATACTGAGATTGCACACAGGTGGACTTTATTTAACTAATTATGTGACTTCTGAAGGTAATTGGTTGCACCAGATCTTATTTAGGGGCTTCATAGCAAAGAGTGAATACATATACACGCACCACTTTTCCGTTATTTATTTTTTAGAATTTTTTGAAACAAGTTATTTTTTTCATTTCACTTCACCAATTTGGACTATTTAGTGTATGTCCATTACATGAAATCCAAATAAAAATAAATTTAAATTACAGGTTGTAATGCAACAAAATAGGAAAAACGCCAAGGGGGATGAATACTTTTGCAAGGCACTGTAGAGGCCTATCTCTTGTAGTGATTGGGCGCGTCAGCGAACATATACTTGAGTCTGTATGCTTCAGCCAGGAGAAGGCCTACTTCCTCGTTCCCCCAGTGGATTGTGGGAAGGTTCTGGAGTAACATGAGAAGACCCTGGAAAGGCAGAGACACATTTTATGACATAAGCACCATTTTGGAACTGGATGGAAGGAAGTGTGTGAATAATCCCTGGTGGGCCTCACGGTCACCATCTGCAAAGTGTCATGAACACTGAAATATGCAGATTTGTTTTTTAATGAGAGCTTTTCACTGGAGGGTCTGTCAGGCCATACAAAAAAGGTAATATGTTTTCAAATACCCTCATCAACAGAACCTGCTCGATTACTGTACACTCAAACAGTTCAACAGTGGACAGAATTAATGGTACCTGAAAATCGACCATGGAGAGGATCTCTTTGCGCCACTCGATCAGGAAAGCAGCACAGACGTACAGGTGGAAGTGGGAGAAGCCCTCTTGCTCAGCCTGCAGGGATACATGACAGGTGATCATGTGAAGAACACAAACACATCATCTCTAAATCACACAAACATTCAGATCTAAACAAAGGTTTTAATGCAAATGTCTATGCGTTTGTGTGTGACCTGATAGGTGTCCCAGAGGCGGATGGTGCAGCGGAGAGGCAGTTCTCTCATCAGCAGGTTGTTCATCCAGCGGAAAGCAAACTGCAGGTACTCCACCTCATACCTCTTAAAGTAGTTGTGTATGTCCTCTGAGAGAAAAGGACGCAGCCACACAGTGAGTAGAGAAAAGACAAGAGAGATGAAAACTGACCCTGAGGCCATCTGAAATAATGGAGACTGGATATCTATTTTCATATAAATTGAAAAGGTGTCTTGCCTCAGATACTGTAACAACATGAGGAGATCATATCTCACCATCGATTCTGCTGACCAATTCTTCCAAAGCTTTCACTTTGTTCTGAATCCCTGGCTGAGCAAAGGTGTAGTTGTCCTGCACAGATGCACCACAATAATATCAACAACACATCATGAGGAGGATTTCATTTGTGATTGTAGGGGGGGGCTGCTGGAGACAAGAGTGTCGGAAATAAATACCATAGGCGCAGATGTAGAAAATAACTGAATAACATTCTAGATACCAACCTGTATTCCATCCAGCAGCTTGGTCATGCACCAGAAGCTGTCTGCCTCAATGTTCCTCTGGGTGTCAAGAGGAAGGGACGCTACGTCAAAATTCTCCACATCCTCCTCTGTGGAGACACACCCAAAATATCACAGTCAGCAACAAATACCTGTACATCCAGCTCACTCAGGGAAGCACGGTTTGCAATGCTGACAAATAACCACACAGACAAAACGAATGCATGTAACTGCCAAAATAAAGGACACACCAACATAGTGTCTTAATAGGGCGTTGGGCCACCAAAAGCCAGAACAGCTTCAATGCGCCATAGCAGAGATTTTACAAGTGTCTGAAATTCTATTGGAGGGATACAACACCATTCTTCCATGAGAAATTCCATAATTTGGTGTTTTGTTGATGGTGGTGGAAAATGCTGTATCAGGCGCCGCTCCAGAATCTCCCATAAGTGTTCATTTGGGTTGAGATCTGGTGACTGAGACACGCACACACGCCCTTTGAACCCCCTATGCTTCTAGCCATGGTAACCAAAATAATGGGCAACTGGGCATTTCTATACATGACCCTAAGCATGATGGGATGTTAATTGCTTAATTAACTCAGGAACCACACCTGTGTGGAAGCACCTGCTTTCAATATACTTTGTATCCCTCATTTACTCAAGTGTTTCCTTTATTAATCCTTCTGAATGTAATATACGACAAGATTATTGGACACCCTGTCAGTGGATTCAGAGGCCATTTTCATTTCATATGGAAAAGCCTCGTCTGGTTCCTGCAGATCTATGACACATCATCCAACCTACCAACAAATTCGGAAAGGAATACCACAAAGAATGGAGTGACCAAGTCGTTGATTCCCTGGACGTAGCCACTGGCTGGATGGCGGATAGCCCAGATGAAGAGGATCCGCTCAAACACCTGATGAACACAAGGCACAGACAGGCCAGGATACAGTCCAAAGTGATATTACATGTCTACACTCTTAGAAATAAAGGTGCTATCTAGACCCTAAAAGGGTTATTCAGCTGTCCCCATAGGAGAACCCTTTGAAGAACCCTTTTGGGTTCCATGTAGAACCCATTCCACAGAGGGTTCTACATGGAACCCAAAAGGGTTTTCCAATGGGGACAGCTGAATAACCCTTTTGCAACCCTTTTTTCAAAGAGTGTATTAGAAAACCCATCTCCAGAAGATTTTTTTATATTTTTTTTATGTTGACTAACCAAGCCATGCAAATAGTATGAAGAGCTGAGAGAGAAGCTCACCTCTTGCACCGTGGGCTGCTGGAAAAGTGGAATTAGCGGGTTTGTCCTCGGAATATCAATGTGGATCTGTGGAAACAAAGCATGTTCTACTTAAACACTGACTCACTACAGTAGGCATATGCTACTTAAATACTGACTCACTAGAGTAGGCATATGCTACTTAAACACTGACTCACTAGAGTAGGCATATGCTACTTAAACATTGACTCACTACAGTAGGTGGCATTGGTAGTTTAGGATTTGGTGATTCATGTATTACCTGTCTATATGTGTCTTTGTAAGTCTCGTCTGTCCTGGAGTGGTAATACTGTTCAATGAAGCCAAAGTACTCATCTCTCTTCCTCTTCAGCACCAGGTCTCTGCGCTCCATGTTGGCTGGGAGGTAACCCTGCCATGACAGAGAGGACGACAATGAAAGCGAAGAAAACATGTTGTTTATTAAACAAGAGGATATACTCTTGAAGATGTGAACAGTACCGGAACAGGAAGTGCGATAAGAGAATTTTGAACATATCGCGACAAATACCAAGAGCAATGTGTGTGCAGTTGTCACATACGGTGACAATTTGGGAAATTATATTATTTTATACGACTACAATTGCTCAGAGAAAGAGATTTTGTTTAACAAGTAATAATAAAATACAAACATCTAAAGAAAGATAGGGGTCAAACCCACCCCAATATATCGTCATACTCCTTGTGTGTGATCTCCAGTTTAGCCAAAGGTCATCATGGTACTTACAGAGAAGAAGTCCAAGGTCATCATGGTACTTACAGAGAAGAAGTCCAAGGTCATCATGGTACAGTGGCTTATGAAAGTATTCACCCCCCTTGGCATTTTTCCTATTTTGTTGCCTTACAACCTGGAATTAAAATTGATTTGGGGGGGGGGGGTTGTATCATTTCATTTACACAACGTGCCTACTACTTTGAAGATGCAAAATGTTTTTTATTGTGAAACAAACAAGAAATAAGAAAAAAAAACTGAACTTGAGCGTGCATAACTATTCACCCCCCCCAAAGTCAATACTTTGTAGAGCCACCTTTTGCAGCAATTACAGCTGCAAGTCTCTTGGGGTATGTCTCTATAAGCTTGGCACATCTAGCCACTGGGATGTTTGCCCATTCTTCAAGGCAAAACTGCTCCAGCTCCTTCAAGTTGTATGGGTTCCGCTGGTGTACAGCAATCTTTAAGTCATCCCACAGATTCTCAATTGGATTGAGGTCTGGACTTTGACTAGGCCATTCCAAGACATTTAAATGTTTCCCCTTAAACCACTCGAGTGTTGCTTTAGCAGTATGCTTAGGGTCATTGTCCTGCTGGAAGGTGAACCTGCGTCCCAGTCTCAAATCTCTGGAAGACTGAAACAGGTTTCCCTCAAGAATTTCCCTGTATTTAGCGCCATCCATCATTCCTTCAATTCTGACCAGTTCACCCAGTCCCAGCCGATGAAAAACATCCCCACAGCATGATGCTGCCACCACCATGCTTCACTGTGGGGATGGTTTTCTCGGGGTGATGAGAGGTGTTGGGTTTGCGCCAGACATTGTGTTTTCCTTGATGGCCAAAAAGCTCAATTTGAGTCTCATCTGACCAGAGTACCTCCTTCCATATGTTTGGGGAGTCTCCCACATGCCTTTTGGCGAACACCAAACGTGTTTGCTTCTTTTTTTCTTTAAGCAATGGCTTTTTTCTGGCCACTCTTCCGTAAAGCACATCTCTGTGGAGTGTACGGCTTAAAGTGGTCCTATGGACAGATACTCCAATCTCCGCTGTGGAGCTTTGTAGCTCCTTCAAGGTTATCTTTGGTCTCTTTGTTGCCTTTCGGATTAATGCCCTCCTTGCCTGGTCCGTGAGTTTTGGTGGGCGGCCCTCTCTTGGCAGGTTTGTGCCATATTCTTTCAATTTTTTAATAATGGATTTAATGGTGCTCCGTGGGATGTTCAAAGTTTCTGATATTTTTTTATAACCCAACCCTGATCTGTACTTCTCCACAACTTTGTCCCTGACCTGTTTGGAGAGCTCCTTGGTCTTCATGGTGTCGCTTGCTTGGTGGTGCCCCTTGCTTGGTGGTGCCTCTTGCTTAGTGGTGTTGCAGACTCTGGGGCCTTTCAGAACAGGTGTATATATACTGAGATCATGTGACACTTAGATTGCACACAGGTGGACTTTATTTAACTAATTATGTGACTTCTGAAGGTAATTGGCTGCACCAGATCTTATTTAGGGGCTTCATAGCAAAGGGGGTGAATACATATGCACGCACCACTTTTCCATTTGTAATGCAACAAAATAGGAAAAACACCAAGGGGGATGAATACTTTTGCAAGGCACTGTACTTACAGAGAGGAAGTCCAAGGTCATCATGGTACTTACAGAGAGGGAGTCCAAGGTCATCATGGTACTTACAGAGGGGAAGTCCAAGGTCATCATGGTACTTACAGAGAGGAAGTCCAAGGTCATCATGGTACTTACAGAGAGGAAGTCCAAGGTCATCATGGTACTTACAGAGAGGAAGTCCAAGGTCATCATGGTACTTACAGAGAGGAAGTCCAAGGTCATCATGGTACTTACAGAGAGGAAGTCCAAGGTCATCATGGTACTTACAGAGAGGAGCCTCCATGTGATGGGTCGCACTTCTCGTGGAATGCCTGACCAGCTGTGCTTCCGGAGCTCCTCTGTGGATCACAAGGCCCAGGAGATAGAATGACAATACATACATTGTAAATAATATAATGACAATACATACATTGTAAATAATATAATGAGAATACATACAATGTAAACACAACATTGGCCTACTTGTAATAGCTACTTCAATCTACACTGAACAAAAATATAAACGCAACATTAAACAAATTTCAAAGATTTTACTGAGTTACAGTTCATATAAGGAAATCAGTCAATTGAAATAAATTCATTAGGCCCTAATCTATGGATTTCACATGACTGGAAATACAGATATGCATCTGTTGGTCAAAGATACCTTAACAAAAAGGTAGGGGTGTGGATCAGAAAACCAGTCAGTATCTGGTGTGACCACCATTTGCCTCATGCAGAGCAGCACATCTCCTTTGCATAGAGTTGATCAGGCTGTTGATTTTGGCCTGTGGAATGTTGTCCCACTCCTCTTCAATGTGCAAAGTTTCTGGATATTGGTGGGAACTGGAACATGCTGTCAATACACGTCGATCCAGAGCATCCCAAACATGCTCAATGGGGTGAGTCTGGTGAGTATGCAGGCCATGGAAGAACTGGGACATTTTAAGCTTCTAGGAATTGTGTACAGATCTTTGCGACATGGTGCCGTGCATTATCATGCTGAAACATGAGGTTATGGCGGTGGATGAATGGCATGACAATGGGCCTCAGGATATTATCTCTGTGCATTCAAATTGCCATTGATTTTATGCAATTGTGTTCATTGTCCATAGCTTATGCCTGTCCATACCATAACCCCACCGCCACCATGGAGCACTCTGTTCACAACGTTGACATCAGCAAACAACTCGCCCACACAACGCCATACACGTGGTCTGTGGTTGTGAGGCCGGCTGGACGTACTGCCAAATTCTCTAAAACGATGTTGGAGGCGGGTTATGGTAGAGAAATGAAAATGTAATTATCTGGCAACAGCTCTGGTGGACATTCCTGCAGTTCAGCATGTCAATTGCACGCTCCCTCAAAACATATGTGACATTGTGTTGTGTGACAAAACTGCACATTTTAGTGTGGCCTTTTATTGTCCCCAGCACAAGGTGCACCTGTGTAATGATCATGCTGTTTAATCAGCTTCTTGATATGCCACACCTATCAGGTGGATGGATTATCTTGACAATGGAGAAATGCTCACTAACAGGGATGTAAACAAATTTGTGCACAACATTTCAGAGAAATAAGCTTTTTGCGTGTATGGAAAATATCTGGGATCTTTTATTTCAGCTCATGAAACATGGGACCAACACTTTACATGTTGCGTTTATATTTTTCTTCAGTAAATATGGTGTTGAGTCTCACCGAGGTCGGTGTTAGGACAGGACAGAAGGTATTTGAATTTGTCCAATCGGCTCTTGTCTCGCACTGTCATGATTGGGGCCCCCGAGGAATTTTGGTCAGAGATTCTGGCGACTAACGGGATGATGGGGCGAACTGGGAGAGATTGTTGCTTCTGCAGAGTTGAGCGCACTGTGGAGGAAGAGAGTGCGAGGAGGATCATGGGAATTGCTGAGTGACAAGTCATAGAGAGCAGATTATCAATAATAATCAAGGCAGTTTTGAGTTGATAATGGAGCAATATCTTTAATTGATATTAACACTAAACGTTTTATACATGTTCTCTACCCCTGACTTTAGTGGCCAGTGTCCACATTACCTGTATTGGTGTTGAGCAGGGCCTCACTGCTGGACTTCACCACCACTCTGCCATTGATCTGTCCACAGTCTGTGGCCTTCTCATGCTGAAGACGGACCTCTGCTGTTGGGGGAGCCAGCCGGTCTGCAAGCCCCGGCCCTGTTTCTGACTCAGTGGTGGTGTTAATGGGTTGTTGTACCTGGTGCGTGGAGTGCAGGGTGGGCGGGAGAGATAAGGGATGGATTGGAGCTGAGAAGTCCTCATCCTCCTCATCATCAATGTCCCAGGCATCATTGGTGCTACGGGCAAACTCGTGGAAACTAGACGCCTTTTTGGACTTGAGATTATTTGCCTTTGGCGTGTCTTTAGGAAACCTGCAGAGAAAAAATGAAAACTTTTAATCTACGTGCCACAAAGAAGAAACCACTGAGCAGCTAAAGCTCTCTCATGGTAAAGACAATATGATACATTGACAACATACACTGAGTGTACAAAACATTAAGAACACCTTCCTAATGTTGAGTTGCACCCCCCTTTTGCCCTCAGAACAGTTTCAATTTGTCGGGGCGTGGACTCTACAAGGTGTCGAAAGCGTTCCACAGGGATGCTGGCCCATGATGACTCTGTTTCCCACAGTTGTGTGAAGTTGGCTGGATATCCTTTGGGTGGTGGACCATTCTTGAAGCGTTGCAGTTCTTGACACAAACCGGTGCGCCTGGCACCTACTACCATACCCCGTTCAAAGGCTCTTAAATATTTTATCTTACCCAGTCACCCTCTGAATGGCACACATACATCTTGAACATGTCTCCTCCCCTTCATCTACACTGAAGTGGATTTAACAAGTGACATCAATAAAGGATCATAGCTTTCACCTGGATTCACCTGGTCAGTCTATGTCATGGAAAGAGCAGGTGTTCATAATGTTTTGTATACTCAGTGTATAATATAAAAAGGAACCGCTGAACAAAAGGCATAAAAAGGTCAATAAAAAAATAGTCTAAAAAGAAGATCAATGTAATAACATGGAACAATCAAACCAACAATACCATCCACATTGATGGAAGCTACAATCTATCTGCAATATTAAAGCCGACCTTTCCCCCCTTAAAAAAAAAAATCTAAAGAAATAAAAAAAATACCATCCACACTTGTTCAAGTGCTTGGCAATATAGACGAGACACAAACATCAACAATCTAAAGTAAGCATGCGAAAAATCTATGTTGAATCAATTAAAATTAAAGGGTGAAATCAAAACATCTGCTGAATGACACATATTATAAATCCCTGTGGGTTCCATGCAGACCAGCTACGCAGAGCACTTACGTGCGGTGTATTCTGGGGTCAAGTGGAGGATGCTGCGCTCCATAAACTGGCTGTATACTGTAGAAGACAAAGAGCAGTAGCCTACCTGTACGTCACTGGGAGCATGTGGGCCTATTGAGGCCTCTTTTCATGTTTCATTGACAATGTCGGCCATTATAGTGGACTCATTATGAAAGCATAGACTTCCCAGAGCAGCCATATTGGTCAGACTGAGGACTTCTTAGCACGCTCCTAAAATAGTCATAAAAATGATATGTTTTGGTGTTGGGTAATGGTTGTTACAACAGGTGTAGACCTTACTGTGAAATGCTTACTTACAAGCCTTTAACCAACAATGCAGTTCAAGAAATAGAGTTATGAAAATATTTACTAAATAAACTGAAGTAAAAAATAAGATAAAAAGTAACACAATAAAATAACAATGACGAGGCTATATACAGGGGGTACCGGTACCGAGCCAATGTGCGGGGGTGTACAGGTTAGTCGAGGTAATTTGTACATGCAGGTAGGGGTAAAGTGACTATGCATAGATAGATACTAAAACAGTCACTCTTACTTAATCAGCAGCTTTCTCAACACAATGAAGCAGATGATCAAGTGATTGCTGACTGGAACAGTAGGCGTATACTGTAGCTTTAAGAGATTATGTGAACAGCTTGCCAGGGCGAGTGACAGTCTTACTGCCACCCCATGGAGAGAGTATCCTGTTCAGCGGATGCTAGCATGTTGAGCACTCACCACCAAATCTGATGATGCTACAAGAGCTGTGACCTGCAACACAGTCCAAAGGCGCCTGCGTGTCTGTCTCCCTTTGTGTTTCTGACGTGAACCAAGCTCGGTGGAGGGGGAAATAGCCTAATGTTATCTGGACTATGTTGGGTCTTTGACACAATAGTATCTCATGTTGTAGTAAAATGGCTCATCAGATGGGTCTTTCAGGGATATTTGTAGGAGCTTAACTTTACCTGGTAACCTTTTAGTAGAATGTATTTCTTTACAGACTGTAATATGGACAATGGCAATACCCTATCATGTCTGGATGGTATCTCATAATGGCTTATTACGTAACTTGTTCTGTCAGGATTGGGAACAGTGTTATTTCCTTACAAAGGCAACTCCCACTCCTTAGAGACTACTCGCATTACCTTGGCACCCACCACACCCTGCCTCTGCCTGGCCTGGAGCCTCAACAGACACAGGCAGCCTGGCAGGAAAACAACCATTCAACTGCCTGGGCTGATTCGGGCTAGGCCCTGTGTAGCTCAGTTGGTAGAGCATGGCGCTTGCAACGCCAGGGTTGTGGGTTCGTTTCCCACGGGGGGGGGGAGGGGCAGTATGAAAATGTATGCACTCACTAACTGTAAGTCGCTCTGGATAAGAGCGTCTGCTAAATGACTAAAATGTAAATGTAAATGTATTCACAAAGTGTCTCGGAGTGTCTGTGCTGATTTAGGATCAGATCCTCCACTGTTCATATAATTGTATTCGTTGTGATCTAACAGGCTAAACCGATCCTGGATCAGCACGTTGTGAATATGGGCCTTGGTCATGCATTTCCAATGTGACTGACATCTGCTGCTGAGTGTTCTCTCATCCCCCATGTGACTGACTCAATTACTGACTTAGGAGGGGCACCAACACGGAGGATAAAACCTGTAACGAGGAATGATTTGTACTTTCCGCTCAACATTATGTATCTAAAATAATGGATAATATTCATTCATAAAACTGTGCATGACAACTAAAATGTAGCCTATTGGGATAGAATAACTGTATCCACTAATTGTTCACAGGAACAGCACAAATGGAAACTCAGGATAAAGCTTTTGATTTTTCAAAAAACATTCTGTTTAAATATTTAAACTAGGTTCTTGAGTTTAAAATGAATAAATCAAGATCCTCACTCTAGACCAGAAATGACTGTCAACTCTGATAGCTACAATGTTGCAACCAACTTCCCCTATGATCGTTTCTGAAGAGATACATTGTGAAACGTCATTATGGTCCATAATTAGATAGACACATTGTGTCAATTTTCCCACCGGTAAAGGGTTTCCACAAGATAAACCATACGCCAATCTATTTGTTAATAATCTATTGGGGACGTTTCTGAAGTATTTTCTCAGTCTGCTGCATATGCTACATGTCAACATTCACCCGTTACAGACCACCTGACATGTCTGAACCATAGGTTGTATATATAGGTAACAACATATGGTAGCCAAGACAAAGACATGAAGATGACCTCAGTATGCGCTCTAATAAGTGCTTTGATGCAACAAAGACCACCACGTCCTTATTGTCTAAAGGCTTTATAAACTATATATCAAACAAGGTTAAGCATAAGTTTTATTAACCTTTAATGGCACTGTAATTACGCAAAATCAACGACGTTACGCCCACTAAAATACAGAGTTAACTCATTATCAGAATACACAATTCTGATCTTAAGAATCACGAGATTGTTATCATAGAAGAGAGGAAGAACTGAAACCTACCTTCCTGGAACCTTTGCGTTTTTCCTCCAGAAATGTATTCTGTTGTCGGTGGCCATGCTTGGAAGTCCCCTCACACTAACACCGCGCGCAGTTCTACAAACCTACACAGCATTGGAGACGATTTTAACGTTTCGGATTCGATATACTAAACCGGCTTGTATTTTCTGCGACCAACAACAACGTTTTGACGTGCGATTATAATGTTATTTTGTTGCAATTGCCGAGACCGTATAATACAGAACGATGGAGGTCGCCATCTTGGACACATTTACATGGACGTGTGATTGGCGGACGGGTTTAACAGGTGCATAGACACTTACCAATAGAAATACTATAGTGAAAGAGAGTCAACCTTCTCTAAACACGCGTCCTTCATCGCGTGGTGTTACAGGTTTTAACGGCCAACGGTTTAGATGAAGGGGGAAATATAAACATTCGGCTATTATGTTATTATGACTAATGTTTAATAAATAGTAAACTAGCTAGCCTCGGGCCTCCTGCACCCCAGGTATCACCTTTACATTTTTGACAACATCGTGTCTGAATCTGTCCGTAGGTCTACCGTCCATTCATACTGTACACTGTTTGAGATTATATAACCTGCAAAGAGTTGGGGTTTTAGTTACTATGGGCTAATGGCTATACGATCTGCTAGGCCTACTGTGTAGAGATGAAGTTCAGATATAGACCACTCTGAAGTTATTACATCAGGCCTTGCCTCATTCTGCTAAAGTCTATAGGCTGATTATCCGATTGTGTTAGTCCGATTTGTTGCGATAGAAGAGATAGAAGGCTATTTATTACTTCTAGTTCCACAACTATTGTATTTTATGTTACATAGTCAGTACTCTGTAAGGGACAGTGTTATTCTTTCCAAACAGAAACAAATCAGCATGAGAAAAAATAAATTATTTAATATATTTCAAAGCAGAAGCAATCATTTTATTGACTTTGTTCCTAGGGCCGGGAATTGCCAGGGACATCACGATACGATATTATCAGTGGTGGAAAACGTACCCAATTGTCATACTTCAGTAAAAGTAAAGATGCCTTCATAGAAAATGACTCAAGTAAAAGTGAAAGTCACCCAGTAAAATACTACTTGAGTGAAAGTATAAAAGTATTTGGTTTTAAATATACTTAAGTATCAAAAATAAAAGTAAAAGTATGAATAATTTAAAAAATGTCTGATAATTAGCAAACCAGACGGCACCATTTTCTTGTTTTTTTAATTTACGGATCGCCAGGGGCACATTCCAACTATCAGACATCATTTAAAAATGAAGCATTTTTGTTTAGTGAGTCCGCCAGATCAGAGGCAGTAGGGATGACCAGAGATGTTCTCTTGATAAGTGTGTGAATTTGACAATTTTCTGTCCTGCTAAGCATTCAAAATGTAATAAGGACTTTTGGGTGTCAGGGAAAATGTATGGAGTAAAAAGTACTTTTTTTCTTTCTTTAGGTATGTAGTGAAGTAAAAGTAAAAGTTGTCAAAAATACAAATAGTAAAGTACAGATACACCAAAAAACGACTTAAGAAGTTCTTTAAAGTATGTTATCCACCTCACGATACTTAGGTGCCGATACGATATGTATTGCAATTCGATGTTCCAAACATATTGCTCACTATATGTCTGCTGCAGAGAGAAAAGAGAGAGCATGAGAAAACGAGTTTTGATCAGTCAGGGGAAATAAAAGTGCTGAAAACATATTGGCTCACTATTTAAAAAGAAGAGAACGGCTCATAATAATTTACATTTTACATTTACATTTTTAGTCATTTAGCAGACGCTCTTATCCAGAGCGACTTACAGTGAGTGAGTGCATACATTATTTTTTTATTTAAAAAAAAATAATTCATACTAGCCCCCCGTCTGGAATGGAGCTAATGGAATGGCACCAAACACATAGAAACCATGTGTTTGATACCATTCCACTAATTCCGCTCCAGCCATTACCACGAGCACGTCCTCCCCAATTAAGGTGCCACCAACCTCCTTTGCTGTATCGATTTGTTCCCACATCACTACTTGTTCCTCATTTCATGGTTCTGCATTGTGATCTTATTCCCACAAGAGGGCAGGCATTTTCTGATGTAGATTAGTGCTACGCAGAATTGTGGGCTATTGTTATTGTATGGCCTTCAATACAGCATATTGCTATTCTATTGCCTTCAATACAGCATATTGCTATTCTATGGCCTTCAATACAGCATATTGCTATTCTATGGCCTTCAATACAGCATATTGCTATTCTATGGCCTTCAATACAGCATATTGCTATTCTATGGCCTTCAATACAGCATGTTGCTATTCTATGGCCTTCAATACAGCATTTTGCTATTCTATGGCCTTCAATACAGCATTTTGCTATTCTATGGCCTTCAATACAGCATATTGTTATTCTATTGCCTTCAATACAGCATATTGTTATTCTGTTTATTTCCTTCAGTACAGCATATTCTTATCTGAATCTATAGAGCACATACTCAAAGACCCCTTACTCAATGGTTTTCACAGATCAAGTCATTTATAACGCTCTTTCAAATGCAAATGTAGGGAAATTACAATTCTGCACATAAATGAGCTGGTCTTTCCACATCACCCTATATTTGAATGTCAGGTAGACTCCTCTGTCTAGTTGCTTAGGGAAATGTCAGGTAGACTCCTCTGTCTGGTTGCTAAGGGAAATGTCAGGTAGACTCCTCTGTCTGGTTGCTTAGGGAAATGTCAGGTAGACTCCTCTGTCTGGTTGCTAAGGGAAATGTCAGGTAGACTCCTCTGTCTAGTTGCTTAGGGAAATGTCAGGTAGACTCCTCTGTCTGGTTGCTAAGGGAAATGTCAGGTAGACTCCTCTGTCTAGTTGCTTAGGGAAATGTCAGGTAGACTCCTCTGTCTGGTTGCTAAGGGAAATGTCAGGTAGACTCCTCTGTCTGGTTGCTTAGGGAAATGTCAGGTAGACTCCTCTGTCTGGTTGCTTAGGGAAATGTCAGGTAGACTCCTCTGTCTGGTTGCTTAGGGAAATGTCAGGTAGACTCCTCTGTCTGGTTGCTTAGGGAAATGTCAAGTAGACTCCTCTGTCTGGTTGCTAAGGGGAAATGTCAGGTAGACTCCTCTGTCTGGTTGCTAAGGGAAATGTCAGGTAGACTCCTCTGTCTGGTTGCTTAGGGAAATGTCAGGTAGACTCCTCTGTCTGGTTGCTAAGGGAAATGTCAGGTAGACTCCTCTGTCTGGTTGCTTAGGGAAATGTCAGGTAGACTCCTCTGTCTGGTTGCTAAGGGGAAATGTCAGGTAGACTCCTCTGTCTGGTTGCTTAGGGGAAAAGGCCTTCAACTGGCAAAATGCAGGTGAGACTGTTTTTACTACCTACTGTATAATGTTTTCTGTAATAACCTTTTATTTCTCGTAAACAGTGAGAAGAGTAGCTAATCTAGCCTCCAAACAAAAATACTGATGTGTTTGTTATGTGTGTTTAGTAGGGGTGTAACGATCCATCTACTACATCGATGTATCGATTTATATTCCTATGATCCAACTACATCGATCTGTGCTCGGCGAGTTGGCCTTTTGGACAACATATATCAATCTAACATCGTTTTAAAATGTAATAAATCGATTGTATCGATACTAGGAAATAACCCATTGGATTTAAGCACGTCAGACTTTTTATGGATGTTTTTTCTTAGCACTTTTAATGATAAAGGCTTTAAACATTACTCGATTCAGTCTGCCTATCCGTGACGTCATCGCCCCGCGCCAGCAGCAGCGCAAAGGCGCAAAGACAACAAAACATAGCATGGCGGACGACAGAGGAGAAGCCGACGAGCGAGAATTTATCAAGCCACCATTGCGGTCCTTACAAGAAACAGGAATCTAGGAAACTTCACCTGCACTGTCCAGTATCCAGGTATTTATTTCAGTCACACTGGTTGAATTTTTGGCTAAAAGGTTACTGAATCGATTTCAAGTCACTGAATCGTTTCGGATCGTATCGTTCTAAATGAACCAATATCGTCCTTGAATCGTATCGACAACCACGAATCGTGATAGAAATCGAATCGTTGTTAAAACGAATCGTTGCACCCCTAGTGTTTAGGGTAATTTATGTATATCTCTCAGACTAAGTTCCTTCTTGACTGTGCCTCTGCGTGACTCACTAGCCTACTATCTATGTAAATCAACTGGGTTAACTTTTTGAAAACTTTCTCAAACATTTTTCTCTCAAGCAGGTCTTGTGATATCTTTCCCTCTTTCCTTTTGATATGGGTTAACTTAACAAAAACATGGTTGGGAAGAATGTCACAAGACATGACAATAACTAACTCAGTTTCTGAAATGAGGGACTGTTAATGGTTCCTGATGCAGAAAGAGTCTTCTTACCAAGTCAGTTTGAACTTTCAGAGTGATACAGGAATATGGGTTATAACGGCCTTTGGGGCGGAAATGAGGACATATTGCTCATGCTACTTCTTTTTTAAGAGCGATGATATTTTACCGTATTATGAGAACTGTCACGCCCTGACTCAGGGGACGGTCATTTGTTGAGTCAGGGTGTGTATATTTCGTGTTGTGTTTATTTCATTGTTTAGTTTCTAGATCGTTTGGATCTATGTTGGCCAGGGTGGTTCCCAATCAGAGGCAGCTGTAGCTCGTTGTCTCTGATTGGGGACCATACTTAGGCAGCCTTTTGGCACCAGTCAGATGTGGGATCTTGTTCCGTGTGAGGTATGTTATTTTGTCTACCTCGGACTTCACGTTTCGTTTTTTGTTTTGTTGTGTGTTCAGTACGGAAATAAATATGAATACATATCACGCTGCGCCTTGGTCCTTCTCGTTAATGAGCGATCGTGACAGAAGATCCCACCAAGCCTGGATCAAGCAGCGTGATGAGGAGAGGGGATGGAGGAGAGGGGATGGACTTGGGAGGAGATGAGCGAGAGTCTGGCAAGAGGGATGGAGGCCATGATCACGGGGGAGAGACAAACCCAAAACATTTTTAGGGGGGGGCTCACGCCGTGGACGACGAGGCAGCAGGAGGCCGCAATAGAGCGGTTCAGCCGTTTAGCAGAGGAGGCCGCCAGATTAAGGGGGTCATTGGTGCAGAAGGAAAGTGTAGAGGCACGGCGAGAGGAGCTGGTTAGGCAGCAGAAGGAGCGGGGGTTAATGAAGGAACCCAGTCCCGCTCCTCGCACCAATCGAGTGGTGCGTGTCGCCAGTCCGGTCCGGCCCGTTCCTGATTC